GGCAAATTCATTTCTTCCTCCTTGAATAGCTTCCGTTGGTAACGTTATTTTTTACTTGGTGCTACTTATTGGATTGTGATCAAACCGTGCCGCAGGCCTGCGCTATTGCGACAGCCGTAAGCTCGCTCATGTGTGCTTAAGACGCGTAAGTTGAGTCTTAGGTAAACCCGGCTCTTTCTCTACGGTATTCGTAGGGCCTGTCTTAAACTGGCCAACGGCGCAACTGACACACTACGAATGATGATCGGATAATGTAATCGGCGGTGAAGAGTTTATAGTCGTGCGACTTATATGATGGAGTGTACTAAGAGTAATCAAAACCCCTATATTAGTCTTGGCGATGCACAAGATTGCTCCCCCCGGGGAGGCTAGGCCTAGCTTCCGTTCGCGGGCTTCGTTATGCTTGGTCTGATGATCCTTCCCCGCGTCCTCTCCAGAGCCTCGCCATACGACGTGGAGATTAACGGTACGAGATCTGGAGAGAGGCGGCCAGGCAGTTGTTGTAGGTAAGGTAAGGTAAGGTAGGGTAAGACCCGAAATAAGTCAGCACACCCTTTTTCGTGGGAATGGGACAATGTTTCAGAGGCTCAGTGCCACCCCCCCAAGGACGTAGGATGCTGTCACGCGTTCGATTTGAGACAATTTTTGACAACTCAGCCTTGACAACTGTCTTCACACCCTCAATAGATTTGTCGGGACAAACGGTGTTCTTCAGCCTTCCCATTATGTCTCGGAGAGGAGGATCTGGCCCTGACAAGCCCTGACAAGCCCTGACAGGCACCTGAGCTCTCCGTGTAACCACCGATTCGGGACACAAGCTGTAAGGTTACAATAGCCGCGTCGCCACTCGTATTCCCGTAAGTATATTAACTAAGCGCAAGGCTCGCACAGCATTTTCGGTCTGTGAGGTCTATACCGAAGCAAAGACATTCAGCTTCAGCTTCAATTAACACCGCCGGAATAGCGATAATTTCGGGCGCAGCTCGATTCGATTGTCTGCCCGGTAATAGGCTTTCCAAATGCGTAAATACAATGTGCGTTTCTAGTTTGAGGTATTGCCTATTGTTTACCGAACGTAGAGCTATTCAGCTCTCCTGTAATTTCAAGAATATATATAACGATTGCAACGTTGTAGATGAATAATAGTGCACGAAAACTAACGTAGTTCACGTCAGAGGTAATTGTTTAAAGTAGACATCGGGAAGGAATTACCTACCCCTGATCCTAAATGAGGCTCCGGTATCCTACGGAGCTTGAATGAGATACTCACCTAGATGCACCTCTTGAGAGAAGTCTACGGAACTGGAAAAGGGGGTACGACGGGTTTTGATAGCGGTTTGGCTCAATACGAGAAGTCAGAATAATGCTTGAGTACTATCTCTCTGGTTCTTGGTGCTCGTAGTTGCCACTAGTGTTTTATCCATCCCATCGTCCTGATGTATTCAAGTAATATGTTATACGCTCCTTGGTTCTTAGCTTGGATCCCCTGGAAATGGTATCCTACGCTACGGACAGTGTCCTTAACATCGTCATGGGACTGTCTATCTTAGGCTATTGCAGTGTAAGAAGACTCTATTGAGGTGTCATTAGCTATGTTAGAATAGCGATATTAGTACTAGAAGACTAGGTTTCGCATCCTTAGGGAGATTGACATAGAACTAAGATCTTGTAACAAGAGAATTATGAACTATAGCGGTAATTCACTTCATCTAGAAGCGTATGAAAGCTGATTTCGAGTTTCGGGGGATTGCATCAAGGTGTTTCTGACGTAGGGTAGGCCACCACTCTGGACATTGTGTCCTGTCTCTAACTATAATAGCTTATTCAAGCCGGTATAAGTGTAGCGGAATTGCTGCAAGATATGATTGATTCATTATAAGGTGACTGACATTTCCTTTTTCATTGTGCAATATGCTTCCGAATTGGCTCCTGAAGTTGCCTCAAGAAGAACTCCTGTAAGCTAAAAGATCAGTGCTCGATAAAGGGGTTCAGCCCCAGCACTACCCTATTCATTACCTATTAGTCTCATTCCTCGTTATAACCTTGCGAAGTTGAAGCGACATAGAGTTAAATGGAGCCCCAGAGAAAAATGAGCGTGGATTTAAGTTGTACGAAGTAGTAAGTATTCGCTGCCCCTGATGCTGAAATTATAGCATATCGTAAGTAGGACTTCGTGGTTGCCGAGAGGTCATTACAGCCATTCTTAGTAGGGTTTGACATAAAGGGGCGAGCAGTGATAATAAATAGAGTCTTAAGGATAAGTCATGTTTAGTTTCTACGATGTGGTTGAATTAGGCTTCGTAGTCAGATATAAAGGGGTATATATTCAATCAGGGGCTTGCGTCCCTAGAAGTTTGAAGCAGCCATTACGCTTAGCTCATGGCCTCAACTATAACTGAACTTCCTAGTCAAAGGTTCTCACTGAATAATATGGTTGAGGGCCTAGCTAACTTGGGTGAGAATTGCACCTGGCATCTCGTAGGGACCCAGAACTGTGTCAACCTAACGAGACTAACCCAGACCTAGCAATTCTCATATTTACCACAATTTTAACCGAACTCAGACCCTCCCCCTTAGGCCAATATGACATAAGAGATAAACATCATAAATCATATGGTAGTTTTATCTGTGCGACTACTAGGAAAGCAGAGCACTTAAATGTAAAGTTGTGTGCACTACGGAGGTGCAGAGGGAACACATTAAAAAAACGCTAAAATTATTGGACTGACCCCAAGGGTGAAGGGGGTAAATCAAAATAAGATTGATTGGAACTATATTGTTTATTACATATAAGCGTTTAAATGAATAGGGTAAGTTTATAGCCATAATATGTATTAAATAATAAATTATTAATTGCATAAAATTTAATGATAAAAAAATTTTTATAAACATTTATTATTTAAAATAAATTTGTTATTTATATTAAATAAATTAAAAATTTATTATAAAAATATAAAAATATAAAAAATATCCCCCTCTCCCCCCTCTCCCCCCTCTCCCCCCTCTCCCCCCTCTCCCCCCTCTCCCCCCTCTCCCCCCTCTCCCCCCTCCCTCCCCTCCCTCCCCTCCCTCCCCTCCCTCCCCTCCCTCCCTCCTCCCCTCCCTCCCCTCCCTCCCCTCCCTCCCTCCCTCCCCTCCCTCCCTCCCTCCCTCCCTCCCCTCCCTCCCCTCCCTCCCCTCCCTCCCCTCCCTCCCCTCCCTCCCTCCCTCCCCTCCCTCCCCTCCTCCCCTCCTCCCCTCCCTCCCCTCCCTCCTCCCTCCCTCCCTCCCCTCCCTCCCTCCCTCCCCCCTTCCCCTCCCTCCCCTCTCCCCCTCTCCCCCTCTCCCCTTTTCCCCTTTGTTCCTTTCTCCGTTTCTTCCTTCTTTTCCTCCTTTTTTTCCTCCTTTTTTTTTTTTGCCTCTGCTCTTGGTCCCCCTCGTTTTGCTATCGGGGCTTATTGGTACACCCAGTACATTCAAATACATCCCAACCATTTTCAACTCCTACTATATCAACCTTCATAACTTATTCAATCCCGCGTTTCAATATTAAAACCTGTATCGCTATTTTCGCCTCAATTAGAGGTTCTAATGATATAAGTTTCAATTCCATACATGCCTTATATCAAAAGTTATTCGAATATATACCTACCTATATATATTTGATTGAATGTAAATGCGACCGCAAAAGAGCCTCCTGCAGAGCCTCATTCCAGAGCCTCATCGAATATATCAACCCTCATAACTTATTCAATCCCGCAACCCAACATATAATACTTATATCGCTATTTTCGCCTCAATTAGGGCTTTGTAATGATATAGACATCAACCTGGTGCAGGCTTTCAATATAAAGTTATTCGAGTATGTATGGTGGTGGTGGTGGTGGCTCTTGGGGATACCACGTGATATCCTTTCGCGCGGTCGCATCTGCATTGAATTAAATGATATATATTCGAATAACTTTTGAAATAAGGCATGCATTCAATCAAAATTTATATCAATAGAAAGCTCTAATTGAGGCGAAAATAGCGATATAAATGATATATATTGAGATGCTGGATTGAATAGGTTGTGAGGGTGGATAGGTTAAACTGTGGTATATTTGATTTAATTGAAAAAATTGGTGGGGATGTACCCTTTGTATAGGGTGTACCAATAAGCCCCCGATAGCAAAATGAGGGTGTACCAATAGCAATAGTCTTTATTTAATATAAATAATAAACTTTATTTTAAAAATAAATAAATATAATATAAAAACATTATATTTTTTAAAATTTTATATAAATATTTTAAAATTATATATAAATTTTACTATATCACGTTTATTTTTATCGATTTATTTCATTAAGTTATATCATATATTCGCTTATCGAATTTTAAAAAAAATATGATTATACGTGGGGGTGGGTATAATGACAAATTTTGGGTTTTTTTAATGTGTTCCCTCTGCACCTCCGTAGTGCACCTAAACCCACGTCATTATCTCATGGTTTGCTGATGAGTATCATTAAAGTGATCACGGGAGAAGGAGACTACTCTATTAGCGTCATCGAATAGTGTCGCATGATAAACACCTTATGCACTTTTTAGTTAACCCACAACTGTCTTTGCGTGAGAACTTAGTAGGTAGACTATCTGTCATCAAGGCAGTTGAACAGCCTATTAAGTCGAAGACTCGGTCCTTAGCGTCTAGATGGATAAGAACCTTATAACCTTAAGGTGCCTAAAATCCTGACGAAATAACCAATTCGAACTGATTATGGAGAAGCACATGAACTGTTACCGAGCAGATGGTTACCCTGATAGGGTATAAGTGCCTTCTGATAAGTACCGTAATATATTATTGAATCGGTGGACATCGTCATAACCAAAGAATGTACCCAACCATCATCCTTTACCTAGGAAAATAGAATATTGCATAGCCTCATACCCATTCGTGTTAAACCCGTACCTACACTCGCTCTAAATGTACCCTTATTAAAACACAAGACCTTTACCTAGATCCCCAACAACACTAGTTCTAAGCCTCACCGATCCGACGAGCCTCCTCCTCAGCCTCCTTATCTATCTCGTCAACCTCGTCTTTACTAAACGCCTCGCTGAACTTGACCCAAGGGCCATGCACTAGACCTGTACCCATACCGACTAAGATACCTATGCCGGTGGTGGGAATGGCTACTAAACCGCTGACCAAGGACCCGACGGTTACGCCGAGTCCGCCGGCAATCCCAGCCCCTATACCGGCACCAGTGGCACCACCCTGTAACCAGCCAGACTCAAGGCGCTTAGCTATCTTCAGCAGCTTAGCAGCTTTCATGTCGAGCTCCCTCGCGCGGAATTTTAGGTCCTCGGCGACATCGGGATCTACTGCTTCGTCGGCTTGTTTATGAAGCTGTACAGCCTCCTCTTGGAGTTTCTTTGATTCTTCGATGCGCGAGGTGATTTCTTCTATTAGCTTCTCTTTGGTCGTCGGCCTTTTCTTCTGCTCTTCTTTGCTTTCTCCTTTGCTGTTGTTGTCTGCCATCGCTAACCTGAAAGATTGGCGTGCCGTAACTCTAGAAGAGAAGTCCCTTTTTTTATTTTATATAAACGAACTGCCAATGTCAATGAAAGCGTATAAGTGTTGTAAAGCATCAGCCTCATCTGTTTAGGGTAGGTTCCTCTTTTGGAAGTAGGTAGTTGTTTGGTTGTGGCTTGACAATTGAGGCTCGATCCCCACTTGAAGATATTGTCTCGCGGCATGACGTCGTTTCGTAAGTCTAGAAGTGATTGATCTACTACGTACACAATGCATTAGGTAATGTATTGTTACTTAGTACATACATTAGGTAACAATAGTTTTCTTTAAAACCGCACTATGTTACACAACTTATTAAGCTTTGGGCGGCTTGTTTGTTTCGTTATCAGATCCTAACTTAGTTTTAGGTAAGTAAGGGAATACATGTGATTGAATGATGTCAACCCCTTAAACGGGTTGTTACCGGGAAAGGGGTAAAAAAACAAACATGACGAAATGTTCTTCGTGCTTGTGACCTTTAAGCGGGGAATATCGCAATTACATAAGATCCATAGAAATACCCATGAACTTCGAGAAAGTAATTCCGCCAATCATGAAATATTCTTTGAAACGGCACAATGGCAAGGATGATACTTACATGAGGTACATAATGTATAATGTATAATGTATTATACGCATTGACAGATGAATAGTGTAACTGATAGCATTGATAACATTGATAAAACAAGGCTTATCCGGCTTTCCTAATTTTGATCACTTGACAAACTTCGGGACTATTATTAGTTGGGCTTCAAACCAATCACCGTGTCGGCGGGTCCATCATCTTAAATTCCATTTAATACCTAGGACCTACCTGGGACCTACCTGGGAACCTACCTAGGACTTACCATGTAAATTGGTACCGTTACCAATGCGAACAGACACCGACCAACGCCTTGGGTTTCCAACTTGGGAAACACAGATCCCGTGATCGTTTCGAGCTCCAGATCTTCCTGAACCGGTGAAGATTCTTGGGACGCTCCGAACCATAGTTCGCATATTGTTAGGTAGAAATGATGAGTGTGGAGAAGCATTTCATATATACCCCTGGTTCTCGTTTCCACTTCCATTATTCCATGCAATTATTTTTATTTTATCTGTCATTTATTATTATTGTTATTATTCTTTTACCCTTTCTCACGATAATATCAAATAACCCTCCTGATGGTATTACCCCATTTAATTGTTGTTGGTCGGAATAGCCGATGACATGTCACACGATCATCACGCTCTAAAAGGATAGCAAACGAACAATGGTTATCAGGGGGCATATGACATTTATTTTACATACATAGTACATACTACAGAGAATGACGTTTTATGATGCTTTATGTATCTAAAGAGCGAGAATTCCATCTTATCCCCGATGGCTGACAACTTAGATAATCAGTGAAGACTTACATATTGATGATGTTGAAGAGAAGATCTGGGGAATGTTCCCGCTGTTAGTCATGGAACTGGGACCGCGACTGGGACTCTGGGTATCCTGGTCATGATGATGAGATACGTAGTGATGTACATGTAGTAGGTCCCAGCGACGGAAGTAAATATTCTAAGCGAAAAAAATATTCGAAATAAAATAATAAATATTATTTTTATTTATTTTATTCTATTTATTCAAATTATCACATCGTGAAAACGAAACTATGTATGGTACCATGGTCTCCCCGTCTCACGCACGGCCTCTCTTTGTAGCAATCCTAACCCATACGCATCTGTGCTTGGGACGATTGGAATACCATATCCATATCCTGTTTTGTTCGGGGGTGATTAGCATGAAATGACACCAGCGGGCTCTCAGACGTTCTGGCGTTCCCGCGGGACGGGTGAGCATCCGGCGACAGGGCATCGTCGACTTAGTCAACTTAGTTAACTCAGTTTGAACCCCCCCGGCCAATCTCTTGACTCGCACGCGATTCCCAATTCGAACGCGATGCCGTCGCCATGACTCTCTTAGGCTTTAGCTAGTACCAGAGTGAGCGCCGCCCAACCTAGCCGAACTGAACTACCGGGCTCTTTCACTCCATACAGCCTGGTCCTTCTAGAAGGAAGTTAGAAGCGTTCGGCCTTGTTATCTAGAACTAAGACACCAGCTAGAAGGTATTTCGCCGATAGCCCTGGCGTTGTGTGTTTCGCGCGAAGCGGAGCGCCTGACCCATTATCCATTATGTACATCCAATCACGCTATCGTCGTCCCGAGGCCCCCTGAAACTTCGTCATAGCGAATGTTATGGTTCACCCATTGATGACATGAAAACGCCATTCCCAAAGGAGATTCACTCGCATGAGGATATCGCGTCTTGAAGCTTCTAGCATAACTGCAATTGGTATCGCCGCTGTCAAAGTCACGTTGTAGCAGCTATACATACATAATGCCGCGTTAGCTATTATTTTCAAACCCTTGCAATCACGGGGGAGCTCTGGTATGCGAAATAGCAGCCTTGCAGCTCGTGAGGCGTTGACTAGCACATACTACGTAGCAATTGCTTCGCATATTAACCTGAAATCTGATAGGCTCTTTAATCGACCTCTCCGATAATTCTCCACCACGATATCTCCATCGGACATAAGAGACTGTCAGCTTCAGTCGATGTTTTTGGACGCTTTAATTTACCAACTCTGCCATTTCTGATCTGTCCGTATGGAGACAACCCCGGAGAATGCTAGAATTGCGGACCGCTTGAAGCCCGCCGCCAAGTTAGTTGAATAATATGAGGGTATATCGACCAGATCGACCCGAGGCCATGGCTTTGGTGGACTTTACAACCACTTTATGGCGGCATGAGTGGATACGATGAGCTCCGATTCTACGATCTTATGATGATGAATGGAGAGTTGGTCTTTGAACCACGACTCCGAGTGATCGGGTCAGTTTGTGGATTGATTATTTCGATCTCGTGGTAACTATTCACCCACAAGTACTACATACGTATAACGTACATAGGACGGTAGCTAATAGCCTTTGCTAATGGGATGAGATAAGAGAGCTTACTTCCACGTGGACATGAAGCTCCCCCCACTCTGCATTGGCGAAATGCGAGGCTCTACATATTCCTTCAACCAGATACTTGAACACTGAGGAACCATATTTCCATCTTGAGATAAATTCAGATAAATAAAATAATGGAATAATATTTCATTGAGGAGTGCTTACTGTCGCATGCGGTTGATCCCTCCCGCGTGTTGAAGATAAGCGTTATAGACCGGCCTCGTGTCTCCTCCTTCTGTAAAGTCACCACCCTTTCAGCAGAAACACTACAAATAGTACCTTGCATAAGGATGCTCTCAAGTCTAAACTATGTCCATTAGTTAGCTATAGCAAGCTAAGTTATAAGTAAACTACGCCTGAATAGTTATTCGGTAGACATAGTTATGCAAAACAATAGTCTATGTCTACTAGTGTAATACATAGATATCTAAATATACGACTAAGAATAGCCGACCAGTGATTTAAAAACGTGCATGTGCCTGTAGGCGGGCAGTAACAGTAGGTAGACAGACATCCAGGTACTCAATCGCAGTTAATAGGATTCTGTTAATAATGAATCCTTCTGCCGCAGAGGAATGAAACGCACCTATTACAGTCGTACGCAAAAGGCTCATGCAGGGACTTCGAGATAGGGTAACTCCGATGGCACCAACCCATGTGGCATTATGCCATATCGCGAGTTTACTATCGCTTGAACTTATCCGATGACCGCCAGACCACACTGACATTTACCCCTAGTCTAACACTTACCAAACATCTCTCGGTGAGAGGCGTGAGTGGCTCGAACTTACCACTTATTACCGAAAGGGGAAGGTCAGTAAGTAAGTGGGTGACCCCCCCAAAACTCCCCAGCCCTTACACTAGAAAGCCACTTACTTAGTTACCTACCTATAGCTAGCTATGTACATAGTTAAGTCTTCTAGAAATGGACAAGTTCCTGTCAGAAGTTTAAACACGAGCACGCCAATAAAAAACACCACATCCTCCCGTCGCGGTCTGGCGGGATGGGCGGACGGGAAACCGTTCCTAACATCCCGCGTAGGATTTGATATCTTAGTCTCGTAATTTACATATTATACGCATGGTTTGGCCGTGTTGGTCCCTACCTACATCCCATCCATCCATACATCCTATGTTAAGTAAGACGCAAAGACGAAAGGAGTATGTACCTCATCCCACAAACTGCAGCCAGCACAGCAATCCGTCAATCGATCAACTACCACGAACAACTGCCGTCACTCGTGACGGCCGGCGCATGCGGCGCATGCTTTTGCTTTCGTAGCACTGGGGGACTGGACTGGGGGAACCATTAATATCTACATCTTATTCACCATTGCTACGCCGCAAGCTCCGACTTGCAGCGGAGTTGGATTGTTGGCGCGTCCTGATTGGTTTCCGCCGCGACGATTAGACCTGTCAAAAACTGTACTGCCCCGGATCTACACCGGTATTCTCATGTATGTACATACATCCATACAGTGAGCCGCCGGCGCGGGACGCTTATTAGCTGCGGCTTTTGCGAAACGCGGCTCGAATGGGTTGGGTTGGGTCGCCTTATCCGTAGCCCTGCATGCTCTGCCGCGGTACGTGTATGTGTATGTATATATTTTTGTTGGTGCGAGGCTGGATGGATGGACTGCTTAGGCCTTCAATTCAACTTACCGCCTCGTGTCAACATCGTCAACCCTGTCGGCTTCGCACGTATATTTTTGTCCGGTCATCACCGCCGCCCGAACCATGTCTGTGTCTGTGTGTCTGTCTGTATGTCTGAATTCTCTACAATAGCACGTTGCCCAACGCGCCGGAAGACCCAACCGTTAATCTGATCCAGGACCATGGACTGTGATGGGAACCCTTCCTAATTTCCAGAAAATCGTTATATTCATGGGACAGTCGAGTATTAATTATCACACGCGACATTAGAGTAGTGGAGTTATCTCGTCTCCCAAACTACCAAATCCATGATGACGGGTTCGATTACACCGTAGATGGACCGATACAGGTTTGATGGAGCATCGCGCCAGCGCCATGCTGCCGGGCTCGATATGTACCTACATACATAGCGTACTTGCGGCAACGAGGGCGGGTCCTGTCAGTCACTCTCTGTGCCGGTAAGGTAAGAAGCTAATCAGCCTAGAATTAATCTCCCTTACCCCGAATAGGAGCAGCGGAGTAGTAGGGGGGCCCAGGTACAGAAGAGCCTTGCCGGCGGCATATCTGGGTTACTGGCTGTGGGCGTTCGAAAACGGAAGGGCGCTCGGCAAGAATATTACTCAAGATGGTATTGGCGTGTTAAAATTCCGGATAGACCATGTTATGTATTCAATTGATGTCGCGCTATAGACATGGGATAGAAAACCCAGGGGCTCTAGAAGCGATTTGCGGCTCCGCAGCAATGTTACCTTGAGTTCCAGGCGGAAGGGAGCCCGGTGCATCCCGGGAGCCCTGGAGCCAGGGGGGAGACCCGCTTGGGCAGAATATGATATATCTATTCTCTACCATTAAGTGCCTAAGGCATGAGGAAGCTTCGTCCCAGGGCTATGGCTTGGGAAAACAGTTCGCATGGAGAAGCGAAAATGTGACATGTCGTTGTCGCTTCAGGGATACCGGGGGGGATGCGTTTGGGGTGCGTTCGGAAATTTTCGTCGTATGAACGGTTTGAGCGGTAATGAAAGTACTCAAGGATTAGGTAACTAGAATAAAATAAAACAAGATAAAATAAAAAAATATTAAAAATATTATTTTATTCCGAGGAGAAAAACAAACCACCTCTTAGGCACTGCGGCGTGTATTACCGACGGCACGGTAACCTCCTTAATAGGCGACATATAAGGTATTTGATACTAGGTAATATTAACTATACCGACTTGTTGGTAGCAGCAAACCAAAGATGTTTTAAACAGATTTAACCTCGGCTAAAAGAATTCTCGAATTTTCTAGCTGGTAAATTTAACAGAAGTTCACTTATGTAGAGATAGTGGCATCCCTTACGTAGACGGTAAAGTCTTCACCTTGTAGGAATATCAATTGTGTATATCGGGCCCATGTTTGGTGGAAAGAGGGTTATGATTTAGTGCTCATAGAATAGCCAATCACACAAGTAACCATGAGGCTCTTGTTGTAAGTGTACCTATGTAGTGTAATGTGCACCCCGAACTATTCCAAGGTTTCTAGACCTGGTAGTGTTGTTCATTATAGAATGAAGTGTGCTTTCGGAAGCTTGATATTTAATTTATAGCTTAATTATAGATAATTTAATTAGTGAGCTTCTAGTAAAGAAACTTTGAGATTGTTTACTGCTAGGAGGTTACCAGATATCTATAGCTTTTGAACGCTGACCAGATGGCCCACACAATCAATTCGTTAAGAACAAGCTAATGCTTAATAATAACTATAGAAGCTGGTAGCTATCTAATAGTTATATCTTATCTAATTATAAGTTAGTTACGAAGTCTTCGGAAATAGGTTCAGTATAGTCTCCTAAGTTTGATTCTATGTTATCTAATTGTTATAGGTCCTATAATACGATACTCAAGTCATAGGTACTTAACAGCGTTCTTATTAAGTTTTATAGTAGTTCTATTCGATAATGCCTATTCTTCTAGAAACAAGTTATAAGGTTGCAGACGACGTAAATATTATAATGCCAGAACTAGTCCTTTTCATATATTACCTACCTGCAGATGGATATACATCTACTATTTGCTTTCCTATCTACGACTTGAATTCCTTAAGTCGGATTAGAACCCCGTGGGCTAAAAGCCACCAGTAACTCTATAGTTCACATCCTCCCTCACTTGTCGACCACGTACAGGGAGGTGGAGACCAGCAGAGAAGGTTGGAGATGATGATGAGAATGTTTACGTCTATTAGTGGCTATAGCTAGGTACCTAGCTACAATGAGCACATCAATGGCGCTATTGGATGTCTAGAGTATCACCTCCTTAAGGAGAGACAGAGCTAGAGTATCGCCTGACATGAGAGATCCTCCACTTCCTGCCTATAGCATCCCTAGCCACTACCTGTCTATAGCATTACTCTACCTGATTAGGGCCAGTTCCAGGTAGCCGACTTTGACCAGGGGAAAAACCGTCGAACGCGCCTTCTTATAACGGAGATGAAATCACCCTCAACGCCCAGCAGTGCCTAGGGAAGAGGTGAGAGAGCGAGTAAGCTCACGAAGCGGAAACAGTGATAGATTATTAGATTTACTAGGATCATCCAACCATAGGTATAGACATCATCTCGATTTGTCTCTAGAGTAGGAAACTATGTGCTGTGACTATAAAGGGAATTAATTTGCTCGAACTAGCATGTTACTGAATATTCTGTCTTCATATCGAAATACGTATCTTTTTACTTCCGAGTCCTTCTTTTAGTGCCGGGTCCTCCTTTTAAGTACTGAGCCGTAGGTAAGGGTTCCGAGCCCCTTTTCTGGGCACCGAGTCCTGGGTGTTAAGCCTTCCTTGGGTATCGAGGGCGAAGTTATTGAGGGCGAGGATTTCGAGCGTTGCGAGCCCTTCTCCTGGGTGCTGAGTCTTCTTTTTAGGTGCTGGGTGTTGGGGGTAAGGGCCCCGAGCCGTGGGTGAGGGTATTCAGGATATTTTAAGTTTAATATATTCAACTGTATAATAGCAATAAATTCGGGCTATTGTGGCAGCCCGCAGGGGTGCATTCCTGTCTTTATTCAGAGTAAGAAATCTGTTGAAGAAATTTTATTCATACGTAGACGCAGCAGCGTATAACCTTTTAGTACAACCCAGTTTCCGACACATATAGTACATCAAAGATGAATAGAGCCCCCAGAAGTAGCAAAAGTTGTCCTAGAGTAAGCCCCCCTTTTCCCAATCCCAAAATCAAAACCCCAAGACCTCTTTCTCAATATCGTCTCCAAACTCGCCCCGCCGGCGGAATATCAACTTGGGCCCAACATGCTGCGAGCCAAATGTATCATACAACTGAAACTCATGCGGCCTGCCCCTCCCATCCGTCCTACCCGGAACTCCCGCCCCTACATGTCCCGCCTTCCCCTGCGCCGTCCAGAAATCGAACGTGAAAAGCGTCTTGGCAATCACCAAGCTCGCCTCTAGATACGCCATGCTCTTCCCCGCACAAGCCCGGGAGCCGACCGAAAACGGGTTGAAAGCAGCGTACATGCGACTGAGCGCCTCCGGATCACCGTTCTCATCGAGCCACCGCTCGGGCCGGAAGATGAACGGGTCGGCGAAGTACGCCTCGTTGTGGTGTAGCGCATATGTGCACACGCCGACCTGGGTGCCTTGCGGAATTACGTGGCCATCGACGATCCACGGCTCGCGGGCGTGTTCCTTAGGCGGTAGTTCCCGCCACAGCGTTCCTGTGATGGGTGGTGACATGCGCAGGGCCTCGTCGATGCAGGCGCGCAGGTAGCGGCAGTTGGAGAGTTGAGGGCCGCTTTTAATGTCAGCGCTACTAGAGAAGGAACGCCGGATCTCGGCGGCTAGTTTTTTGTAGACTTCGCGGTAGCGCGAGAGGTAGAAGAATAGTGCACTTAGGGCTGTGGTTGTTGTGTCGCCCGCTGTAGTTGAGTTAGTGCGCGGCTATGCCTAGGTAGAATAGGGGTCAGGGGGTTTGGAGCATATAGGACAAGGCACAGACCTGCTGGGAAAAACAAGGCTTCGGACCATAGCTCGCTGGTCGTAATCCCGTCGGCAGCATTGTCGAGATGATCGGCAACGAACGAGTAGAGATCATTCTTAGCATGTTTCTCCTGAGATAAACGAGTGCTGATCATAGTCTGTAGCGCACGGAGATACTTCACCCGCTGGCCATAACCCACGAGGAGAAGTAAGCGGTGAAGCCCTAGGTTCTTTAGCAGCGGCCACTGCATCAAGCTGTTCAACTGGTACGTCCCCACGCCAAGCCCGCGGGTGATGAACCGATATGTCGGGTCCGTCTGCATGTTAAGAGCAAAGCCGAACGCAAGAAGGCCTACAATGTCCATGCCGAGCCACTTGCAGCGTTCCGTCATATCAACGGGGCTAGAGCCTTGAGACGAAACCATGAGTTGTTTGATAAAGATATCGACCTGCTCTATCATGGTAGGCTCAAAAGCACGCGTCGCTTTATCATTGACGGCTTGTCCGATGAGCTTGCGCTTAAGTCTATGCTGCTGTTTATCGATGGTACTGAAGATACTTGGTTTGCCAGACCTCATGGTGAGCTTATAGACATGCGACTTTGTAACTCTCTCATTATTGTAGATGTCTACAGAAGTCAGTATATGTATCTCACTTACGGTCCTAACAGGCGTCGCTTACCTTGTAACGCCTCAACTGAGTTGAATACGAGCTTGTCGGGACCATGTCGCAATGCTGGCCCCCCTAAACGCCCTCCTATTTAGTAAGGGGAGCAATCACTTCTCCTAATTATTTAAGCTTACCATATTTCTTCTGATCTGAATAAGTAGTCAAGTGAAGGCGTCTCAACAGTGCGTAGAACCCCGTATAAATGCCGGACAACTTCGCAAGGAAGGGTCCCGGGTACTTTCTTAAGGGATGAAAAAAAATACGATAAATGAGTATGAGGAGATACTTTTGCATTATGTTAGTGAACGACCGCTATAATAGCAAATTGAGGACTCACATAAGGGATAAAGATTACAGAGGGATACTTCACCGCGGATGGTATAAAATTGAGGATACTCATTTTAGCGGGCTGGCAGCATCTAGGATAAGTGAAATTGAGAAGTTAAGTAAAATTTCACCTATAATGGTAAATATTCAAGTTCAAGAGTTTTGGTTCTAGCTGACACGCTGTGCCATTTTAAACGCAAGTTGGTAGGCCAATTGTTAATAGCATTTGTTGGTTGGGTTTACGAGATTACCTCCAAGTACAATATGCATATGCAGTTATAGCCTACTGAAGACAACTTCAAATCCCATTCGGCCGAACGAAGACACAAATCAAAACACAGGATCGATATTACTTTCGTCCGTCGTGCGATGATTTCTTGGCTAAGCGTCAGACAAAGGATTGAGAAGGTTAGGAGTTAATAGTCAATACGGCTGGATACGGCACAGCAGCCAATGGCATACATGTAAGGAAGATATAGTGTCGGCCCTAGGATGAGTCCTATAATGCGAACCTACATGATAAGAGTGTATTAAACTTTCGCTCACTACTTGCTATTTAGTCTCAAAGAGTTTAGTTTCAAAGAGGTATCCTGCCAAAAGTCTTTTGCTTCCGCAAGGGATTCTGGTACAGCGTGCGGCGTTTGCACCTTTTGTCGGACAGGCCAAACGACCTGCGTGTCGTCGTCCTTTGACCAGAATCCCCGACCGCCACGGTTATAAATAGAGGTTCTTTCGGACCAAGAACTTTGCATTTCTTCCATATCGACCGTAGAGTTATAGGCCCATTGTTCCGCAGGTTTCCAAACAGGCTTCAGAGCTCCAAGGGCCCGGAGTCTCTCTTGGTCCCAGAACACGTAGCCGCACTCGCGATATGGCCAGTCCAGCCCATCGTATATGGCGAAATGTCGGCTTATGTCGTACTCCAAAGAAATCTTCCATATCTGCTCAGCACCAGAATCTTCATCTAGGAAGAATGCTGGCGCCTTCAATATGGCTGCGCCATAACCTTCGTGTGGATTTAATTCGTCGAGTTTTCTGAGACAATATGATAGAAATACACTATTTTCCTCGGGTGGCATCTCTTCGATTCTAAGTAGTGCCTCTCGGTCTTTGTATGATTCGGCAGAGGCAATTAGGAGAATTCTTTCCAACCCTAATGTTAAAAGATGCTGGATTGTCTCATCGTCAATGTTCGCGTCGAAATCGACTGAATATTCCCCTCCCCATACGACATCGTGCCGTGCGATTTCATTAAATGCTATGTTATGATAAATCAGTGATGATGCTATTGTGAGAATTATACTCAGAATGTAGTCAGTACGCACCTGGTATCACCTGCCTAGCTAAGAAATCATGAATGCAGGCTAACTGTGCATTTTCCCAAGGGGCAAATTTAGAGAAAAACACCATGTTTAAATCTAGTGCTTTCTCTGCCATACGACGTAAACAGCCAAAAAGTCTGCGGAATATTTCAAATTGGTAGAGCGACCGAGAAATCCGCTCTTTCTCAGAGCTTGATGGTGAAAGTGTCCGTAGACTATGCCCAATGTCTAGGTAAGATGACGAAGTTCTACTACATACTTGGACAAATTTTTGTGTTAGTTTCGAGACCACCCGGTGATGATAAGCATCGAGCGCTATAGCACATCAGCATAGAGAATTCGGTAGGGGAGGGCATCGGTGGCTTTAAATTTCTCAAAAAGTCGAACCCATAACTCTTTAAAGATTTCACCTGCTCACTTCTTGGAGATTCTATTGATACATCGGCGCTGTCGCTGTAGAGCGGTGGGGAGCATCGATAGGCGATAGTGGCTATAGGTAGAACACTTGATCCGAGGGAGTTGATAAGTACGTCCCGTATAACGATGTTCTCGCTTTCTTTGAAAGTCGTGTAGAGAATACGACAACTCAAGGCGGCAGATATGAGGGACGTGACATCTGGCAAGGACGCGAGAATGCAGCATCGTAGCTCGGGGGGCAAGCGCTCAAGTGAATTAAGAGGATTCTGAACTCCTGGAATTTCTTCCTCGTTTATCGCAGGCTTCTCTAGCCGATTATCGTCTGTTTCAGACATCTTTTTTTTCGCTTGTCGGGTTCGCGTCAGTCGAGTAAAGAGTAATACGTGGGTAAGTTAGGTACCTAGGAGGTAATGATGAAGGTGATGAAGGTGATGAAAGTATAAAGTGAAGTGAAAAGGTAGCCGTTATAAATGAAATATAAGTCGTTCGAGCTTGACATAACAGAACCTGCCTAGAATAGAACTTGTCTTGCGGTTCTGCCTGCCTGCTTTAAGTATTGGCGAAAAGTGGGGCACAGAGCGGTTAGGGGGGTAGAGTAACAACCTTCAACTGTAACATTTCAACTTCAACATTTCAACTTCAACATTTCAACTTCAACATTTGTACAAATTATGCGTCATCGTACACCTAAGTTCTACACAGTGAGTCGACTCTATTATAATTTGAATCCAATACATATCCAGGCGTTATTCACTACACACATGTGGGTGTGAGAGTTATCAGAGTGCGTCGTACAAGTGACGACGATACGGGTTACATGACCAACGACGTACTGACCGCATTCATCTGCTTTAGCAAACAACAAAATATCAAACCGAAAGTGAGCACAATTTGAGGTTTCATGCACACGTGCCACAACACAAATAGGTTCGAATCTCACTGTGGTCAACAAAATGGACCGACTCAGGTTTTTCCTTGGGCTTCTCCTGATCAAGTCGGCTACCTGGCGCTATGGGCAGGCAGGGGCTGGGAATGCTATAGGCAGGAAGTAGAGGATCTCTGATATCAGGCGATACTCTAGCTCTGTTACCTTGGGTACTTAAGGAGTCATAGAATTCAGCCGATATATCTCACCTAATGTGGGAGTGAGTCTTGATCTCCTTCAACACCAAGATACCTCGTCAATGTGATACTGACAAATGTAGCGACTCGAATTCATACCTACGCATCTTAAATATACGCCATGTATTTAAACATCCCCTCCCCTCCCCTTATTTCCCACCTTGAAGAAGACAAATGCTTATGATAACTTAGCAACACTCCTACAGCAACACTCCTATCTATTAGACGTTTCTATAGTCCCCACTAGAGAACCATTTTTACTCCATTCTGCAACGTACCAGATAAGTCTTATTAAAAGGGTCGTTATTAGCATAATGTATCAATCACGAGCACCGTCTTGCCCTCCGCAACCAGAAGAAAGCAAGGCGACCGTCAAAAACAAGGCGACCAGCAATGCGGACAATTCTGGTATTTACCGTGTCCCTGAACAACGATTTGGAATGGGAAAACGACAAGACAGCTTTGCAAGCGATATTGCTGGCGGCTCGGAGAAGAAAGATGCTTTCCGCGATGCTATTGCTGACCGAAAAGCCAAAAGCCTAGACATGGCCCCCCCTGAGAGTCCCTTCGCCCAACAGAGTGACAAATACCATAGAAGTCAGGTGATGGCTTCAAAAGCCTTACAAGAATGGAAAAAGCGTCAGGCTCCTGGCCCAGTTAAAGCACAATTAGCTGTGAATGTTGCCCAGGCATACAGACAGGAGGCAGAAGATCGTCAAGATATGAAAACCAACTGGCCCGGCTACGATACCTACACCGGGGCGAAAGGACATACGGAAAGAATCGAACTAGTCAAGGACAAAGCAGATGAATTCGAGGAGAGGAGTGCAAATGGAAAAGGTTGGTAGATTTACTACATATTAAACTGAAGGTTATATTTACAGGAGGGACCTGATGTATACCCTACTCAAGCTCAGCGTTGACTTATACGAAACAAACTTTTAAGTAGCTGTGGGGTTTACCCTTAACATGACCGAATATAACTAAACTCCGCCCATGTAAACTGAACAAAAATAAAGCAACCTCTTATGCGATGAGCAATCAGCCTTTTACAATTTGGTGAGAGTTGCAGGATTCGAACCTGCGCGGTTTCCCATCGCGGTGGTTCCAAACAATACGACCTAGTACGAGTGATTCTCGTCTTTTAACGATGATTACCTATGATGACTTTTCGATGAAATTCGAGTAGGTCTGAGGCAACACCTAATACCTCCCTCAACTCTTACTACAACGTATCTTCAAAATTCATCTAAATCTGTCAAATACCTAGGCACCTAGGTAGCTATACTAACAACTACTGAGCCTTGCCTAGTAATACTGAACTTTACTCAATCAGCATCAATACTCACAACATAGCCTATACAATTGTATCAACTCTAACATCTTAGTTATTAAGAAAGCGTAAACCAGGTGAGATTACAAGGTATTAGTGAAAGAGCGGAGGAAAAAAAAGGGGGTTTAAAAAAAAAGAAAAAGAAAAAAGGTGAAAATACATTAGGCCGCCAACTATATAATATATTCTGATTTTACACTCGTTAGAATGAAAGCTATAGCCTTAAATTTATTTATGCTCATGTTTACCTAAGAAAGGGTGGCTTTCTAGCAAGTCTCCTTTTCATAACTTGCTTGCATATATGCGTCTTATTTACCCCTGAACGAGGGGCAGTGGATCGGAGACATTCTAGGCTTGTAATTCACGTGAACATATCTCACAAAAACCCCTATCTATACTATTTCAAGATTTAGATTTATCTAATCAATGTGAATAGCTGAAGCCGCCGCATCCCCAACCCTCCTAGGACCCACACAACACCATCCATCCACCATCCCCAACTTCACAGCCCCCCCTTCCCCCCTTCCCCCTAATCCTTCTTCCTCCCCTCACCCCCTCCCACGCGGCGAAACTTCCTCTTATCCTTCCTGCTCATCCTAGTCCTATCCCGAGTTCCCTTTCCCCCCCCAGAACCCTCTCCCCTTCTTCCCGATAACGCTGCGCCCGCAGAACAAGCACGCCTCCACCGCGTAGTTCTGCTCCCGGCTGCACCACCCGCACACCATGCGGTTCGCCCACTCCTGCGGGTGGTCCTCGGCCGCGTCGTGGCACTTGTCGCACGGGTACACCTTGGCGCAGCACGAGAAGCGGAACCACCGGTACGACCGCCGGTAGTGTCCACACGTGCCCTTCTCGGGCAGCGGGTCGCCTGCGTGTAGACCTAGTTTCTCCACGCGCTTCCGTGGCCCGGCTGCTGGTGGCGGTAGCGACCCGTGGCTGATGGCGAGGAACTTGACCTCTGGGATCTTGAAGGTGAACTTGGCGTGGCACTCCCGGCACACGTTGGTGATGGCGTCTCCTCGGACGGTTACTAGCCCCTGACTCGGCGTCGAACATCGGGAGCATGTAGGTATGAATGTGCTAGGGGAAATGTCAGTGCGTGTTAAATACTACGGAGCGAGAAATGGTGACAGTAAAGTAACATACCTAGGAAGCATGTCGGCGACGGTGCAGCAAGCAACGTCGATGAACCCGGCCCTGGTCGAGCTCTGGTGCACCAACTCTTGACGGAACTTAACTGTAAATGCTGTGGCGCACTTTTTGCAGCTGCCTGTCTTTTCCACCTCTGGTTTTAACCCCGTTATCTCGTTTAATGTCTTACAGCGCTCGCACTTCACGCTAAGGTTTAATATCGATACTTGGAGTAGCTCGATACCGTGTAGTTCGATTGATGGGAACGACATCGCCGTGCCCTTTTCGGCCTGCTGCGTAACAACCGAGACGCCTTCGCTCCGTATGCCGGTCGCCGCACCCCCGTCGTCAGATTCATCCTCCGAGTCCCAAAAATCATCGTCAGAGTTGTCTGATTCTCCCGATTCATTACCATAGCTCCACTCTGGAGGACGAGGAACGACATGGATGTGACTTCTTCCATCATCATTAGCAGCCTTCGAAGCTGCCGTTTGTTGAGCTGTGGTATCAGTCACCCCGCTATCACTTTTCGAAACCACCTCGGGTTGAATTTTAGCTGCGTGAGCCTGTTTGGCCATTGTGTGGATATTCTGTGAGAGATAATTTAGATGACTTGTCAAATTCATCTGCTTCTGTTGAGCAGCCCTTTGCGCAAATATTTCTTCTAGGGCCTCAGCATCTTGTGACTCAACGTTATTAAGCAGAGCTCTCAAAGGCTGTAGGGGGTAAAGCAAGGGGATGATCAACTGAACTGATTGAATTTGCTGTAACTCCATCGGCAATTCACTCCGTCGTCTTGGCTCTAAGGGTAAAGTATAAACAATCCCATCCGCAGATTTTTGGTAGTGAGGCATCCGGGACATTCGAGATTCGAGCTGTCTAATCTCTTGCGCTCGCCTTGCTCTCGCAGTGGCGATTTGCTCTTCCGTGAAAGATTCCTCCGGCACATACTGTCTTCTAGGTGCCGGAGTAGGTTTTGGTTGTGCATTAACCGTTGAAGATGAAGCCTCGCCTAACGCAGCGGCTGGACTATCTAGGTGTCTCGTATCCTTAAAAGATAATAGAGTTATAGTCTCGGCCTTTCGCTCCGAAAGAAATGCTTCGAGGTTTTTGTCTAAAGCATTGATAAGAGCCAATAGAGTTGAGTCTTGATTTTCATGGACAAGCCTGACCCATCCTCTTTCTATATTGACGGCAAATCCACGAGGGATATCCTTATTCTTAACTCGAAGAACGGGAGGCCTCTCCGGATATAAGCCAGGTACCCGAAGCTCGCATTTTAGATAATCTAGCTCGAAAGGAAAGTCTGGATCGGATGGTTTGAGCTGGAATAGTAGATTTGTTGTTCCGTCCTGCAACGTGTTTTCTATAGGAGCGAACCGCCTTTTTATCTGATTCAGCTGGTATCTCCGGGGATCCCGAGTCTGTGAATCGGGGATCGGCTTCGGCACGATGTGATTAGTAGGGGCTCTATCCACGGCTTGGCGGCCGTCAATAGTGCCTCCATGGGGGGTTCTAGTTGATATCATGGTGCCAAGAAAAAAGGCCGGGCTTCACCGAAAAGGACACTTCAAATCATTAAGAGGTTTTCCACTGAATATGGAAAAGAAAAATGAGTACTAATAAATGAGAAAATTAACCTTATGCTCAAGAACTCAAAAAGATATATGAGACATCAATGTATTTGTTGTTTTTATCTACCTAGGGCGATGATGACTCGACCCAAAATTGATGACTTAGAATGATTTAGAATGATGCCTCAATAAGCCACAACAGGACCAAGTATGAAATCCGAAGACCTTCCATAACTGCATAGTCCCGTTGCCACCTTATCATCAGTCCCGCTCTTGGCATCTACCTCCAGGACTGATAATTACATGACCGCATTCTTCCTGACATAACTAAACGAGATTCCAATTTTCTCTCCTTTTTTTTTGGTAATAACTCAAATCTGCATCTCTCCTAGCTACCATATTCCTCCGTACCAGCTCAGATGAATGTTGTTTTGCAAGGTTGAGTGCTTGCAATGTGGCGTTAGGGACCACACACCACAGAAATCACTATCCATTGTCGCACTATTGATGGACTGGCGAATGAGACTCTAAAAACGGTAACACTCATCTGCAATAGGGACCGTGGTGTTATACAAGTTCTTCTCCCATGAACCCTCGACATATGCGTTCACGGAGAAATTGAAAGCTGAACGTAGCTCGAAGCCGTTGGTGCAGGTAACGTTCCTAGGCCAGATCATTCGGCTAGCCTTTCTGACGCGTGTTTGGCTCTGTGCCACGTTCAACTCATTTACAAATTGAGGCCGTGCCGTGATTCCGCCTGTGGTATTGTAAAGGCCATCCATGACATCAAGGGCCAACTCAATTGTGAAATCAATGAAAGGCGAGGCATGTCCTGTAGCTGCTTCCGCAGTTTCGACAGCAGAGGCGAGGCGTGGTGACCATCCAATAGCGTATGATTTATCAGCATCCACAAAGTCAATATGTGCGTGACCGTCATTAATTTCCGTCGTGATATTGCTATTGTGGTATATAGCTCCCACAGCACCAAAATCAGCACCTACGGCCCAACGAAGTGCTGGTTTGAGACTGAAGGCATTAGGCACACTAATAGCGCTGGGGAAGAACTGGCCGGGGGAGAATAAAAAGTTGTTATTATCAAGAGGTGCGGTGAGGTTGAAAGTGACGGATAAGTCACCAATAAAGGCCGCGTCTATGTCGAACCAAAGATTCTGAAGGTGCTGGCTTGGAACATCGTAGCTAAAATAGCCGCGGATTATAGCAGCATCGGTGAGGTATCCATCCTTGGCTATAGTCGTAAAGTGTGGTGCTTCAAAGATTTCCATGTCCGGAGGAAGTGAGAAGTTGGAGGCAACATTGATACCAGGCTCATCGAACGTGATGTTTCCGCTACTGTTCTGCATTGAGCTTCGAACATGGGAAAAGGTGACATGCATGGTATCTTTGAATCAATGTTAGTCAGTTCGACTGCTTAATACTGCCTTCTAACTTACCAGTTATAGCGGTAAAGCTCTTCTTGATGGTTCGTGCCGTTACTGTGGCGATGTCGTCTTGCCAGATGAGACTTTCGACTTCGTAGATTCCTCTTTCACCTTTAGCGTCACAACCCTCTGCGCCATTCGTGACTAGGTAGAAGGTGTCATAGATTGGCCATATTTTAAGGGCGTGCTCGAACGCAGTTGTAGAATTGAAAGTAACAGTCACCGTATTAGACGTGCAAGTAACCGCGTGTACCGATCCGATGGACTCCAGTAGCATGACAGGTTGCTTGGCTAGTAGATCAATGTTGACGCTATTGAGGGGATCCATGGAATTTCCGAGAGTATAGTAGAGACTGACGTTCTTAAGGGGCACCATATTGGCGTACTTGTTCACATCATAGCGAGGGGCCAAGACCGGGTGCAGGTCAGTGAAGTCGTTCCACGCACCAATAGCGGTGGTAGCCAAGAAGGCGAAGCAAGTCAAGTAGGATGTGAATAGCATGATTGCGGTGATGCTTTGTCAAGATTGCGAAAGAGCGTGATGGGAAATGAACAGTGATAGGCTTAGAGTCAAGTATGAAAAGTGACGAGAGGCTAGGCTTGGATAGAGAAATAGCGAAATATCTCGAAGTTTCCTGTTACCTTGGACGAGAAATTCAAGTTAAATATCCTAAGCCTTTGGAAACAAGAACAGAGAATGTTATGTGTTGTGAATATTATGGATGGTGTGGATGATGTTTTGTTATCTAGGTTCGCTGGTGGCTACCTGTAAGAATAATCCTGCGATGCTCTTGCCTGAGCAAGTTTCTATACGGCGCTGAAACAGACTATGAGCAAGTTGTTCCAAGCCAGCTAACTTATATAACCCGTTTGGTTAAAGAATCTACTCTGGTAAGGCAGTTACAGGTCTGGGGTTTCTTGTTTAGAGTCTTGCTATTTCCTAAGATATACATTTGGCAACTACGACTCAAAATCTCAAGAAGCCTCGCAGGGAAGGTGACTACGCATATACAAACTGATACATGTGCCGTAGCCGAGCAACTGCATACCTGATAAGGTTTATATATGTTACACATCAACGCGCTAACGTAGGAGGTGGACGTGATCTGAAGAATTATTTTAGTGATGATCTTAGTATAATTCTTGGAGGCGGCGCCTGCTTATTGTCTGAGAAACTGAGCTAAATCACTCCAATGTTGGGTATTTCATTGATAATCGCAAGATTAAGACATTCAACTTATTCAAGTTTTCACTAAAAGGATATCACATCACTTCTTAGGTCAACGTTTTCCCCCAACAATACGAAATCTCTAATTGGGTAAGTATCTTGGTCAAGGCACTTGATATATGTATACATATAGCTCTTTACTAGGACAACTCTCCTAGAAGTGAGCATGAATAGGTAGGTAGGTAATTAAGTATGTGCAGTCCTAAACTTGAATTATGTGCATGATGTTGATCATTAAAGGCATATGAAGAAGTCAATTCTTGCAAAGAGTAAGATGTACATAAGATGTACATAAGGGGACCCTAAAAAAAACCTTCCACGCCTCCTTTACATAATAACTCGCGTCTAAAGGCTCACCTAGGCTTGCAGAAGAAGTTGCTCTGCTATTGTTGGCAGTTTTAGAAATATCAAAACTAAATCATATTGCTAATTAGGAGAAAAGTCGAATTTATAGCCTAAGATGCCATAGAGCAAAAGCACCTTTTAGTTCTGGTATAACCCGTCTATGAAATTGCAGAAATACATTTAAATAAATTTTAGGATACGATAGCTTCCTGGTGGTGTATCTACCATAAAAGTCGAAGAGGAATGAGAAATGAAACTAAATATTGACTGCAAGGGCTACTATGGGTTGCCTACAAGCTTCACCTATTGGCATGGCTTCTTTTATCTATCACATATACTTTTATCCATTAATAGATCAATAATTCTAGGTAGAAAAAAGCGGTATATATTCCTGTATTCCCTTTTTATCAAGGTACTTTACTCTATTGATAGACTTATATTAAGCAAGGTTTTAGATCTGGTCAGCCCTCCACGTTGACTACCTCTTAATCGACAATGGCCTCAGATGCCTGAGCCGAACGACTCTCTTGCTTCTTGGTCTCTTCCTTGAGAACAGTCTGGAAAGCCTGGCGTATCTGCATCTGCTCAGTCTCAGTGAGAGGGATTGCGCTGCCACGCCGACGACGCCAGCTTGGCTGGGTCTCCTTCAGTGTTGCGTTGGGATCTTGACCGGTTGGGTCCTTGAATTCGTATGAACGTATCTCGGTGTTGTCCCAACCAGTACCTATTAGCCGTCAGTGGCCATTTGCTCTATCAACTGGTAGCGAGGGCCGTTGTTCTATCCGAAGGAGTGTACAGTTTGCATACCTCTCTCTACCTTCACTCCATCAAAGTCCTCGGTAAGGAAGTGGAGAATACCGCCATGGGTGACAAGGACAACTTGAGCGTCATCTCCGGCTTTGTTCACCAAGTCCCTAAGCCACACTCTAGCGGCCCGTGACCTCGCCTCGAGATTGGCAGGGGTAGGATAATATTTGCTCTCACTGGACTTATCGTTCCAACCCTCGTGAAGCAAATGGAAATCCACAAGCTCGCCGAATTCTTCTTTCAGCTTGCTGGGGTCTGAACCAATATCGCAAGGTAAGGTTGAGATTTCCTGAGCATCCGGGAGAGCGATTACTTTCTTCCCGGCTTTAACGGCTGGCGCAAAAGAGCGCAGACAAGTTAATATCGTCCGTCGTATAGGGGAAGCGACCAGATGCGTAATTTTATCGTGAGCATCGAATTTCTTGCAGAGCTCATCGCACTGAGACTCGCCTAGAGGCGTTAAGTCTGGATCGCGTATTTGCTGATTTGCCTCGCTTAGGTTATGATAACCTTGAGCATGGCGGACGAGATGAACAATAGGAGCCATTACTACGGTAGTTCTAATAATAAATATAATTTAGGGGTTTTAAGAAACTTGGCTCGTGATGAGGAAAAGAGAGAGTTGAGATAAGATAATTTCTAGTTATTCTTTCTATTCTTTAGGTACTCATCGGGGTCTAGGATAGTTTCTTTGACTGATGTCGTTTGTCTCGGACCTTATTTAGACCACTAATGACTGTTCGGGACCCGATTACGGTGATGCTAGAGCCACGAGTCATTGTGTAAACTCTGATTGGATTGAATTATTGACAGTTAGGTGGATAATAAATGCAGTACCGTTCTTCGCAGTGGATCTCCCAAGACATTTATTTGATTGACTCATTATGAACTTGAACTTGCAATTTGAACTCATTGCGAATTTTCCCAACTTAAAGCCATGACGTATTTTTAAAAAGGGGGAACATTTATTCTACTAGATAGGTACCTATCTATATGTAATCGGCCAGGAGCTTTCAAATGCTGCAACTATCCGAGGATCTGCAACCCAATAACCTGGTTCTGCACTGCAACAATTCGAAACGTTGAGGATTTTAGATATTGAGGTGTGTTCGTGTATGTAGGATAGGTCATGTGGGATACTACATAGTAATTACCTGTACGAAAGATATAATTAACAACTTTACGACTTGGTTAGTCTGTAACTATTTTGGAAACAATTACGAGGTACTTCGTACATAGTACTATGTACAGACTGTACATTAGGTACAGTTGAAGGCCCTCCGGGATCTCGTGCAACGACTTATCTCGCTAGATCGGCGCTATTGTCGGATTTAAAATACCTAGATAAACTCTCCAATAAGCTGGCTTGCCGCTGAGTTTACATAGGTACATAGGTACCTAACGGATAAGACTCCTCAAGATAATAATAAAATTTAATATGTATGAGGCATGCAAGCCATCATATATATCAGTCGTCTTAACTACCCCAGACTAGAGTGAATGTCTGAGACCACCATAGGAACGCTTGGGACGTGCCCAACACATGTGTGAGACGCGGAGATATAACGTGTAGCTATGCACTAACAGCGCAACGATGTCGAATTACCCGTCATAGTTGGTAGAACCCTGAATAACCCCTCTCTAGCTCTAACTACATATACTTATCTAGCTACTTACATCTTAATCCAGGTATGTGCATGCAAATAGTGTACAAACAGCAAAGGAATAACTAAACGATGTGACCATTTCTAAATTAGACATGATGCAAATCTGAAGCTGGCGTAGCTCAGCTGCTACGTTGAGATGTACCTAGTATAATTACTTGCAATCAATGTAAAAGATGCATATTTGCTATGTATGTACATATGTAAATACCGGTACCTAAATGACCAATGAGCAACCCCTGAACTGTATGTAGTGTAATTGTAATTATCTGTAATTGTCTAGAAGCTCCTTGGCTGGTCTTTGTCTGTTGGTTAAGGCCAATGCGCCTTATTGGCGGCCCGGCGCTAAAATGATAGAAATATCCAACGTGCGTACATGGGCTTGCATGGGCTGCATATGGGCGGTTGTCAATGTTGTCAAGGGTGTTAAGGGTGTCAAGGGTACAGTAAAAGGGTTGCTTCTTCAATTTACCACTTATCGATTCCCCAGTTTTAATCTCGACAACTTCCCCCAAAAGCTATTTCTTAACTTTCCTTCTTCTTTACGACAATACTTATTTGTGTACACGTCAAGCATCAACATCGACGCTTCCTTACCCTTCAAGTCTTTGTCTTCGAGACGCGCCGTTCATTTGCACCACCACGCTTCAATTTCTCATCCAAACCTGTCACTTTCAATACCGCAATCATGCCTGGTGTTCGTAAGTCATCCATACTCCTCTTTTCGCTATTGTACTCTTGGAGGACCTATGTCTGCTCTGGACGCGATGGATATGGATCATTCCTCGATCATGAACAGTTGCAAATACTCCGTCCTCTGACTTCCCCAATCCGATATGATCAGCCTATCCTACAATCTGAATACCCCAAGTCAATTCGTCAAAGGTTGTGATACTAATATGCCATATTCATTGCAGCTAAGGATGCTCTTGACAACTTGAAGGCCAAGCTCAAGAAGGTCTTCAGCAAGAGCAAGAAGTCCAAGGCCGAGAAGAAGCCTGCCGAGGCATCCAAGGCTGACGCTTCGAAGACCGACGCTGCGGCCCCTGCTGGTAAGCTCTATCCCATTTCTCCGACATCCTCCATCTACATAAGGGATTTTCCTCCTAAACTTTTACTAACCTATCACAGCCGCAGCCGCCGCCGAAGCCCCCAAGGCTGATCAGCCCGCCGAGGCACCTGCTGCTCCTGCGCGTAAGTCCAACCCGAACCTCTCCTTTGTTTCATGTTGAATGCGTACCAATGGATCTTCCCGCGGGGGTTTCCGTAGTGTTACGTATATCATAGTGGAATCGGAATTGCGCGTGACACTAGCTAACAATTCTTCTCCGAACAGAGGCTGCTGCTACTACCGAGGCTCCCAAGCCTGAGGCGCCCGTCGAGGCCGCTGCCCCGGCTGCACCCCCGCCCCTGTCGCCGAGGCCCCCGCCGAAGCCAAGCCCGCCCCCGCTGCTTAAGCGGACGTCATCTACGATGGTCTCCGATCGAATCAATTCAGACAGTATAAACTGAACTAATATGATCGTTGGACAAGTGGAGCGAACGGGGCTGCTTTCTGTCGCAGATTGCTGACAATGGTTTTGATTTCATGGCTTGGTGATTGCGAATGGACGGAGGATATTCCCACAGAGTTTGCAGTTTGAGAGATACCCTAATAATACTGGTTTGGCACACAATGGCATTATCCTTCGGTCTTAGGGGGTCTTTATCGTAGCTAGGAGTCTATCAGCACGTGATCAACTATACTTCTAGTACCGTTTTAACCCTATTTTGTTGGTCTTTGAACGTTATTGCATGTGATGATCTATGCTAAATATCTACGTCCCTTACCTTGGGGCTAGATGGGCTGTTTGAAGAGACATCTCGAGTACATATTCATGTATTTCCCGAGCTCCTCTTGCCCGGCAGACCTAGTGTAGATACTATCCTACTATTCCTTGAGCATTACTGATTACAATACGATTTAAAGAGATGCATCATTTTGTTTGAGGACTAAAGAATAATTTCATATGCCCCTTTGGGTGTATGGAAGCTGTTTGAGTTGGAATGCTAGTTCTGCAAGTAAATGATAGTAATTCTGGACTAGGCTAATAGATGAAAACGGTAAGGTTCGAGAAAGTAAATAGCAACACGATGTCTGGTTCATTGTGGGCTCTCATTACGCACTTTAATACCGCATCTTTTCACGGGTCTTAGAGTGATCATAACTCTATGTACTTCTACGTAACTAGTTGCCCTTAATACAAAGAGGGTCCAATCCTGATATATAGGGGCCTTCGAATATCCTAGCCGAGTTTGCAATAACCAGTTAGTTATCGCTTCTATTGAACATAGTTAATCATAGAAAGCGCCCAGGGCTCGCGGTCATGTTTTTAAATAGGACTATGAGGCTCAATAAGTTTTGAGGGACCCTTGTCTTGACCCTGCGAGTTATTAAGAAGCTTGGGTAAATGAATACTTCATAGAAGTAAACCTAAGCTTCTAGAAGACGAACTTCGTAAAATAACTTGGGCATTTATCCACTTGGCCTGTCGCTAGATTTGGTCCAGGGGGCTTGGGTGATAGGTGATTGGGTACCTGGCGTGCTGGTCCGTGGTTGAGATGGCCTAGGGACAGGATGTCCCGGACCCCATGGCGCTCGGGAGTATGGAATACCAGGTCCGGATGGTGGCGGCATATTTGTTGTCTGTGCCCATGGTGCAGCTGTACCGGATCCAATTGCTGCAGTTGGCGGCGGCATGGATGTTGAAGAAGGGGGTTGGTTTGCCATATGGATACTCTGCTGAGGAGCCGCGGCATTAGGATCCTGTTCCCAAGAAAATAGTGAGCCGAATGGAAAATGTTGCACTACTGGAAACTTAGAAAGAACTTCGGCGTTGAACATCTTGATCATTCCCTGCCGCAGAGTTAGCAAGGAGCGAGAGACCATTCTGTCTATATCTATACCTTGTTAATTTTACCCCAACCGTCCTTGATACCGGATATATCGAATAGTATGGGACTGTGCTCCCAAAAAGGACCCTTCTTCACATCGTTGATAAACCCTATGGCTGAGAAATACATATTCTTATTTCTTTCTTGCTCAACATATTCAGCTTTGACTACTTGTGCAGGTTTAGGTGCCCGAAACAGGGAGCCTTCAATCGGCATGGGCTCTGAATCTGTAATCGCGCGGCTTAGTTGTGCTGAGCCGTAGATATAGGGTTGGAACGAGTGATCGTCTAGACCCCAGACGCCATGGGATCCCGCAGGCTCAAGCGTGTATGTTAGAATCAAGCGTCTTACTACTCGAAGGTATGGTTCAAAAATACCGAGCACGATGCTGCGCTCAATGTCACCACCCGGCTTGCCATCCTTAAATGCGCCAAGTTTCCATAGGCCTCCGAGAAAAGCTAAAAAGCTTAACTCGTGGCCAGTTCCGTAGTCGAGTCTCTGTGGACTCCCAAACCCACCAAGTAGATAAGCTGTGAGCTCGTCTTTGGAGGTGGTATCGGATTCACCCCCATGGCCGAAATTTAAGACGGAAGCAGGTAGGAACTCTTCAAGGAGGTCTACGACTCTTCCCTCTAATAACTTGTACCACTTCCGGAAGCTAACATTTCCAAAGCGCCTTGGGCCCTGATCAGGCGGAGCTTCATCGATGTAAGACTCTATCCTAACAAGCAGCTCTTGCAACTTCAATACCGACTGGACCGGTCGGGTCTCGTATTCTGAGCCGATATGGAAAGCTATAATCTTGTCCTTCCCATCATCTCCTACAGACTTTCGAGGACACATGGCGCGGTTTAGTTGCATGACGAATATACCAATATCTCGATAGGCTTTTGTAGTCAAGAACCTGGCGACGTCAGGCCCATCGTTAATTTGCTTTGTAGGCTTGATAAAAGTGTATTTCTTTGAAGGATCCCATATCTCTAAGACGGGGAAGCTATTAGCACCTCCTTGAGATTGTTGCGGACCCTGAATAGCTGTCATGGCCACTTTTGGTATTAGTTAGGTATTTTAGAAGTGACGAAACCCAAAGTTAATAGAAAGGTATAAAATGTATAGGAGAAATGTAGGTATGAGGTAGTACATGGCATTTCTTAACTGCGTCACAGCTTCCCGAGTAAAACATATGCCCCGCCCCCACTACATATGTATGCTTGCTGTTGAAATGGAAGCTTCTGCACGGGCCTCAAATTTAGGTAAGTCACCTAATAACACACTTCCCATGTCCTTGTCTTTGACTTTGCGAAACCCCACAACCCGTTTTCTACATATATGTACCTAGGTACCTAAGTTACCCATGTTGCCCGGCACCTCGGTAAGTGAGCCGCGTGGTTGTGGATAATCACGCGTCGTGATTAATTATTACTTTCGCGAGAGCCTCACGCAATTTACTACCGATGGTCACCTCTAATTAAGCCTTATTCAAAGTGTTTTTGAGAGTAGACGGAACTTAGTCTACTATCTCCTTTCGCTTAATCAATACTCAACTTTCAGTTACGCACCTCAACTAATTCTCATCGTATTTATTGTATCTAAAGGCCGGAAATATGGTGGGGACCCGGAGTGGAGCTCAGGTTCTAGCTAAAGGTCCCATTCCAGATGGAGGACGAATACAACAGCATAGTCCTAGCCCTGAAAACGTCGATAGTGGTGAGGATGAAATTCCTTATAGCATATCACCTAGACGTTCAATCGATCCGAATATACGGTCACTGGATCACCGCCGAAAGCGGAGTCGACAATCAGATGATGACCTATCTGTACAGTTTAATCCATCTAAAAGACGGAAAGCTGGGCCTTCAACCAGTTCTAGAAATACACGCCTACATCCAACGCCTGTATTACCCTCTGCTAAACGGTCGGCCGGGACCATATCTGCTCGAAATGCAAGCAGAAGTCCCGAAGATGATGTACCTCCGGGCTTGGTAAGCAGTGTCAATGCCGCGTTCAAAAAGAAAGGACGTGGAGATCATCAACAACTTCCAGTGTCCGCAAATAATCATTTGAATAACGAAACTATTAGTCCAGAAGAAAACGGGGATGCGCGGGAAAATGTAGAGGACAATGCTCAGGTCCAATCCAACCATGATGAGAATATAGGCTTGCGGGAATTTCAGGATCGTGATGCAATTGGCACATCTAGACGCGGCAAATCCCCGCCTGCGCTCATCATTGCAGGTGACCACGGGGAGGGACATAAACCAAATCCCGCCCCGAACAGTAAAAGTATCGTTCAACATGGCCCTGGTGAAGTTCAAAGCCAGGCTGAGATATGGGATGTACCCTTATCACCAGGCCAACAACCATTACCCAGGCAATCAGCAGTCTCTAATGTTTCGCGGGAGAACTGCCCCTGCGTGCGAGACGTATCGAGTTCATATACCACACCGTGGTTCGAAGTCTGTCCGATTCTCTCAACCAGGACAAACTCAAACTTCTGAGCATCCCCGATCCGCATCAGAAGGAGATCAAAATGGTCCACCACAATTAGCACAGCCAGATCACCAAGTTTGCACACAAGATATACGGGAGGATGATGAAGTGGGTATTTCTTGGGCGCGTATTGATGGACTCTCCTCAGACGACGAAAACCTTTCGGATTTCGACTTGTCCGAAGATGGTTTCGCTCAGGATGTGGCAAAATTTCGAGCTCGATATCCCAGAGGCTATAAGGGTAGAGAAACATTTGAAAGCCCTCAAGAAGATGATGATGTTACTATACACATTGATTCTTCTAGTCTCAAAAAGGCGCTTCGACTCATAGGTCATGAAGCCTGGTCTGGTAAAGGACGAAGATGGCATGAGCGGCCATTTCTTTTCGATTTTATGCAGCCTGGACCCGTCCGAGCTCTAACAAAGCTTCTAACAAAACTAGAGAGATTACTCGTAGCAACTCCAAAAGCTCCTCGAATCATGGAGCAGAATAAGTTCTTTAATGAGTACGGTGATCTCCTTGGTTATTATTTCTCGAAGATCAAACTTATGCTCCGTCATATTCGAGGAATAAAGCCTGCAAAAGAAGGGCTAAGTCGATCACAACGAAACCGGGAAATTAAGAAGCATGACCAGCTAGCTAGGGACATTTCTTCGCTCGCCATTCCTATGCTGTTTCATGTTCTAGCATCTGCGTGGTGGTTAGGTGGTGGCAGGTATGGGAACCACGCATCATTTACGATTTCTACCGTTGAGTTACTTATGAGGATACTTGGTTGGATTGGGTTGTTATACCGTCCGTTGCTTAGAGAGCTGAGACAACAGTCATCTGATGCTGAAGAGGAGGAGGGAGAAGAAGAAACCAAAGTCCAAAGAAAAAACCGACGCTTAAAACGGGAGAAACGAGAAGAACTCGAAGGGGTTTTAAATGACTTGAAGCGGCTTGTTGAGGCTGGCCCAGATCTCCTCGAGAGAGAAGAACGCCGCCGAGAACTGGAATATCGGGCTAATCAAGAGCGATTGAGACAGGAAAAATTTAGGGCCCAACGGAGGCGGGGGGAAGAAGAATTATTGAGGATTTCTAACCAGGAACGACGACTGAGGTCAGTGTTGTCAATCAGGGGAGTCCACGTACCATTGTCACAATCACGAACATCAACGTCTACGCGAGAGTCACCGGCTCAAGAAGCTTCACAAATACGACCGTCTCCAAACGCTAGCGATTGGTCTGACGAAGAGAAGATATTCCTCTTCAAAAAAATACAGGAATCGTACCCTAATCTGCCAGACTTGGATGATGTCCGTTGGGAACTTAATAGAACCCTGAATGACACTGAGGCAATGGCAGAAGAGCTCTTAGAACAGATGCTGGAAGCGGTATGTCCGCAACAAACAGCAGCAGATAGAAATGCGCATATCGAAGAGATCATGCAGAATTATAGGCGTACAGGGGGTCATTGAGTTTGTTTGTTTGAGGAATACAAGTTACTATACCCGTGCGTGTACAATGTTTAGCTCTTGGCTTTTAGAATATCAAGTTTCAAAATTTAAGTCTACAATACTTCAACTCTATTATTCTGGCGTGCTACTATTGATGTGATTGAATCGCATAATGGTCTAATTGCCAATCCTCTCCAGTCTGGTTTCTACGTATTGGAGGTCTTGATTGATTTGATTGGTACTCGGATAAGTAAGCCTGCGGTTCTTGAGAACATTTAAGACAGGTTTTCTAGGCTTTTCTAGGCTTACAGGTAGGGGAGTTATCTAGCTTTGATGCCAAATGAGAGGCTAGCATACCCAATTATTAGATTGCGTACATGCAGTCTGCATACTGTCGGGTCATCAACGGGGAGTCGAACGGTATCAGTTGGCCAATTCCCGGCCTTAACCTCCAGCTTGGCCAAGTTGTGCCTGCAGATTGAACCAGTTGAGGCCCAGCGGTTAGATTAGCTTTGATCCATTATTCAGAGCTTCTCATTAGCAGGTCGGAAACTGGAATTGACATTTTTCGCTAAGGCGGGCCTTGTTATGTATAATGTATGTGGTATGCTGGTTAGGTATACATATGTATGTACATGCAGGTAATAGGTAGATCCACTGAAACGAGGCGGACAGGCCAAAACTATGTCACATGTTTATTATTGGGTTGACTGTTATCAATTACGTAGCCGAACGGAGACGACGTTGCAAAAGCGACATTGTAATGAAACGGGGATGGAGAGGAGTTAAGATGATGTATACATAGTGTATACCTTATATTGCATTGTCGTGTTAGAAGTAAGCGACTTTGATGCGCCAGTCTGGATGGAATCTGGAAGTTTGCTACCAATTTTCAAATTTTCATTCGTAAGAAGTAAATTAAAGAATGTTCTTAGTCTTTTTATAGGAGGTATTTAAATGCCGGCTTAGAGGTTACATGTAGGTACCAGCCATCTGGTTTCATTAGTGCTCGTTTTTAGTGGAATTGGTATGTGGATTGGTAGGTGAGTTAGCCGGCATAAGCACGGACCAAATACGCTTAGAGCTTTTATTGCTCAATGACAACCGACCCGCTAGGGCCCCTGTGAAGCCCCTGTCTGGACCCCTGTGATTAAGCAATCCCCTCCAGCGATGCTTGCCTATCGGGGTTTAGGTCCAGTGGTTAGACGGTCTCTAAACCAGTGAGGAAGTCGGTCGTTTTGTGGCGGTCTTAACCGTTGGTGCAGAATCTTGGAGAAGCCATTCTCTTTTTTACCTTTTCCACCCCCCCAATCCGACACTTTCGTATCTTTTGCAAAAGGGCGTCGCGAAGGATTGAGAAAAAAAAAAGCCATTCACGTCGCGAAACAGAATACGCGTTCTTTTCTGGGTCATCCTTTCTTTTACCTGATTTTTAAACTTCTATCATCAATACTATACCAGTAACAAGTAAAATACTTTGTTGTATTATACCTCACTGGTTAATATCTCACGGCGCTAATCCGATATCAAGACGAGCAAGGGGAAAAAAAGGAGTTTGTAAGACGACAGGTCAGTCAACACCCGATTCAACCCACCATCAACGCTCGAACCCCCCCTTTTGTGACGTGTCGAAGCTGCAAATATTAGCTGTTTATAGTCTTACTTGATTTATTGATCAATGGGAATCTAAAGCTAATATGCATCCCAATCGTCGCTCACTCATACGCGTAGCCACCGATTGTATTTGAATATTTACAATTGTTAACACTTTGGCCTTCTAGAAAGTTGTATTAGTAGCGCTCTTGATTTTCCCGACCTAGAGAGACCTTTAACAAGCGACCGATTACCTGTATTCGATAATAGAGTTCTCTCTATCCCGTAAAGACCGAAATCATGTCTGACGCCGAAGGATTCGAGGTTGTCCAGCACGACGAGTCGGTTTTATCGGGTGAGGAGACTGCCGGTACCGCTGGTACTGGGGCTACTGAATCGCCTAAATCTTCGGTTAAGTCAAGCAACGGATCTAAAACCGAAGACAATGCCGTAAAGCGACCAGCTACTGGTACTTCCGGTGTCCGTCGTCCGGGAACAGCAACTAGTACAGCTCCGAAGACTGTTACAACTTCAACGGCTCGTGCTAGTGGCGGTTTGACCAAACCTCCAACCCGCCCGCCTGTTGGGGCCGCGGTCAAGAAGCCATCAGTAAGCACTACTACGACCCACAGGCCCCAGCCGTCTGTCTCAGAAGATGAGAGGAAGAGATCTACTATGACCTCTGCGGCGGCGCGTCGAACCTCGACAGCACCAAGTGTAACGTCGTCTCCCGGAAAATCTAGCGTTAGATCGGGCATTTCTACCACTACCGCGGCAAGGAAGCCCTCCTCGGCTACTAGTAGCATAGCCTCGAGAACTAGCACCCTTGCAAAGCCCACGCCGTCTACTGCGGGCACGGGGAGTCTCTGTCGGCACGGACATCGGCAGCCACCCGACCTGGAGCTCCTGGTGCCGTGGCTGACGCAAGGAAGCGGTTGTCTAGCGTCACAGGTTCTCCGATTTCTTCCACTGGAGTTGCGCGACAGCGCCTCGCCCATCTATCGCGTCGCCGACTTCTGCGGTGGCAGCAAGGGATATTGAAGACTTAAAATCGAAGCTTGCCGAGAAAGAGTCGGAGGTGGAGTCCTTGAAGGAACAGGTTGTTTCTTCTCAGGCCAAGGTCACCGAGCTTGAAGAAAAGATCAAGACCGAGGTAAATGGCGTCCAGGTGTGCTGAAGATGCCGTGCGCCAGGGACACGAAGAACTCCTAGAAACCTTAAAGTCAACCCATGCTTCCGAGAAGGAGACTCTAAGCACCCAGATATCGGAGGCTGTCGACAAGCTTAAGGCTGCCGAAGAGCAGCTTGAAGCCCACAGGACGAAGTTAGCCGAATTGGCTAACTCACAGGAAGTCAAAGATACCGAGATTAACGGCCTACAGAGCAAGCTTGAGTCCCTCCAGCTTGAGAAAGATACCAGTGCTAAGGATAGCGAAGGTGCTTTGAACAAGGCGGCTGAGGAGCACGCTGCTGAATTAGATGGTCTTCGGAAATCGTTAAACGAGCAACATCAAGCTGTCGTTGAGGCTCTAAAGACTTCGCATGCAGCCGAACTAGATCAAAGCAAAGCCTCATCCGGCGAGCACGAGAAGGCACTTGAAGAACTGAAGGCCGCCAATGAAGCGTTCCAGAAAAAGATTGATGAATTAACCTCCTCGACTGACAACGTAGGTGCCGAGAGTGCTTCCAAGATTTCTGCGCTTGAGAATGAGCTCGCAGATCTAAAGTCTGCTGCTGAGCAAGACAAGGCTGCATTAGCTACTTCACAAGCAGAACTACAAGAAGTTAAAGCGAAGCTTGAGGAGTCCCTCGCTGCCGTAGCTGCTACAAGGGAAGAGCTGACTAAGGTCAAGGAAGAGTTTGCTAGCTTACAGGAGGAGTTAGGCCAGGCTAAAGCGGATGCATCATCTAGTGCTGATCTCGCTACTCAGATCAAGGAGGCCGAAGAAAAGTACGAGAAGTTAAAGCAGGACCATAAACTCTCGGATGAGACACACGAAGCCCAACTGAAGCAGGTATCCCAGGACTATGAGACGGAGATTGAGAGCCTCAAGGGCGATGCTTTCTTCAAACGCAAGTTTCACGTCCTCGAAGAAGAACATAACGAATTAAAGACTAAATTTGACGAGCTAACCGGTACGCATTCAACGACTGTCCAGAGCCACACAGAAGAGTTGGAGGCAGCAAAGGCTGAATATGCGGCTGCTGTTGCAGCCCTTTCCGCTAAGGAAGCGGAGCATCAAAAGGCACTTGACGCATTACAAGCTAGCCATGCAATGGATTTAGAAAGCGCCAAGAGCGGTGCTTCAGTTGACAAGGAAGCACAACTAGCCGAACTAGAGTCTCTCAAGGCCAGCCATGCGAAGCAAATCGAGATATCTAAGGCTGAGAGTGAAGCTGCTCTCGCAAGGGAGCTAGAGGCTCTCAAGGCTGCCCATCTTGAGGTTCTCAATGCTCAGAAGCAAGACTTAGACACGACAATTGCCGAGTTGAAGGCTGCTCACGCCCAGGAGCTTTCTACCAAGGACGCTGATGGTAGTGCGCATGTGGCGCAACTGGAGGCTCTGAAGACAGCTGTTGAGGAGGCGCAGGCCGAATTGGAGAAAGCCAAGACCAGTCACGCACAAGAGATTGCCGAGAAGGAGGCTGACAGTAGCGCCCATGGCGCCCAGTTGGAGGCATTGAAGGCGGCCCTCGCAGACGCGCATGCGGAACTCGACAAAGCTAAGGCTAACCATGCTCAAGAGCTGGCTGATAAAAGTGCCTATGTAACCCAATTAGAAGCCCTCAAGACCGCAGTCGAAGATTCTCAAGCCCAAGAGGAGGCTCAAGTTAGTCACGCCGCTGCTCTCGAGGCCCTCTCAAGAAGGAAACCGAGGATGCTCACTCTGCCGAAATTGAGAAGCTGATAACGATGCAATCCGAAGCTGTAGAAGCCGCGAAGAACAACGCATCGGGCTCTCACAAGGAAGCCATCGAAGCCCTTGAAGCGAAGCTGCCCAGCTGATCGAGGAGTTGAAGCAGGACCACGAGAGCAAGCTCTCTGCAGCTACTTCTGATGTGGCTAAGCATCTAGACGCCGCTACTGAGCACGAGGCAGCATTGATCGCAGCGAAGGAGGCATTAGCTAAGGCCCAAGAGCATTCCAAAACTCTGGAAGTAGAATTAGCTGAAGTCAATACTAAGAACATCGAGCTGGCGAAGATCCAGGAAGAATACGAGTATTTGCACCAGCAGCTCGCAGAGGCTAAGATGAACAATGTGGAACTCATGGCTGAGCTTGACGCTTTAAAGAACCAGAGGCCGGACACCTCTATTGCAGACGCGCTAAAGGCGGAGCTCCAGGAACTCAAGCAGTCTCACGCTCAAGAATTGGCTGCTGTCAAGGAGGTATCCGCAAAATCCGCGGGTGATTTCGAACTTCTACAGAAGGATTACGACGTGACGAAGTCAGAGTTTGAATCCCTGAAGGAGCAGCTAGAGGCAGCCAAGCAAGACGCTCTCATTGCGCAGAAGGATCTAGAGGCGCATAAGAACGACGCCGAGGCCAAACTAAAGAACCAGGTAGCCGACTACAAGGATATGTACGAGAATCTGTCTACTATAGCGGAGGAAGAGCAGAAGAAGAGGGCGGCAGTCGAGAAGGAAGCATTCGATATCAAGTCGAGATTTGCAGAGATGGAGGCTCAGCTGAAGGTCAAGGACGCGGAAATTGCCGAGGCACTGGTATGAAGCCCGATTAAACTCTATTAGTAGTAATCTATAATACATTATGCTGACCTGAATACCAGGCCAAGGCGGCGGCGCAAACGCCAGTGAAGAAGGGTCTGTCAGCTAGTAGATTCGCAGACAATAATGAAGCTGACAAGAAAGAAGATAACGAAGGTGTTACCGACTCGGAGGCTTCCGCAGCTGCAGGTGAGGAGCCTGACCATTCATCGGCTGCGATGAGTGCGGTGCGCAGTACCCCTTATACAAACCCTCGCTTGCCAGTCGCAGCATCTCCTCTTACATCTGCATTCACTTACCCAAGTTTTTTTCAAGCCATCATGAGAAAAAGTGGCTGACTCATGTGTAATAACAGTTAGCACAAGTTAATCTATCCATCAAGGGCCTGAAGTCCATGAGTGACGAAATGGGGGACCGGAATCTGCGGTACGTAGATCTAATATCTAATCTCATCTCTTGAATTATACGTGTGTGAAGGTGTCGATTCGATCAGCAGGCTAACAGGACACAGCATGCTCAAGTCCATGACCAATATTCCTCAGAAATCATAAGCTGGAACTAAACGATAGTCGGCTAACTATAACGAGAAATTCTTTCCCGATACTATTAGCGGTTCTTTCATCCCGGCTTTTTGATGATGTCCCCAGCATGACTCGCCCTCTAATGACTTTATTTCGGCCTACGAACTTTCACAACGTGAACACGTTGGATACTTACCATCCAATCAATCTTCTCGCCCACCGCTACTTTCGCGCCCGGGCTTAACCCTAACTAAACGCACGCCGTTTATCGGGAATTTGCACTTATTATTCGGAAACCGACACGCTTTGTAATGAAATATTTTTTCTTGGAGAGGGATAGGGTCCTGATACAGATACCTTAGGGGGAGGGAAGGGAAGGGCGCGACCTCCTTTTTTTTTTACTTTTCTACTTTTTTTTTTTCTTCTCTATCTTCATTGTGAGTCGTCGCGCCCAGGATGGAAGGACATGGCATGGCATGGCATGGATTGATGTGTATGAGAAGAATAGGAAAGTTGTGCGGAACAAGCCGGCTACGTGCTAAGGTAATGCTGAAGGAAAATATGTTTTTTTTCCTCGCCCGTTTTGATTGATTGATTGATTAACGTTATTTCGCTTTGCTTTCTCCAAGGACTACGTTATGTGGATATTGTAGTAGTCAGGTTGTCTAATAGTTGAAATGGACGATACCCCCTTTTTACCTTACCAGTTGATAACTTTCGTTTGTTAGGTTTCGTACTTAATGCCACTGTCAACTGCAATAGAGAGTATTGATGAAGTAAACATCGTAATTTATGATGTTATGTCAGAGCAACTATACCAATTCACAGCAATCTTTAGGAGAAGCCTAGAGCACTTCTACTTCTCTACACTATCAAATTAACCCCAGTATATCAAGGCAACAAGAAACAAATCTATTACGCTCATTGGCAGACTTAAATATGAGAAGTATATACAAAGCATTCATTATTTCCATCTCGGCTTGAGCCATTACCCAATATAGTTTAAGACGAGGCAAGTTTCTCATTCAGGGGCTTCACCAGATCTCGCACTTCGAACATAGCATCGAAGTTCTGCTGCTTGACGAACCACGCATTCACTAGCTTCCACTCCTGGTTGGGGTCCTTGAATTGGATCTGCGGGTAGGTATTAGTATTGGATATCATTGCTAATCAGATTGGAGGATACGGGGAGGGAAGCTTACATCGAACCGCCTAAACAAGCTTGGGACGACCTTATAGATCTCTAACAAGCTAATATTCTTTCCAATACACGTACGGGCGCCCATGCCGAATTGGAACATCATTCCGTTCATCTCACGAACCCGACGCTCTTGTTCCTCCTTCTTAGCGCCTGTGAGTGTCTCGTCGACTAGCCACCGCTCAGGTCTGAAGGTGTCGACGTCCTCGCCCCAGATCTCCGGTCGGCGATGTATGATCCACGCCGAGCAGCCGACAATGGTTCCGCCCTTGACATAATGACCTGCAATCTCGACGCCAGGCTCGGGAACGATGCGCTCGAGCGGCAAGCCAGCTGCCGGGTGTAACCGGAATGCCTCCTTAATGCAAGCGTCAAGATACGGCAACTTTTGGCTCTCAGTCCATGTCACAAGACCCGTTTCGTAATCGCTGAAGATACCAGACAAAGCTGCGTCGTCGAGCTCTTTTCGCAATTTCGAGAGCGCAGACGGGTTACGTAGCAGATAATAGAAGACACTAGCCAGTGAGATAGCGGTCGTTTCGGAGCCGGCGAATGCCATAGACACCGCCATAGTTTGCACTAGAGTGTCGTTCATGAACTCCGGTCGAGCATCATGCGAAGCGAGGAACTTGGATAGTAGATCGGGCGATTTGGGTTCGGCTTTGCCTTCGGTGGAGACTGGAAGAAGAGGCTTGGAAGGATCGCCTGAAAGGTTAGGTCCCAGACGCTCAGCCATGCGAGCACGCGCGAACCGCGCAACAGGGAAAGTCGCATCAATGATCCCCCACTGGGAGAGTTTGAGGTAGATGGGATTTTTGAGGAAGACGCGATCGAGCCACGGAATCTGGCCGATCTGATTAAGTGTATCAGTACCTTTTCATAGCATCTCACGTTAAGTTCTAACATACCGGCGCAACGTATAGGAACAAATTCCCCAAGTAGTCAACTATGCCATCGATATCCTCGTTCTTCTCGACAAATCCATGGCGTTTACTATAAGTAATCTCCCCAATTACGTCGAAAGCGTAGAATTGCAGCCATCGTGTAAAGTCGCACCCTTCCGGATTGCCAGCAAAGAGATGTTCCGTTTGCTTAAGGAACAACTTAGTCGTATTGTCAACAAAAGGTTCGTACTGCACTAAAGCAGACATAGCAAAGGCCGAATTGACACATCGTCTGAATTGGGCGTGGAAGTTGTTGTCCGTCGTACTAAATAGTGAGGCAAGAGAGTTCCCCTTGACTACTGACTGCTGGACAACATAAAAGTCGGACTAATAGAAAGTGTCAAAAATTAATACCTCCCACCGGAAGTTGTATAAGGGGTTCGTACCTTAACAAATCCCTTATTAAGACCGTATATTGTCTTGAGAGCCTTCGGGTCTGCAAACGACAGAGAATTAGGTCCCAGACGTACTACATCGCCATATTTTGCGTGCAACTTTCGATGTGTTATGTCAGGTCGCTGTCCATAAACATCCCAGAATCGCCACAAGTCTGTCAACGAAGCCAGAAAGGGTCCCGGGTACTTGTTCAAGCCATTGTGGTATCGATTCCTAACCAACCATGTGAGAACTGCTGAAACGATTAGGGGTAGCCAAAAGTGAGCTATGAAGCTCCCAATCACAGAGTTCCCTAGTCCTAGCATTGCCCCACGGGTTCATCTGCTCTTGTGAGATAAGCTGAAGTTAGAACGGGACGGATAATAGCAGACTTCCACTCCCTAAAAACGGTGAGAAATCTGTAAGAGCCTATAGGTTATTGAAACCTTTTCGATGCTCCTGACTATTGATGTAGAGAGTTTCCGACCTGGGAATACAGCCAAAACAAGGAATCTTGGATGCACCTATACCCCTGGAAATATGAGAAGTAGAAACGCCGAAGCCGAATATCAGGGACTGCTGACAACGTGTGCCAAGGTGGGTATATATGCGGACCTATTTGTCGGCTATCCCACGGGCATGTCGGCGTTATCTAACAATGATTTGACCAAGGATAAAGACTCCCAGTACCTGCGGCTAGCCTGTTCGATTAAAATGGCGGGAGAGGGCTTAAGGGTGGAAGGTACACTCGTACTTAATATCTCGATATACCTCTAGTATGATATATAAACCGTTACGCTTGTGACGGTACTTCAGGGCTTTGCGGTGGCTTGAACCAGCTCCCCGGCGCCTCTCGGTCCCTGTGAGATCGTCCCCATACCCGCTTGAGGTTCCGCTCAGAACTAGCCAGGCTACTTAGAGACCCAAGACTCTGGGGACCCCGCCGACCCACCTTCGAGGAAAGGGAGCCCTGTCGACGAGGCCATCAGACGAGGTGGGCGGGGGAAACAAGCGCCTAGCCTAGTGTTGAATTGGGGAAATCGACAAGAAAACCCATGACTGCCAAGTGAGTAGCCACGTGAATAGCTCAAACCTGCGCTTGGGGCTGTATTAGACGTGATTTCGGCAGATGGATAGTCCAATGGTTTCGCAGGTATAGTCAAGCAAGAGCACGATAGCACAAGCCGGAGAATATGTCATGTTTCGGGTCATATCCGCGATGATCAACTGATGTAGCTTGGGTTGACCAGGGAGCTGTTGGTGACACGGTAACCATCTCGGGAACTTTCTTGGAAATCCGAGGCGTATATATTACCCTCTCAACACTATCCTAGGGAGCTTAAGTCCGCTTTCCGCCATCCGCTTGGGCGAATAGAGTAACTCTCGTTGAAAATGGCGCCGAAGAGGGCAACTAAGCGCGCAGGGGGCAGGCAATGCGGCTCTCACCCATGACGAATTAAAGATGGTAATTAGCTTAAGAGGCGACGAAGGTAGCGTCAAATTTGAGTGTAAGCCTCGGCACATCCATAAGTGGAAGGCGACCTATCGAGATGATAGCAGCATTGCAGACGGGTATGATACCGTGATGATGTATCATGTATGATGTAGTTGGGTTGATTCTCGTAAAATTGAGATGGAATTTCTAATTGTGTAGACCAGGCATGTGTATCTCTGTAGACGTTAGGTATTGCTGCATACTTGTCGTGTGTAGCATACATCATACATAATACATCGTACATCGTACATCGTACATCATACCTACATGATATGCTACCATTAATACAACGAGACACAACTGCAAGCCGAGCAGAATCTAGATTCTAGACCATACAATGAATCTAGCGTTCAAGACCAGGCGTGTGGGATTCCTGTTATTGTCTGATAATGAAAAATGGTAAATGGTAAATGGTGATGGTGTTGTTAACCGGCGTAACAAATGGGTCATTAAAACTGCCGAGTTGTAATGACGAAGGAAATCTAGTAGTAAGTTTCAGACATTAACCAAATCGAGCCTTCTACAGATTCGGTGAAGTGGGGACGATATAATACGGTAATAGCAACTCGGCAGATGTAGAGACCCATAACTTCCCATAATTTCTATACCTTGGGTTATGTAACTTAGGTACCTAAACTAACTCTCTCTTTCCTAACTTCTTTCCAATTCTACTGCGGTTTTGCCGCGCAAAAAATATATATCAGACCACGTGCGACCTGCATGTCGCGAATTAATAAGTTCATTGTGAACCCTTTCTACCTTTAAATGTTCCATCAATGGTGACTGTTCCCTTACGTAAGGACCGGCCACATGGACCCGGATCCGATCCGATAAGAGGTAGGATTGTACGACGAGTAAATCTGATAATATTACTTATATAATATCTGTATAAGAGCATATCTACCTTATATTCAGGTATCATTAAGTGGTATGGACATTTCCACCCCCTTAGATCTTCCCTCTTTTTCTTCCCCATTATAGCCTGATATCAACCCCTTCACCGGCTCAGACCTTTTGCTTTTCGAACACAACTGCAACCTTGAAGTTGTGTTACCCACCGGATGCAGCTCATTAAAATTCCGTATTCTTCCAGACCGTGTACAAGGCTTATTAGTCACGCTCGAGAGCTGCCGGCGGTGTGTTGCGTGGTTTTTCAGTTATTGATAATAAGCGCCTCCGCTTTGGAAAGTCGTGGGTTAGGTATTTTCACGATAAGGGGGGATTTACCGTTGGTGCTCGCGGCCGGCTATCAATTCATAAGCTCATCCAGGTGTTGGGCTATCTCGATCAGAGCACTTACTCTCTTCCTACTTGCTAGGTTTCAGCATAGTAAGTTCGGCAATCAACCGTATATTTGTGAGTTCTGCATAATTATACAATGAGGCAGAAGTGATATCTCGCTCGGCGTCTATTGCGCCTATAGCGCTCTCTAAAATCCGCTCAACTCGCATTGCCGGCGGCACCGTACGCGCGTCTAGGCTCTGGACTTGCGGAAGCACCTGCAGTGCCCTATCAATAAAATAGCCCCTAATACAGGTATCCAAGAATTTTTAAGTATGCTGCATGTACTAGGGCTCTAGAACAGCCTTAGGGTGGCTGGCTCGTGAACGACGTTGAGGGGCTAGCAACCTCAGCTACCTCAGACTGCTAAAAACCCACGGCATCGAGGTTTTGAGGGTGTTATTTCAATGAAGTATGAATTAAATATACTATATTTTTATTAAGAACCAGCAGGACTAGTTGCTCATTTCTTCGTCTATTGCTCGGTATTATTCACTAGAGGTTACTAGACCCCTCAAGAAAATGCCCATCTTAGGTTAATTATATTCGACGGGCTACACAATTATAATTATTAGCCCGAATACGGCAGTAGTCAGCCCCGAGAATCGGGAACAAAGGTTATTAGTACCCTTCACGAGTACAAATAAGCTAGGTACGCTACTATATATGCAATGCGAAGAAATAAATAGGTAGAGAATCGCTGCTAATTTTGAAGGAATAGTATATGTATACTCAAGGATCAGGTTGATAACTCCTGGAAAAATAGGTTTACTCGTTCACTTCTTTAAAAAAGAATAGATATCTTCTCTTAGAAAGCTAGATTCTAGAATCCTGTCATCAGTAGTATAAGTCCTCAGTTCCGAGAGCTTTGTAACACTCTCATCAAGCATATATACGCTATATATAGGTACCTAGGTAAGCAATCAGTTGTTTGTAATTATAAGAGATTACTGCGCAATTTGCCTCTGCGAATAGTGGTTCAAGCTTTGTCACTCATAGGAAACTTCTGTATCATAACATATCGTACATACCTAAGGTAAGGTTGGAAGTTTTAATTTCTTTTCCCTTTTTACGAGAATCCAGTAATTTGATCTAGCCCCTACCCCTTAAGCTTTTCTCTTACCGAGGTACTTTAGCATATAGTTGAAGTTTCACTTCTTGAGACATTAGGAAATAAATACATGAGAATAACTCTGCAAAATAATTATTTAGGGCCAATGAGGAAGTATCACCTACAAAGCCTACTATTTCGCCTCAAAAAACTGGTGTCTAGTAAACCATCGTTATCGACTATAGAATAGGCAATCTTCCCCTCTCATCTAATCTAGTTTACAAGTCTCTTGGCAAGCCGTCATCGTTGGCAGTATCAAAACTAGCGTGTTATCTGCCTTCAGCGTAAACAAGCGTGTCTCACTAACATCATCACAGAGTCCTTCCAAATTATCACTGACTACGAAGTGTCCTGTACCCTCATTACCTTGCATAAAATTCCTCTATATTGGCTAGCATTGTAGCTCGGCGTGAAAAGGAGGTTAAAGCTCTGAGTGCCAATACTAGGTAGTTGTTCCAGGCAGTAAATCTACCGACTATACCCCGTACGAGCACTGCGTCGTCTCAATGCAGGTATCGTTCACAGCTGTGTCCTTGTCCGTACTCTCGACGATACAGCTCACAGCGCTTGGGGCAAACGGCAAGTATCCACCACCAGCCTCGTGCGGCGCCATGCTCGCTGAGACCTACCTTGTTTAGATTTGAGATAACCAGGTCAATATCAACAGGCCTTGAAACAGCTCGGCTCCAGAGCCGTGATATACAGCCGGGTTACACTAGTTTGCTAGAGGACCTAGGACAACCGTCAAGATCCCGAGACTCTCGGGAAGCTGCATCCTCCCGGTCGATGAGAATTTCCCGTTTTATTAGCTCGTGCTACTTTACACTAGGACTCAATTTCGACGCAGATTTGAGGATATGCCAATTGCCGCGGGTTTCCGTAATACAGCATTCGGGGGGGGTACGACGCAAACAATTTTACGTCGAGACCTAACATTTCATTAATAAGTACCTAAACGGCATCGTACTGTTGAGTAACGTTAAACAGCGACGTAAGTAACACCTAACTAGTAAAAATAAAAGTTAAAATTCCTATCGCTTTCCCGATTCCTCGGATGTGAATACGAATTTTGTTACCTAATGCAAGGGCCCGGGAGCCGCCCCGTCTACAAACGGACAAGTCGGAACCGGCCTCGGGTAAATGCATGCAACGCATGCTCCGGGCGAAGTTTTGCTACTCACCGTAACTAGTTTTGCTAAGCGAGCTGCATCGATGAGGATAGTTAAAAGTTAATCCTCATATTCGTCTTTAGCCAATAGTATTCTATATCCTAGATGTTCATCCTCACATGCTGACTATAAATCTAACAATCGTAAAAGTAACTTCATATTCGCCCCCTTTTTAGCTCATAGAAAATCCACAGCTGAAAATAAGGCTACAATTCGACGCTAGACTTTGCACTAAGACTAAAAATAAAGGCTTAAACCCTAGCCCTCGCTACTACACTTCTTAGGTTAGGTAGACTATAAAAGCCCGGATCTAAGCACAAGCACAAGTAGCAGCAACAGACACGAATAGAGCAAAAAAATAAATAAAAAATAGAAAGATCCCTCGGACCGGAATCGAACCGGTGACTTTTCGATAACAATCATTTCTACAATTACAGTCGAACGCCATAACCAACTAGACTACCAAGGGTGCTTATAGTGATATTATCGCTAGTTTGCTATAAGACCTACCAGCTGGAAAAGCTAGTGGTCGAGCAAAGAACGCATTGTCCTGTGGTCAGATGCTAACAGGAGACAGATGCGAGCAGACTAAAGATCAAACACGCTGAACATTCAAATAGATCAAGAAGTACCGTTCAGCACACTGTCAAGGAGCTCAACGTCCTTGAGCAGTTGCTTATCTCCTAATCTCGGACCGACAATCTGCAGTGCCACAGGCGCGCCTTTAAAGAGCTCCGGATCATCTGTGATATGTCAGCTATTAACTAGGTAACTAACCATAATATAGCATAACAGGTAAATATTTCGCTTACACATATCCTGATTCTTCTGGTCAGCCTCATGCTTAGCCTTGAATCCGGCATCCACAGGGTCGAGAGTCGGATCGGCATGCGTGAAGGGAATGATGATAGCAGGATACTAGAATGGAGATAACCACGTCAGCGACCAATACCAATAACTTATTACCTCGTAAAAAAAAACACTTACATCGGCCACATTCCAAGCCACGGTATAAATATCGCTCGTCCAATCCCCCGGCAACACCGCCGTATGCGGACCAGCAGGAGCCAGAACGACGTCACAGCCCACCCTCTGCCACTCGTCCAGCATCTGCTTCTGAATCCCCAATTTCTTAGTATTCCACTGCCACGCCTCCTCCTGGGTCTTCCGCGGGAGATCCAAGAACCCGATCTTCTTGACACTGGGCACGATCGGCTCGCCCGACCTGGCGAATTTTGTCTTGGGAACGAGAGCCCGTCTAGCGTGAACAGCTGCTCTGATACATCGCGGATGCCGATGAAGTCCGGCGGATCGAAGTCCCTGGTCTCGAACCCGGCTGCTGAGAGCTTGGCTACGGCTTCTCGTAGGGCCCGGCGGACCGGTGGGTGAGGCGTAAGGCCAGATGCGTGGATAACGCCGACGATGGGTTTCCGCGTCGCTGTGGTGCCAAGTTCCATGATATTCGGAATGACGGCAGGGTCAAAATTCCATGGCTTCGTGTCCCTGACAATGCGAGTGAACAGGTCGAGGTCACGCACGGAATGACCCAATGGACCGGTCACAGCCGGAATCCCGGTGTTGGAACCCGTCCAGCCGGAGTAGGAATACCCGATCATGGGGATGATCCCGGAGCTTGGTTTGTACCCGTAGACACCATTGCAAGCAGTCGGTATTCGAACCGATCCGCCTACATCAGTTCCGACGCCGAGAGCACTACAGCGAAAGGCTTGACTTGCGCCCTCGCCGCCGTGCTCCCGCCACACGTTAAACGGGAGTTCACGGGGTTCTTAGTGCGCCCAAATACATTGTTATGGCTCTCCGCAACCAACATCGTCTGTGGTACATTCGTCTTCGAAATAATTACCGCCCCAGTAGCTTGCAAGAGTTCCGGCAAAGGCGACGTGCGGTCAGCCGGCTGGAAGACCCGAGACATGTAGCCGTTTGTCGAGTCGTACCCCTTGAAATGGAAACACTCCTTAAAAGTCATAGGAACCCCATGCAGAGGCCCGACCACCTTTCCCGTGCTTTTGAAAATGTTGTCTAGTTCTTTGGCTCGCTCTATTGCATCCGCGAACATAATTTCCGTCAGCATGTTACAGAGCTGATGGCCTATCGCGGCGCGTTTACAAAATGCCGTCACGACCTCTACGGCCGTGAATTTGCCTGTGGCAATGGCGGCCGCCAAAGATGTTGCATCGTATTCCTCACTGGTAATTGCTAACTCGGCCGGAGATAATATATTGTGTGTGCTAACAAAGGGGCGGAGGTCAACTGTGTCCTCCGGTGGAATATCTTCCAGTTTCAACTTCCATTCTGCTGGTATTCTTGAATCCTGCTCAGCCTTTTTTGCTGCCTGCAATTCCTGCCAGGACTTCTTAGTCGTTGACCCTTCGATACTGCCCATATTCAACGTTTCTATCTAATAGTAGGCATGACATAGAAAGTATCTAAGCGGAGATGCGTATAAGGTTGACCCCTCAAAAGAGTATCTCATGTAGCCCCCGAGACGTCATGCCACGATATAACTCCGAAGAGTGGGGGAAGGAATTAAGGGCATAGACTTAACTTCATTAGATCCGAGATGCTGTTTTATTCCTACCCCATCGTTACATTTGACGCAAGATAATCATATCTCTTGGCATCGGGGCTTGCCTATCTAGTAATCAGTATTGCTCGTCTATCTCTTCTATCTACCTATAGAATGACAAACCAGGAAAAAATATGTAGCGGAGCTAAGTAAGATATACCATATTAGATATAACATGCAATTGCTATACCCATTTTTGATAACAGCTCTGGGTGAGGCTTCGGTGTGAACAATTTCGAGCAGAGTTGTTATACACGGAGCGGCAACGCCACGCCTGGGCGTCACCTTTGTACCCCGACGAATATAGAGCAAGGATCTTATCAGCATACTGGATACCAGGTATAATTCGGGGTAAAGAGCATCACAACTATCTCATCCAGGACAGAGTGGAGTAATATTTAACATGCTCTTTGGCATTCTTGAATCCTAATAGATCTCTATTACTTCTAAAAACTTATCCTTAGATACCTATCTAAGACATCACAACAATGTCGGAGAAAAAGGGCGTCCCCGGCGCCGAGAGCGTGGTCTCTGACACAGAACGCGGGACTGGCCTCGTATTGCCGAAGAAGAATATATTAGGGGATTTAATCCACCGACGAAATGATCTTAACGACCTGGGCAAAGACATGCTGCAGCAATCGCTGCAATACGACCGGGCGCAACTCGAAGCGGACGCCGTAAAAGTCCGATGGAAGTTGGATCTCTTGGTGCTTCCCATGGTACGATGACAACAACATTAACGTATTTTATAATATTGGCTCCTAACATGAGGTCTGGGTGAAGATGATGATCACATATATGTTATCATTCCTCGACAAGCAGACGTACGGTTGGCGCCGACATGTTCTTATTGGGTTTCTAGTACTGACGGGGTAATTGTAGCCTCAACTACTCGAACGCATATGGCTTACAAGGGGACACGAAGATGACTGGGGACGATTACTCCTGGGTTGCATCAGCCGTGTACTTCGGTTGGCTCTGTACGTAGAAATCATTAACCCTTGACGTATCAAATAAAAAGCTAATACCGGCCGTTAAGGCGGAGCGTGGCCGTGGAACCTATTGCTACAACGCGTCGCCATCGGAAAACTAGTTGGTGGGATGTTATTCGTCTGGGGGGCTGTCTGCATGCTCCAAGCCGCGGTCTTTAATTTCAGTGGCTTCTTTGCCGTCCGATTCTTCTTAGGCATGCTTGAGGGTTGTATCTCGCCTGCTTGGGTGCTCCTAACTTCGATGCTATGGACTCGTCAAGAGCAATCCTTGAGGAGTTCCATTTGGCTGTGTACGAACGGCTTATCAAACATTCTTGGAGCTCTCCTAGCTTACGCCTCGGGCGTTGCTGACGGTTTGGCGATAGCACAATGGAAGTTGATATTCCTGGTGAGGATCCCTTTTTATCTTCGCTACAGCAAGGGCTAATGTGGAGTATATTTAGATAGTCGGCGCTCTCACGTTTGTATGGGGATTTGTCATCTTACTCTATCTCCCCGATGGACCACACAATGCAAAAATGCTGACAGAGTATGAACGTGCCGTTGCCGTCTGGCGTGTCTCCAACAACCAGATTGGCCTCAAGGACGCGACTTTTCGACCATACCAAGTCAAGGAGGCCCTACTAGACGGAAAATGCTACTTGATGTGGCTGACTGGAATAGGACTCGGAATACTCAACGGTGCTATCACTACCTTCATGTCCGCTATAATTAAGGGGTTCAACTTCGACGCGCTCAGAACATCTCTGTTACAGACACCGGGAGGTGCGGTCCAAATCGTTGCTTGTATTTCACTAGGACTATTCTCGCAACTCCCGAATATGGTGGGCGTAGCTATCATCCTTGGGTGCTTACCTGGTATAGCTGGACTGGTAGGTATCCTGACCATTGATATCGAGCACCGGTATGCGCTCGTCGCTATGTGCTGGCTAGAATTCGTCGTTGGATCGCCCATCGTTTTGAACTGGACAATTCCTGGTCTCAATGTAGCTGGGCATACTAAGAGGAGTACTGTGATAGGGATTTATTTCGTCTGTTTCGTCGTTGGAAAGTAAGTTCGAGACCAGAAACGCAGAGAAAACAGCGGCCAGGCTAACATCAAGGAATGTAGTATTATCGGCCCTCACTTGTTTCTATCGTGGGAGGCGCCTAGGTACCCAACCGCAATTAAAGGCCTCCTTGGCACTTATTGTGCCGTTGTCTTCCTCCAAGGGCTCTACACACTCTGGTGTTGGTTTGACAATAGGGAACGTGACCGACTGGCTCTCCACAGTGAGGTGACAGAAGCGGAATTACTTGAGGGTTTCGAGGATTTAACTGATAAGGAGAACAAACACTTCCGATATAAACTTTGAGGGGAGCATGAATGAGACTATAGCTACCTCTTATAAGAACGAAGGGTAAACGTGTGTTCTTAAACGATTTTGTAATAGGGTAGCTATTTGCGAATACCAATCCAGATAGACTATATAGTACGAATACGAACCCTTCCAATGTATACGGACTTATACACCCCATCAGCGGCAACACGATGAAGACAACTCATTAAGGAGAATATATATTAGGTATACATGATGTTATCCATGCTAGCGCGTCTCCCAGCATCTCTACGCGTCGTCCCCTGCGAGTGAGTCACTACCTAAACTCGTCATTGCGCGGCGGGGATCATATTCCACCAAACCGTCGTTGATTGGTCAATTGAAAGGCGACAAGCTCGAACCCCGAGCTTTGACGATCACATCTCAACGAGCGTCCAATTTGTTCGTATATCCAGAACAGCAAAACTACTTAAACCACGTTAAATATTATATCCATGAGTTCGGCTGTTGCCTCCTGGGTGTCTATATACAATCTATATCACTATTACATTAAGAAATAAGAAAATTCTTCATCTAAACTAACGAGACCCTCTACCGATATTATCTCCGAGACACCTCGTAGCTTCGGATATCTACACTTAGATGTTCGATTATACTCAACGGAACGGACCTAACATAGCTCGGATTTGTATTATTTAAATCACACATTACTCCTTTAAATCAAGGATTTGTTTTTTTGATAAAATAAAATAAAATAAAACTCCTTTCCTTACCTCCTATATATCGCTTCCACCAACCGTCAACATGTCCTCACCCTCTCCGCCCACAGGGCCCCCCCAGCCTCATGGGGTGCTCGGCCACGTCCTCGAGGAGACAGGCCTCCTATCCCTCCACGCCTCGTCGCGAGACGTCAAACTGCTCTGCCTGCAGCGCTTCACGCGCATGTTCGCATACGGGATATCGACCCTAATTCTAGTCGCCTATCTCTCCGCCCTAGCGATCCCCAAGATAGATATCGGGCTATTCATGACCCTGACCCTAGCCGGCGACGTGTGTCTCAGCTTCGTATTAACATTATTCGCCGATGCCCTAGGGAGACGAGCGGTACTTGCGCTCGGCGCGCTGCTGATGAGTGCGAGCGGTGTGGTGTTCGCTCTATTCGGGTCGTACTGGGTGCTTCTAGTTGCGGCGGTCGTGGGGGTTATAAGTCCGAGGTAAGAGACTGAAACTGCCCCTTTCCCCTCTCTTTATTCTATATAATATAGGGCATATCAGAATATTGAAATGCTGACCTACCTCCCAGTGGCAACGAAATCGGCCCCTTCCGCGCCATCGAGGAGAGCATCGTAGCGCAGCTAACTGACCCCAAGAAGAGAAGCGACATCTACGCCTGGTACAGCCTCCTAGGCCTCGTGGGTGCCGCATGCGGTTGCATGGCATGTGGCTGGATCCTCCAGCACCTGACGGAAACTCTCGGGTGGGATTTTGTTCGCGCGTATCGCGCTATTTACTTCGGATATGCTGCTCTCGGCTTATTAAAACTAACTCTGACTCTGCTCCTGAGCCACGCCGTAGAGTCGGAGAAGAAAGCAGGCACGGAGCCGTGCTCGAGACGACGAGACGAGACCGTTGCTGGAGAGCGGCGCAGAGACTAATACACCTCCTAAACGAGGACTACGCGCGTTGTTCCCGGACATCAGTAAGGAGAGTGTCCCTGTAGTGGCCACGTTATGCCTTCTCTTTGCTTTGGACTCCTTTGGCTCTGGGCTCGCTCCATTGTAAGTAAACCGGTCCGTTTCACATTATGACTATCCGACTAAACGTTGCTAGATCTTGGATCACATACTACTTCAAATCCCAATTCGACATCGAAGAGGGAGAGTTAGGCTCCATATTCTTCGTCACCCAGACGATTGCAGGCGCTTCTATGATCGTTGCTTCTTCTCTAGCTAAGCGGTTTGGTAATGTCAATGTAAGCACCCCCTCCCAATTCCTTCAGTCTTCGTGTTCTATATAAATATCCCTCCTAGTGCTAACACTCTAAGACAATGATATTCACGCACCTCCCCTCGCAAATATTCCGCGCCCTCCTAGGCGTCCCCAGCGACATGCACCTAGCACTAGCCTTCCTCATCCTGAACGCAAGCACTCAATCCATGGACACGGGACCGCGCTCCGCCTTCCTCGCCACCATCGTGCTGCCTGCAGAGCGGACAGCGGTCATGGGGACCGTGAACGTCGTCAAAACCACGGCACAGAGTCTCGGACCATTATTAACAGGTATACTGGTTGATCGGAATCTGTTCTGGGTGTCATTTGTCGCTTCGGGAGGATTGAAAATATTATATGACTTGGGCTTGCTCGCGTTCTTCAAGAACAAGGAAAAGGAGCGAGAGAGAGCTGAGCGGTTGAGACTTCAGAGCGATGAAGAAGGACAGCAATAACTACCTAAGGCAGACCATTATGCTGGTTACCAGAGACCCCCCCGGGAACGTGCCGATCTATAGCAGCGATAGAATAAGTACCTTGATGGACCAGTGACGCAGTGCATTGAATGAGAGTTAGTATTCGCCAACTGTTATATAGTCTGCCCGCCGTTTTTAAGTCTCGTATGCTTATGTTAAACCATCCGAAGAACCCTACTACATATTGTTGAAAGCAATTGGTCCAAGGACAAGTTATATAATATATATATTGAGTATTTGGGGGCATGTTGTCCTCAGCTAAGTATTTGTTTACATTGTTGATCATTAGACCGTTCTTTTCTTCGTCCCCTTTTAGACGACTTCCCCAATCCTAATTAACCATGCTTAACAACTCACGATAGCAATGATTATAACCCGCTATTTATCTACACCTCACTATCACCAAACCTAAAAGTTCTCCTGTCCGGAGAACCGCTCATTCTGCACGATCTCGACCCAGTATCCATCGGGATCAAGCAAGAAAGCAACATTCTTCATGCGTCCGTCCGTAAGCCGCTTCTTCCAGTTAGCATCCAGGGTCTCGAATCTCGAGCACGCAGCGTCCAGACTATCGACCGAAATGCCTATCCTGTATTAGCTCTCCTCCCAACCCACACGTATTATCCCCTAAGGGTGAGAAAACGGGGGGAAAATAAAGGAAGTAAAACTTACAAATATGTCCAAAGCCCTGCGGCTCCGAGTTCCCATCATGGTACTTAAATTCTCATCCTTCTCGGTCCCATAATTCCACGTCAACTCCAGCAACCCCTCATAATCCGCCGTAAACCCGTCCTCCGGAACGCCCTTAGAGCCGGGGTACCCGAGGAAATACAAGTTGAACTTGGCAGCAGACTGCTCGACCGTGCGGAACAGCTTCATGCCTAGCACGTCCTGGTAGAATTTGAGGGACTTCTCGGCGTCCTTGACCCGGATCATAGTGTGGTTCTATGCTCTTGCGTTAGTCATGGATGCTTAGGTACCTAAGATACCTACTCATTTCTCGTTGCTCATGGCCAATTGTTAAAGAGGAAAGGAGAGATAGGAAGTAACCCTACCATGCGATAAGTACCAACATCCGTCCCCTTCCCCTGCTCCTCCGGATCCTCCGCACCCTTCGACCCCCTCCTACGACTAATAATCTCGACCCAATAGCCATCCGGATCCAGCGCAAACGCAATATGCTTCATCCTGCCATCCGTCAGTTTCTTCTGGAACCGATACCCCGCGTCCTCGAGCCTCTTGCACGCCGCCTGGATGTGGTCGACGGCAACGCACACGTGCCCGAAGCCGTGGTGGGGCTCCGCGTTGCCGCTGTTGACCGTGTAGTGTGTGGGTCGTCCTCGGTGCCGTAGTTGTGCGTCAGCTCAATCACGCCCTGCCGGTCGAACGTGCTGTTGCCGTGCGAGAGCGCCGTTGGGCCGTCGTAGCTTAGGAAGTACAGGTCGAATTTGGCGTCGGGGAATTGTAGGTGCTTGACTACGCTCATTCCTAGGAATTCGTAGAACTTGACTGTGGTGATATGTATATGGTTAGTCTGTGCAAGGCGGCGGAGAGCCTATGCGGTGCGGTAGGGCCATACTGGATGCTTTGGGGTCCTTCACTCGGATCCTGTGTTAAGTTCCTGCGTTCAGTAGCTTGTCCTCTCGAAGGCGGGGTCGTTGGCTTACATCGAGTGATTGAACTTATAGTTGTTCGTATCCGTAGTCGTCGCCATTGTCGCGAATGTGTGCCAAGCACTTGTAGTCTTCAAAAATTGGTTGGGTATCTGAAATTGCCTAGATGGTTGACCAAGATATAGAAACCGTTTGCTTGCGATTTGCGCAAATGGACGTAGTATATGTGATCGCGTTGTTGTTCTATACAAGCCGCGGAGACAAGACATGTATGTAATGAGAGGTGTTCTATTATCGTGCACAGGAATTGGTGCAATCTAATAGCCGTGGTAATTCTGCGCGCGGAGTTAAATGTCTTGTCTAATAGGAGAATACCTGTTTTAAGGTACCTTATTGTGCAACTATCCAATCTGCATTTCTCAAGTACCGATAAAGAATAATGTCTTTAGCGTTCAGAATAATGACGTTTGTCATAGCTACCCCTCTAGCCCCACGTTAGATCTCGAGTTCCACAGACGCTAGCCAGGGGTTAATACTTCACTAGAGATAATGTATCCATGTACTTTTGAATAACTTCATATTTCAATAACAGACATGTTAGATAGGTAGGTAAATAGATATTTCGCATATAATCGATAGGGAATAGCCACCCATTTCCAAGACATAACAAACTCCTATTCTGTACTCTGTATTCTAGTTGCGTGTGACACCAAACTCCAGGTACACAGCTCGCGCCTTGAATTTTTCTCAATCCTAACTCCACTAGTATACATATACAGAAAAACAAAGAAAAAACGTCTGAATAACTATAAGAACATGGGATCTGAGGGACGTTCGTGGTGCGATACGCTATACGACCTGATAACGGTACGCTAGGTATGCATATATGGAGTAAGTTGAACGTAAAACTGCGATCCGCGCCCTTCTAGGACGGGTTGCGAAAATAGGAGAACATATATCATGTTGAGCTGACTAGACCACCAAGCTTACCGACGACCCAATCGGTGTTGAAGTACTGGCTGGGAGTGACAAAGAAAGCCAGGGCAATGATGACGTAGAGGGCCATTAACTAAAATAATATTAGTATATCTAACCAATCACATGGAAATCAGTAACATTACCATTGCGCCTTCGAGGTAGTTGGATTTTCCGTCTTGGACCGTGTAGATTACGACCAGCACAGCCAGCGCAAACGAGACCGTTTCAACTGGATTTCGTTAGTTCAAGAGATAGTAGTAAGAATTATATTCAACTTACAAGTCTCAAAGTGCAAGTCCATATCTCTGTCCATGATCCAACCGAGAACAACAAGGAATGGTGTCACGAACAGAGCAATCTGGATGCTAGAACCAATAGCAACTCCCATAGCCTGTGTGACGAGTAAGCTCCATGTTACTCGAGTTTCTTAGGATAATACTTACAAGGTCCATCTTGTTCTTAACTGCCACCACGACGGCAGTAACATGCTCCGCCGCGTTACCCACGATAGGAATTAGAATAAGACCAATAAAGCTGCGACTGATATGGGCACGCTCCACTAGAGAATCTATACTCTCGACTAGATAATCCGCACAGATAGCGACCAGAACAGTTGTGACAATTAAGACCGCACCGGCGGACCATGGGCTCATATGCACCTCCTCCTCTTCTGATTCTTCTTCGTGCCCCTGAGCTACTGCCGGCCGGATGTTTTCGGCCGCGGCCTCGGCAGGAAGATGGATTCCGTTCTGAGAGGGCTCCTGTACAACTGCCGCTTCGGCACTGAATAGTTTGTGGTGTGTTCTCAGCTGAAACCATAGGTATAGCACGTAAAGAACTAGCAGGATGATAGCGGTGCCGCGAGAAAGTGACAGTACGATTTTATTGCGTTCATTCGTATCGTCTCCGCCGGTTCCATTTATGATCATAAATAACTGAATTCCATATTAATCTCCAACCGGCCTCTACAAAATAGAATGAAGTACTTACAGTGCCAGGCAGGATCATAGAAGCAGCAGATAGGGTCATGAGGAAGCTGTCGTTTGAGCAGTAATCGTCTGGAAAGACTGCTCCTGGCCATGACCCTCTTCATCTCTCATATTGACGATACCGCCAAAGAAGAAGCACATACCCAGAACAAGGAGTAGATTGGATAGGATCGAACCAATCATAGACGACTTAACGATCTCGATCTGTCTATCTCTTAATGCGATAATGCTAACCTACAGGGAAGCTGTTAATAAATGTCATCATGCAAGTAATGGCGGGTTGGGGGCGGTTTTTTACAATCAACTCCACAGCATTGCCGAAAGTGGCATTGAGCAGGCCACCTAGAGCCTCGCCTAGGTTTACTGATATTTCCTCCGTCGCATATGAGAGTACGGCAGCTAGCGGAATAATGGCGAAAAAATTAATGACGAATACGGCAACTGGATCCCAACCGGCTTGACCAGCAATAATACCAATTGGCACTGCGACGAGAAGGATGTTGACGGGACCTAAAGAGTCGATTTAGCTATACATACATCCCTGTCTCCCCCGGATTTATTCGCTTGGTATACGTACTGCTCAATAAAGTAGCTTTGGTGATGTGCCACGTATGGGCCGGATACTTGACCCATGGCTTCGGGTTCTCAGTGCCGGGCGTGTGCTGCGAATCGAAAAAGAATTCCCAAGCCCCACCACCGTGTCCGTTCTGATGAGCGGAGCCATTTTGGACGGAGTGACCGTTGCCTCTTAATAGAGATGTGTTTTCGTTCGGCTCTCCATTTTGGTGAGGATGAGTGTGAGTCAAGCCTGTTACGGTCTTGCGGATTTGGGATTGGAAACTCGGTAAGGCTGAATCACGATCCATCGTCGCGTCATCGTTAGCCAGAAAATTAAATATTAAGATTCGCTCGGAAGATTAATGCCACCACGTCGGCGAACACCACATTACTCTATAAGAAAGAAACGCGCACAAAGGGATACGGAGGTGTGAGGAAACACGGGAGGGGGGGGGAAGGGGACCAAGGTAGGTAAGATAAAGATGGAAATTGGGGATCGAGCGTCTAATTGATTAGGTAGGGAAATGCAGTAAGTAGTAAGTGTATTATTGGGAGATTAGGAAGATCTAGTGCAATAAGTAAAAGCCTACTTACACACCATTGGGATGACGCTGGGGTTTTTTTCCCCGAAAAGTAACTCAGCCGAATAAAAAAAAGATACCCAAGCTTAAAGAATGCGCAGGAATTTGGGGCGCGAGACAGCGAGGCGCAGACTGAGTAAGGTAAAAAGCGCTTTGTTTTTACTCGACAGCTGGTAAAGGGGGGATTCACTAAGTTGCCAAAAAAGAGACAAGTGTTTCTGGGCGTAACGTAGTTAGGGCGTTATTTTAATTGTGATGACATATACCAAAGTAACTTTTTTGCTGTTCCTGGCTGGCGGTTGTATTTTCTTGTAATGTAAGTGGTTTCTTGGGGTTCTTAGGTTCTTGGGTTATTGTTCTTGGTACAGAATATTTACATGGAAGAATGTCTGGGCATTATCTTGGGCTTGTAAGTTTGTAAGTTGCCAAGAGAAACCTTGACAATTCACTCTTTTCGCTAGGACCTGGGTCATACGAGTCAGTTATCTCATAGCTTTCTTTAAAATTTCTCCTTTGTTTAAGCCGTTCAGGTGCTGACGTCGTTCATCCCTAATCGCCCTAATCGTATGTACTATACCGAAGCTAAAGACCCATCTTACTCCACCTCCCAAACAAGGTGAAGGTAATACAATACACACTACATCAGACTTTACCTGCAGTTAAAACGTGGCGTGAGCTCTAAGGTCGCACTGGATTCGATGAGACAGGGACAGGGGGTGCTTACATAGTACATGCACCAAGTATTGAGTATGCAAAATGCCGGGTAAAGGTACATTAGTGTCCTATAATACGGCGGAATATACCAATTGAAATGCAAGTTAAGCAAGGAGCTAGGACCAACCAAGTTTCTACATAGCTCCGATTCTCGAATAAATCCATTCGATCTCATCAGGGACGAAACCTGGTAGGCTTAACTTGAACCTAAATTTTCGAATACAAATACAAATGCAAATATTCATCCTTTCCAGATCATCCGAAATAAAAGTGGAAATAAGATGCGAGGACATCAATAATAATAAATATCCGTGCCAATGGCTTGCGTAAAGTGTCTTTGGCGGGAATTGAAACTTGCGGAAAACGTGCCTACCATACGCAAGAGGTAGGACATGTAGGAAGGAGGAGACATAATGTACCTAACCTAGATTGCCAAGTGTGGCTGTGTACATACACATAACACCAGAGGCCTCCAAGAATACATATACCTAGGTACCTATCAAAATCTAGATAAGCCTTTTTCTAAGTCCATAACTCCATAACATACATGAAATCACTCTGCCGTAGCCAATAACAAACCTTGAAACTATCGACAGGTCGCCTGCACAAGTTAATATGATACCCGGACCGTACGGATGCCAAGGTCTAATCATCATTTGTCGGATGCCATGCACGGGGCTTACAATAAGGCAATGTGTAGATACGTAACCACGCGGCTACGCATTCCTAAATCATCAGAAATGAGAAGGAAAGTAAGCAGAGATGAAAGAATAAACAGGTAGACACCACGTTTCTAGAAGAAATTGGAGGTGAAGACTGCTAAGGTCAAACTGTCATCTGATCTATAAGCATCAGGAAGCTCCAACTGCAAGAGATAGGGTTTAGGGACACATTGATAGGGTGTAGCATGAGGTTAATTCGGTGCACCGCAGTAAGGTACGGATAGGTATTCCTATAGTCAATACGCAAAACCCAATATAAGTTATATCGCCCCTATTCTCCAAATTTCGTCTTCTAATCATAATCATTATTCATGTCGATAAATAACTAAGTAGGCCACCAGCGCCTTTAATATATCCAGGTAACCCAACCCCTATCCCTTCCACTCAGTAGCAAATGTTCCAAGGCCGTCTAAAAGCAATCAAGCCCAGCCGGTCTATCACATAAATGCTAGACAATCGTTAGCTTGTTGAAGCCCAACAACAACTAAGGTGGACTCACCTGCGCAGTACGCCAGATACCACGTCAACGAAGCGCCCCCGTCCAGCCACCCAGGATCAAAGTCCTTCCGTGTAAAGAAATCCCACGCTGCCTTGGGGTCGACTGTGGCTAGATTGGCGAAGAGAATCCCCTTCCAGCCTCCTTCGACATTTTCGGCTCGGCCCTTGTCGAAGTACGTCGCCCACTCTTCCCTCACGAAATTGGCGGGTCGAGTGAGTTTCGTGCTGGGTAGAAGCGGAATCATATGGATACCTTGGATGTATTCGATGTTGGACCCGAAGTACGTATTATGATCGCACTTGTTCTCGAACAAAATTCCGGCAACCTTATTTCCCACATACTGGGACGGTTGGACATTGTTGTCTTCAGTATAGAGATAGTACTGGTTTATGGAACGAGCGATGATTGACAATATTAGGTTACCTCTAATTTTCAACCCGTTAGTCACCAGAACATCATTTTTGGGCCGCTCGACCTTACCTGGCCTCCATATTAGCGTCCTTGATCGTGTTTCCCCACACCTTGATGGCATAAGCATGCATCGCATCTTCCGAGCTTGATTCCTGGTCCTATGGAATATATTAGTACCCTCACGTCGCGAGTGGGTCGTCGGTGATACTAACCTTTCCATCAGAGGTTTCATATAGGCCATGAGCCCAACTGTGGCCATGGTACCAGTCGAAATTACGCGAGACTGGGAAGTATTTATCTGAAGGAGAAGGATTGGCAATGTCTCTGACTAGCGAGTTCACGTAGTCGACATTGTCTTTGGTAAGCCAACTAGGATCAAGATAGCCGATGATAGCTGCAGCGTAGATGAAATAACCGTAGTGAAAGTGGTGATCATTGTAGAACGTATTGCCAAAATCTGCACCATCATTTCCGGTCTGGTAAGTTGCAGAAGACACAAGACCTCCCCAGGCAGCTTCTAAAGTTAGCTCTATTCAAAGTAGTTATATAGATACAGAAACTCTTACTTTCATAGTACAGCGGAAATTGCTGTTTGTTTGCTGAGAACCGACTGAAAGCGGCCTTCAAGTTTCCTAACCCTCTCTCAGCTAATGCCGTGTTCTTGAGCAAGTCGTTGGCTACGTAACAGATTCCAGCGAACTTCGCCAACGCCTATCATGACTATTAGTATTCCACAGCAGTAGAAAGTTAATCAGTTTGTAACTATACCTTTCCACTAAAATACATTGAATTCTGGGTCCGACTGGTGGAGTGCATCCTGGGCAGTTTCGTTCATAGCTATGGGTGATTACGTTGATTGCAGAATCCTTTAACGTTTTCTTCTCACCGTCGACGGGATCCCAAGGAGCAAGACCCATCGAGACAGGCATATTAGGTTCAACCATCGTCCACGAATCTGCAACCACGCCCACGGCTACTCCCTTGGTCGTGGTTTGTAGCTTCGCCGTCGTGATACTTTTATGGGTCGCATCGTCGAAGGAGTCGACATGGTGAGGCAGAGCGTAAATTAGTGGTTTAACATCTGAAATTCCTGCCTTCTCGAAACTGAACGTGTATGTGCCCTTCGACCCAGATACTGAGCCGGAAAGCGTCACGTTGACGGGGTATGCACCAGATGCGGCGTCTATTACGGTCTCGGCGTCGCCGGGATCCTTGGCAACTTGAATGATACCGTTGAACGGCTTCTCGGCCTTAGCCATTCCATTGTTGACGACGGTGAGGTCAAAAGTGTCGCCCTTTTCCGAATAGGCGTATACGTGCCATACATTTCCGTCCTCCAAATATAGCGTGTACTTGGTCACGCCTGGTTTAGGCCCCTTGATTGATTTTGTGACCGTCTTGAAGTAGATACCAGTGTTGATAAGCGGAGTTCCTCCTTGGTAGATAGCTGTAACGAACCCCATACCTTGCACCAAGGGGAATGTGACAAGGGGCTTCGCTTTGGGATCACTGTGTAAGTTGACGTTGACCGAGTGTGCAGACAGATTATCGGTTGTCAAACTAGTCTTTGGACCCAGTTCCAACGCCGAGAGACATAATGACTGAATTCCAACAGGGCTCAAAAAGTATTGCGCGGCACCTGTTTCTTTCGATGCTTTACCGTACACTATCTGATGTGCATCGATATGTGAGATCGCCAACCCCCAGCTGGACGATGCTCCCTGACCATGCGCCCAAACAACTGAATACGGGTGCACGAATGTGGGCGACGTCTGGTTACCAAGAAAGAAATTGGCATAGAATTTATTCGTACCTATCGGCCCAGATTTATTGATGATCCCTTTTCGAGATACTGGATGCTCCTTCTGAACAGGGAAAGACGATGCAGGGGCACTAGTTGCAATTGGCGCCCCAAAGATGTTTGACGATGTAGCTGCTGGGGACATTGTGGATGTATCTGACGGGTTCTCGTCTGACTTAGATGATAAAGGCGTAGTTGGACTTGGTGTTGTGCTAGTTTCGAGTGATGTAGTTGTATTGGACCCACAACTAGATGATGGATAGAACTCTGAGACAGTCGAAGATGTAGAATTAACTGTCACTATGATAGGTTGATAACCCTCGTGATGGATATCTTGACTTTTCGAAAGGGGAGAATACTTCTCTCGATAAGAGTCTCTTTTGGTGAGCCTACCTTTATGATGTGACTTAACCTCAATGTTTGGGGTCCAAAGTCGGGCTGTCAGGATAGGGTAGACCTGAGCCAATGTCAGTATCCAATATAGTAACATCATAGCGTTTCAGGAAATGGGAATCAATGGGGAAATCCTTAGTGATGTATCTTGTGGGCTATCGAAGCCTCATCGGAGCTACCAGCGCTCAACTCGGAATGATATGATTCGATGATATCTTTACAGATAGTAGAATAGCAAATGGACATATTCGGAGGGATATAATTGAAAAGATTGTGTTGGAGACTAAGATCTGAAGTTCGATACCCGTGCCCATAAGTAGTAGGCGGGTTGATGGTGTTGATGGTGTTGATGGGTGACATGGTGTGTGACTGGAGCAATGATGTCCAAGAATGATGATGGTGTCTGGACGACGGATGACTCAGGGCCTCCAATATTCGGTGGCGTGGATAGAAGATCACGAGGAGAGGAATGAGTTGTCTTGAATAGGGGCTGGGGGTCCTACCTAAGTGACAAGCTTGAGCAAGCGAAGGAGTCTAGAAGAGTCACTGGAATGAGAATTAATAGCAGCGAGAAACCACGTGTGAATAGCGAGGTGGGCTAGAAAGTTCTATGATATAGGAATACTAAAATATAAAGGATAAAATGTATTATTCGGATTCGATGATGGTTCTAGGTCTTTAGGAGTTGTCGTAAGAAAAGAGATGAAGCTATGAAGAATAGTCGTTGTAGTGAATGTGTCGGACAGAAATTAAGCTTGTGGATTTCAACATAAGACACAATCATTAATGACAGCTTCGTAACTACCCTATTGGTTTGCTCATTCCATATTCTAAATAGAAGCTTCATATAATTAGAAAGAGCGTGCGTATTCTCATGAGATTTAGAGTTAAGAGGTACTTACTGGAAGAAGAAACGACTGGGAGTTGCGGATTCCCCTTCGCATCTTAGATTCAATGGACCCACTTTAATAGTTATTATATTATGTAAATATTTAATATACTACATGTTATAAGAACTCTTACTTTTAAGATTGATTGAATATGTATTGGGTGTTTTGAGTATTAAGGATACAAATACCTAGTTAAGATTTATAAGGCGTCTCGAATGTCGTACTTGGGTTAAATATAAGAAATATAAGAAAGGAATAATCTCATTCACTTGTATTGATCTCTACTAAGATCATCCGAGATGTAAATCTAGCATGCCACGAAATAATAAAGGAAAAAGGGGCCAAATATAAATAAGTATATTCACAGTCCTAATGCGCTGTATTGATCTTTGGAATAAGGACTTTGGGCTCTTGGCATGACCGGAGACTCTTCCCTCATAGATTTGCCTGCCTCCCTGCTCTTGTCCTCAAGCTCTGTATCCCGTTTATGTTTGTCAATAGCAAGAGCTTTTTCTTTCCTCCTCTTCTTCCTCTCCTTAGAGTCCACATCCGCCATATATTGCTTCTTACAACGCTGAACCTCTTTCTTATCCAATACCCAGGGTTTACTCAAAACGTCCTTGCGAAAATTGATAATCTTATCCCAGAATTGGACCTCTTGATTTGTGGATCCAACCCTCTGTAACTTTTGGACCTTGATCTGCTTCTGTTGTCTGAAGACAATCGTACTACCCTTAACTTCGACGACCATGCCGATGTCAATATCCGGATATGGATCGGGGGCCGGAACCTCTGCGTTGTTCCGATATCGGCTATCAACTGGCTTCGGGATATTTATGCTACATTCGATACACGCACCAGTGCTATCGTCAACAGTGTAGTTTCGGCGGCCATAATACTCGTCTATTGCAACCACAACTCCGACTATCCGGACCCAGCGGATAGGGTGATTTAAGGAGAAGAATACATTGTCACCTTCGAAACGGTAAGCCTCAGGTCACAAGTTTCGTAGCTCATTTATAAGGTTCAAAAAATATATATACCTTCAAATCCAGGTCGACCTTCAAGACCCTGGATGTCGGCGGCGCGTAAAGGACACCATTTATTTATCGTCGGGGACAGATGGAAGCAATACGCAGGATAGAAGGTCAGAGGTTCCGCATTTGTCATGGCATTTTGATAGATAGAATCAACTACTGAAAAGCAATACTGACGAGACTAGCGTGTTATGTCTTAAAATGTTGAAAGAGGACGGATTAGTTGCGATGACGCGACTGACGCGGAAGCCTAGGCACTTAAGGTACAAGTGCCCCACTCATCTCAGTTCTATAGGGGTACCTCCTGCAAGATACATACGTCATAGTTGACTGGTTGTGACTACGATTACACTTGGCTAACATATCGCAAAATGATACAACACCAACATGTTTGAATTACTTTATGAATTTTATATCTGATGTAGTAGTTAATACCTAGTACGTTCACAATTCCAAACCTATCGCATGCTTGCCTCGATAATTGATTCCCCTACTTGCCTGAATACCATATGCGCCGTAAACGAAAACTAAACTCGATCCTACTTCTTGCTCTTCTTTCTCAACCTCGCTGCCGCAGCCTGGAAAGCTTCCTCAGAAGGCTCTTCCGGACTAGCACGCTTCTTGCCCTTCTTAGCGCTCGGTGCTGCGCCATACTTGGCCGCTAGATTGTCAAGAAAATTGCTTCGACCTTGCTGGTTACGGCGAATAAGTGCTGCTAGGTCATCTTCGGACGATCCCTTCTTGCTTTTACTCTTGCCGTCTTTATTATCTTTCTTGCCAAATAACTTATCATGCACTCCTAATTCCTTGGCGTACTCCTCGGCCTCGACGCTTTCCTTCTTCGCAGCCTTGACCCGGGCTTCCTTAGACTTTTTGCTCTCCTTCGTGTAAGCTTTAAACGCAGGGACATCCTTATTGGCGATGGCCTCGTCTATGATCGCGCGGAATCGTTCGTCGTCTTCGAGTACATCACTGAGCATGACTGATTCGTAGACCTTGTCCATATTGCCTTTGTATTCTTCATATGCGATTAGAACATCGTCCTTTTCTTCATCGGAACCCTTGTACTGTTTTGCGAATTTTTCGATCGCATCAGCAGTGACTGTGTCGCGGTACTGTTCTCGATAGAAGTCTGACCAGCTGAAGCCATCCGAGTCGACAATAGATTCGGAGGTCGAGCCTGTCTCGTCATAACGTTTGCGCCTCGCCGGGTCGGATAGCACTGCATATGCAAATGCTATAGACTGAAAAGCCTCGTGGGCTTTCTGTTTCTGATCATCGGGAACTTTGTCTATAAAAAATATCACACATAAGAATATATAAAACGTAAGCCTTCTTCATTAATTGGATAGCTTACCTGGATGATTTTTTAGAGCGAGCTTTCGATAAGCAGATTTGATCTGGCCCTCATCTGCAGTGCGCTCTAAGCCAAGGACCTCATACGGATCGATGGTGGGCGGTTCACCGGCAAGGAGGTCGTCCGAGTCATCCATGATGGACAGGAATTATCGAATAGAGTACGAAGCTGTGAGCGGAGAGATTTGTCTTAGTACCTCTAGTTGGATGCTGGAAAGTTGACAAAGTCGGGGGATCGCGTTATACGCGTTTCCTCTTTACGCGATTTATCGATAAGGATACGTCAATTACATAATTCCTGTAGCGGGGTACCTGCATAGAATAGTATACCTCATGCATCTCATAGTAGTCTCTATTATCAATTTTATTAATTTATTGCCTGTTTCTCAGGCTACTCTGGAAAATGACTGAAGGCTTTCCTCAGCAAGCGAGTGATATAAGGGCGGAAGACCATCAAGCGTACATGAAATTTGCGCTATCTCTTGCTACCAAATCCCCGCCAAAACCCACCAACTATCGAGTCGGAGCAGTAGTCGTGGACGTAGCTACGAACGAGATCTTGGCAACAGGATATACACTCGAGCTTCCCGGTAACACTCACGCTGAACAATGCTGTTTTGAGAAGCTTGCGGAAAAGTACGATATCGCAGCAAATCGCATAGGTGAAGTCCTCCCGAACCAAGTGGTACTTTATACCACAGTAGAGCCATGCTCCCAAAGGCTCAGCGGAAACCTACCGTGTGTGGATAGGATATTAGCCATAGGGAATAAGATCAAAACGGTTTATGTCGGAGTTTACGAACCAGAAAAGTTCGTCAGCGATAATTCTAGCAAGCGGAAGTTAGAGGATGCCAACATCGGGTTCGTGCACGTCTCTGGAATTGAGAAAGAAATATTAGAAGTTGCAACAGCAGGTCATGATAAGGCCAGCTAAATGTAACTGGTGATGGAATATGTATTTGCTGTCATGATATATACCATCGTATTCGACATGCATCAATTATTTCAAAATACAAAGTTAACGATACTGTATGTTCCGTCGATGTATAAGTGGACTACCTGGACATAGAAGAGTGATTTGATGTAAGAAATTGAGCAAGACGCGGGGTCCTCCTGAAAAAGTAAAAAAAAAAATATACATATGGCGTAGTCAAATCGAATTAAAAATATGAAGTCACCAAAAGATGAAGTCGAACCCCGTATCAAGGTCGAACGTGTTAAGGTAGATAATATGGAAATAACCTTACAAGATACTTGGGGAAAAATGGAAGTCGTAATAAACGAAAAAAAAAAATGAGGGGTTGCTTTCCCAGTAAACTGGGAAGCATCAGGAATTGAGCCCGATGCGGGGGTCGAACCTTCAAGTTAATGTTAGCATATGGCTGCGTGAATAACCTCTAGTGACAAGGAATACATACCCGCAACCTTGAGATTAAGAGTCTCACGCTCTACCGATTGAGCTAACCGGGCGTATCAGAAAGTCATTTTTTGCGGTATATAATAGTTTGTGCGATGATGGTGTGCTATGATAGGCCGAGGAGGGGATTTTGTAACCCTAGGATGCGGGCATACCTATGTGTGTGTGTGTGTGTGTGCACTGTCCCTCGCTATTACTCATACTGTCCTGACTTATATGTATTAAGGACATCATTCATATATGTATCAACTTTCTATATCTACTTGGGGTACATATCAAACAGGAATTATATTCCAGTGGTCAAGACAACATATATGTTCTAACAATAACAATAATGCATTGTTATAATACTACCTACCTAAAGTATTAACTAGCCAAACTAATTAATTGCTTCAATTCAACTATCTAAATTACATAGGCTTCTTACGACGTCTACCATAAATGAATAGGGGTACCAACAGGAGCGCGGGTACCGCCGTCGTACAGTTCTAGATCTAGATCAACTCCTAGAGCTTGTCTAGCAAGCAGATCTATCATCATAGCGGCGATGTAAACGAGGTCTCTTGTACTAAAAATCAGAGGATCGATTATCTCCCACCCGAATTCCTCATAGCATTCGTCGCTCATAATGAGAACAACTTCGATGATGAATTCTACAACGCGGGCATCACTTCCCTTTGGGTCTACTGCGATCTCCGACTGGAGGTAATCATATGGTTGTGACGCCTCATGCATACTATCGAACACCAGGAGCACCGGCACCATGTCGATCGGTAGGCTGTCAAAGGAGCCGTTTAGTAGTACTGGTTCTAGGTATGTCCTTTGGAAGGCCGACTGTATCTCGCTACTATTTAGAAATCGCAATGTCGTTTCGGGTTGGAAGAGAGATAGCGATTGACCTAGCTGGTCAACCGTTGGTGGATCACCCTCGAGAGATCGTTGTTCAAGATAGGTCATGTCCTCATCGTCCTCATCATCGTTGTCGTCATCGCCGTCATTTTCTTTTGTATCGACCCATCTACGCGTCTGCGTTATATTAATATAGTGTTTTAAAAACAGGTTCATATCCTCTTTTGCTTCAGAAAGCAATTCGCCATAGGTAGGTAAAGAAATCATTTTTATCAACTTACCACGCTTCACTGGGAAGATTATCGGGGGTAAGTATAAGTGCAAGTAAGTCGAGTAGTTTACGAGTTTACGAGTTCACAATGAGGAAACGCCACAAGTAGACTTACGCATATACATATAAATAAGGGTTGGCAATAGGAATACAATAGGAAAATAAAGAAAAGCTTTCTCTTCTTTATCGTAGTAGGAGCATATGGGTTTAAACAATGATTGTTAAGTCTCATAATGATTATCTTGTATTACAATCATGGGTACCTGTTTTGGCACACAATCATTGTAATTGTATACCTAGGTAGAAAACAGTTATTGTGTAGGAGGTGGTTCATACATCACAAAAAGGAAGAGCTCTAATTGGTTAGACTTTGAATGGTTTGGAAAGGTAGAGGAAGGCAATGCAGGTCTAACGGCTACGTACTTGTAGTGGATATGGAGGGGCAATTCCCTTAGACATTTCTAGCCAATCATAGCCGTCGCATTATCGATATTTTTTTTTTCTTTGCGATGCAACTCCGACGCCGGCTTTGTGTAACGAATGCGCCAGGGCAGGAATCGAAGCTATCACCAATATCAACATCTGACCCTCCTTATGCGCTGTTGACGGTGAATCTATAGGAATAACCTCTTTGGAATTATCAATGCCACTTACCGGATACAATTATCCATAATGGCTATGTTTGTATGTTTCTCTACCAACCATCAATGCTCTATAGCTTGACTCTATAGCTTACAGCTTTCCCGTCCAAGCCTCTAAGAAACCTGACTGACAATGGGCCATTTTTAGCGGAGAGTCATCTCTCTCAATGCCTCCGCCCTTGCGATACGGCAGGCCAGAACCTCAATCGCCCGCTCGCGATTACTGTCGATACCTGTTACTCGGTTCCGTACTTATTCCTCGACTAGTCCCCGACGGCAACAGGCCTTCCAGTCGCAAATTGATAGCACCCTCAATTCTTCCACCCTCCAGTCCTCTCTGAACTCCACCGCACCGACCAACCCACAGACACTTACCGAGAAGATTGTACAACTTCACGCAGATGGCCTCCGTGAAGGAAGAAAAGTCAGAGCTGGAGATTATATTACGCTGCGGTTGGTCTAAGCCCGGTCCGGATATCAAGAAGTCGAGCTAATATCATTCTGCAAAAGGCCTCACAAGAGCATGACCCACGATAACTCCTGGCCTGTAATTACCAAGTAATAATACTTCATTGACTCATTGTAATAATGACACGCTAACTAAGCCATGTAGGTATATGGAAATGGGCGCCACCAGGGTCAACGATAATCGCCAGGTTGTCATGACGTATGTTACCTTACCTTCTAATCCAGTTCATAGTCCTTGTCTAATTATTCGCAGACTTGACCATGATGTACAGAACGACTCCGAACAAAATTTACGCAAATACCGCCTAATCGAGGAGTTCGCCAAAAAGCAGGGCATAGATTTTTGTATGCTGGCACTACCGGGACTTCCCCTCCCAAAGACATTTGAAGCATGTTAAACTAACTTAGTAGATCCCGCTAAACACGGGATCGGACACCAAATTATGATTGAAGAAGGCTACGCCTGGCCAGGAACCGTCGCCGTTGCTAGCGACAGTCACTCCAACATGTACGGCGGTATCTCGTGTCTTGGCACGGCCATCGTCCGCTCAGACGCCGCAAGTGTCCTGGCGACCTCTACAGTATTCTGGCAGGTTCCACCGATTGCGAAAATCACATTCACGGGCGTCCTACCTCCGGGAGTCACGGGAAAAGACACGATTATTGCCCTATGTGCTATGCTCAAATCTGATGTGCTTAACATGTGCGTAGAGTTCACCGGATCTAAGCAGACTCTAGCAAGCATCCCCATTTCCGAACGCTTGACAATCGCCAACATGACAACCGAATGGGGAGCACTATCAGGTAATTACCTTCTTCTCCCGCAACTCCTCTCAGTTACTAATACATATGGGTAGGACTCTTCCCTATGGACGATATGCTTATCTCATGGTACCGCGCCAGAGCCACAATCGCAGCTATGTCTGATAGTCCCACTAAGGATCGTATAAATCACAAGCGGATTGATGAGCTTTTGGAAAACCCTCTAGTTGCTGACCCTGGTGCTACATATGCCAAGGAATTTTATCTTAACCTGTAAGAAAAAAAACGTTAACTACCCCATATATCATTAATAGATGTTATTCTAACAAGGCGTAGATCCACCCTTTCGCCCTTCGTTGCTGGTCCCAACTCTGTCAAAGTTGCTACCCCTGTTAAGAAGCTTGAGGCTCAGGATATTGCTATAGATAAGGCATATCTTTTGAGTTGCACTAACGGCAGGAGTACGGATTTTGCTGCTGCTGCTCGTGTCTTCCGCGAGGCCGGCAAAGATGGCAAGCCTGCTAAGGTCCATCCGCGCGTTCAAGTTATATCTTGCACCTGCATCTCTGGCTGAACAGCAGATGGCGGAAGAAGCCGGGGACTGGCAGATCCTTGAACAGTCTGGAGCTGAGTTACTCCCGGCCGGGTGTGGCCCTTGTATAGGCTTAGGCCGTGTATGTAGTAGATATTATATGTTCCAGAATTCTTCGTTCAGTGCTAATCTTCGATACAGGGCTTACTTAACGATGGCGAGGTAGGCATATCGGCGAGTAACAGAAACTATAAAGGGCGCATGGGTAACTCAACTCTATGTTTCCAGCTTTATGCACAGCACTAACTTACTATTTCAAGGTGACCCCAAGGCACTATGTTATCTCGCCAGCCCTGAGGTAGTCGCAGCCAGTGCCATTCAGGGTAAGATTGCTAGCCCTGGATGGTACCTGAAGCCCGAAGGTGTTGAGAAGGTTATCTTTGGTGAAGGGACCGGTGACTTTGTTGCCGACAAAGCTCGCTCCATTGGAGATGCTTTTGACCAAATCATTGGTGAGATGGAGAACATGATTGGCGCTGCTGAAGGAGCCTCTGAGGAATCAGCCAGCCCAGTGGCCACCGAAGACGAGACTTTGACAGACGTCCTCCCGGGCTTCCCCGAAAGGATTGAGGGCGAGATTGTTTTCTGTTAGTAGCTGTTACATACGCTTACAGGGTCTTTTACTAACTGCGGCAGGCGACAATGACAACATCAATACCGACGGTATCTACCCCGGACGTTATACCTACCAAGATGGCCTGACCACAGAGCAAATGGCCGAGGTCTGCATGGAGAACTATGATACTGAGTTCCGCAAGGTTGTTAAACCAAATGATGTGCTGGTGACCGGATTCAACTTTGGTTGCGGTTCTTCTCGTGAACAGGCTGCCACTTCTATCCTAGCCAATAAGATCCCTCTCGTCGTTGCTGGTAGCTTCGGTAACATCTTCAGCCGCAACAGTGAGTATCCCTTGAGATCCTTTTACTTTTCCTCGTGATATCAAAAAGCTAATGGAAATATTTCAGGCATCAACAACGCTCTTCTTGGAATTGAAATCCCGAAACTGGTCGAGCGGCTTCGTGAAGCGTACAAGGACGACGCGGAGAAGCCCTTGACTCGCCGTACAGGCTGGAAGCTACTTTGGGACGTTCGTCGCTCCAAAGTTGTCATCACAGAGCAGGATGGCACCTCCTGGGAGCAAAAGGTTGGTGAGATGCCTCCCAGCGTTCAAGAAATCGTCGCCAAGGGAGGTGTGGTAAAGTGGGTGCAATCTAAGATGCAGGGTTAAAATGTGCTTGAGAAGAACGAATGCAAACTACGGAGCTGGCACATTTGCGAACAACTGGCGTCATGATTCGCCTGAGTCTATAGAGTATGTTAAGATGTATATAATGGGGTTAGGATTGGGCGGTAGTTACGATACCGTTTTAAGAACTGGGTATTAGAAAAAAGGGGTTACTAATATGGCGCTGGGCAAGGCCGTACAGACTAAGACACCCATATGGAGTGGTCCGACTTGCGGTATAAAATAGACAACCCTTGCTCTGCATGCCCCGCAAGCAGCAGGGTGGCAGGGTGCAGAGCTGGGATAGCCGATCGAACTGAAAGGAGGAGGGAAGAAAGAAAGAAGAGGAAGAGAAAATTCGACAGTACAAGCCGATAGAGGAGAATAGAGATCGGTTTATTTGCATGCGCCCTAGGTGATGGAGGGGACACAGGAGTTGGATGGGACAATTTAAGAAAAATACATTAGCAATATACACCAAATGCTGTGTGTCAGCTCTATACCCAATATAAACAAGTACCACAATACAGTTATTAATACCATATATTAAAGTGTGAAGCTAATCAAGAGGGTCTTATCGTTGAGTTATTTTTTCCGCCTCTTTTGAATACACCAATGGCGCCATTCTGATAAGTTAGCACTCATATGTTGGTCTCGTTGGTATTAGGCAGTATCAGCTGTATAGAGATAATAATATACCAGCAATACTGCTACCTCTATGTCGGTAACGATGGTAAATAGAATAGATATAAGATCAAATGATTTAGAAGAGAATATAGGTACTTACGGCCTCAGTGTACAATCCTCTACATACTGCCCATGAGATCTCTCGTCCTGCTTAACAGCAGCATTTACGAGCGTACACGCGCCTATATCTGACGAACGGCCGAAAGAGCGTATAAATATAGCAGTGAACGTACCATGCTCACGGGCGAGCTCCAAGCCGTAGCAAAGGCCTGGGCTAGCACAATTTATGATAGCCAGCGACGGCGACACACGCTTAGCTATTTCAGCCACGAAAAGCTGCCCTAGAAGCTTAGTAGTAGCGTAGCGTTCATTTCTATTCCATGTTTCCTTGATATCAAATGCCTCTAACATTGGTTCCTCATTCTTTTCGTCGAATCTAGCCCAGGCGGCCATGTCGGATGACACGACTACGATACGCCCTGGGGAAGTATGCGAGGGTTTAGTAGTGGATTTTGTTTTCTTGAAGATGCGAAGCAGAAGAAGTAACAGGAGGACTGTTGAAAAGTAGTTAACCTGCAGATCTTCCTCGTGACCTGTCGTCGGGTTCAGAGTAAAAGAGCCTCTATTCACTCCCGCATTGAGGATAGCAATGTCAAGTCGGGGGCTAAGATCATCGGCCCGTTGCGCAAAAGCTGTAACAGACTCGTAGGACGCATAGTCTAGCTTCCAAACCTCGATAGTCTGATTAGGCTCGAGCGCTTTCGCGGCGGTTAGAGTCTTGCGAGCGGCCTCGCCTTTGACCTCGTCGCGAACTACGATGATGAGCTTGCTGAGGCCAAGATCAAGGAGCTGTCGCACGCATTCCAAGCCGATACCACTATTAGCCTCTGTTACAACGGCAGTCTTGCCGCTAAGGTCGACATCGTGTCGCGAAACCTCTGGTGGAGCTCCGAAGAACTGACGGCGAAGGAACTGGAGTTTGCTAGCCTCCTTTTCAGGGGTGATATCGAATGAGACTGCTTGTGTCATTCTTGACTACATAGAAGTAATGTTCGCCAATAAAATGCTATAATACTTGGACTATTGAAAACTACTTATTATTATCATTACCATCATCATCGCTCATGATGAAGTTTAAGAGGGGTAAGGAAACGTAGCAAGGGAGAATTCACCCGCATTATTGTGTAGTACAAAGCGCCATTCGATCTAGAAATAAATATCTTGGATTAGAGGATTTAAGAGGCTTAAGTCGCTTTGTTAAGAGCTTAGCTCTAGGAGCGGGAATGGAATTTAGTAAAGTTAGTTTCATCAGTAGAGTGTAAAGATAACATCTTTCAACCCATATAGGTACCTACTCTGGCTAATTTAAACTTATGGTCAGGTACCTAACTTCTCTATAACACAACATTGCTTTGAAGAGAGCGAGTGGAACTAAAGCTACCTAGGTGTTGGTTGGTAAAAAGGGGCTAGCCCTATTGCTTTAGTGACTTCCCCCCCTCTCCGCCTAAAGGGGGAGGGGGGTAACAAGATTGAACAGAATAACTGTTTATTAGTCTTGATACCCGCCGAACGGATGAGGGGAGATAATTGACGAAGCTTTCTCAGTTTTAGCTCTTCAGATGTATCAACGCCTCCTGAATATTTACGTATAGAAAATATAGAAAATACATTACTGAAACCCCAGGGCTGTAGTTTCTAAAACATACAAGCTATAGTCACGTAGTTGTTTAAAAGAGCCTTATATTTTACAACCGACAATTTAGCTTTATGACCCTCTATCTAGTTTTATGGCAGTGGTAAGTTTACCACACCTGTCATAAAGTTGTAAGATACTCTAATTCTAAATGATGTAGAAATAAATGACTTCCCCTTAAATTAAGAATTGGATGCCTATCATGTGAGTATCAGGTTAATCAGGAAGCACAAACCGAATTTGTCAAGTATATTGCCCTAGATGTCTGAATTACTCTTGATTAACATCATATAACCCATATTGAACGGCTATTATAATACACTTGACAAGACTCCCGTCTCTACGTTGGCGTGGCTCTTTACTTTGGCTGGAACTGAATTTACCTAAGCACACCGTATAATAGTCAGGGGAAAGATGTTATCATTAATATATTATGGGATAACTACTTCAGGTCAGAACGGAGAAACAGGTAAGAAATGATACAAGAAACACTAGAGACTAAATGAATATCATTGGGGACTTTTACGAAAATATCAAGAACAAGGCGGGAAGACTTAGAGAGTCGAGACACGTAGCAAGGACAGATAAGTATGAGCATTGAGTACTTGATAACTCTGGTAAAAAGTAAATTTAGTTAACGCACTAAGAATGATATACATATATTGAATCGGGTTACTAATGCTGTTACGAGGTAGAGTAAGAGGCATGGAAATAATTTCGTTACTCCGCGAGGAACTTTAAGCCAGCTATGGGAGCTTACGGCTATGCATACCGGAATTGTTCTTTGTTCTAGATGTCTCATCTAGAGTCCTGACAGATACAACTAGGAGCGGGTTTTCAGGGGTCGAATCTGATATAGGTAAATGGGTATGGCTTCATTTAAGCGACTTGAAAATTAATCTAATGTTATTAGGGACATGCATTACATCAATGGGAGTATTAAGAAGGAATAGTATATTCCTCAATAATCAAAATTTCCTCCCTTCTCCTAACCTCACGGTTTGAATTCGATACTTCTGCATGTCCTTTAATTCAGCTTGAGTTATTTACCAACGTATCGTTATTGTAGAGCATTTTCCGCACATTGATTCTATACTTCTATCGTCATCGATCTATGATTGATCGTTGCTTAATGGCTATTACGCAAGATGACTTTTGGCTTATGTATATGTCGCACAACCTGCCTTTACCCTGACCGCCCATCTTTCTCGGCACCAGATAAGCTGCCCAATCGTTGAGACAAAACGGTCTCTTTATGAGATGTCGTGTATCCTATGAGTCACACTGGTTGTAAGGGCCCGGCTCGAAGTCTAGACGAGGGCCAGTGACTTCTGTTCGCAGCGGGATTGATGCAATACTTATTGCAGGGGTTATCAGCACTGCATGACAGCACACCAATTTCGGAATTAATGGGGCTATGCCGATCTATCAGGTCGAATGAGGCCGTACAAACGGACCGTAATCTCTAATATCACTTCAACCCGAGCGAACAAACCCGTATCTAAATTCCGGGGGGAATCTGAGCCGACTGCGAGTAAGCACCTCCGCGGCATCCACTCTATGGCTTGGGGGAACTATGGAGATGAAGGTAGCAGTGCCAGCGCGGGTAGCGGGTCGGTCCGGTAGTACTAGTATCCCCATGGGGATTAGTTAGTCCTGGATCGTACAATGGCCTCAAACGATGTTGTCCCATATTCACTTCTGATCACAGGCGTAAGATTCTGATTCCTCGATGGTTGTGGGGAAGATCGAGGGGCAACTTGGGCCTAAGGGAGTCTACGTGTCAGACTCTCTAGCGAGGTTAATACATAGACATGTTGTGAGGCCCAATTCTCACCCTCCAATAAGATGTTACATCTTGAGGCGCAATATGCAGGCTGGCTTCCTGCAAAAGACGAAGTGGCGCGGTTGCTTCGGTTCGCAATCTGCACGTGGGTAGTCCGGGCAGCATCCAGCCAATTGGTGATCTAATGAGGCTGAAGCTCGTTTGTTAGTTATTACGTAGTTGACAAGTTGTGTACTATATAGATTGTGAGTAAAAGCGACGACTCGGAAGGTTATTATCGATATATCTCTGTTAATATACAGAGGGCAGACCTGAGATTGGTGATTGGATCGCCTTGGCTTGCACATAAGATAAATATGACTCTTCTAAAAGCCAGCCATAGTGACTCGTAAGCTGGTTGACTTTGGGATGCCTATGGCCTACAGCAATAGTGGGCTGACAAGTTTTGCTGTCAAAGAGACGTATCATTTTTTTGAAGCATCTCAAAGGCTACATGTATGTTTTTTCGTATCCACCAGCTTTCACTAATAAATAAAAGTGATGATTGGTTAAGTACTGTGATAGGGCTCGGATGACATTCCTGTTATTCTCTTAACCGAATCATACCTAGGTACATTGCGGTGATCCCTGTTTGAGAGAGAAAAAAAAAGTAAACCGAGATAGTTTAGCGGTGTAAACGGGAAACAAAACAAGGATACCCGCAATCATCTGACTACTGTAAATATTGTCTATTCTCTTAGTTATACCCTTATTATATTTATGGAATATTCACTTCTTATGAGATAGTTGAAGGGATATATGAGCAAGTGTTAGATATCAAGAAGGTTGCAGAGGCAAGTATTTTAACAAATATTTTTTTTTTTTGGTCGGTGCGGGTGACGTTTTGTTTATGCAAGACGCACAGTTGTAGGGCAAGAAAAGACAGGGGGATAGGTTCAGACAGGGGTAGCATGCAGCTCCGATCCGCGTGCGCGGGTCCTCGAAACGCCAAATTGGGTCTTAAACGGTTTAGCTGCCCGATCGGGGGTTCAATTATCTAGATGCCGAGTATCTTGAATACGTATTTAATGCGTATTGTATGTATAAACCCGTAGTTGGAACGTATAATTACCTATACATACAGAACGTACTTAATATATGAACAAGCCAACTACACACACCGCTTTTAAGGGAAAGAAGAAGAATCGCAAAGAAAGAGTAACCGTTTGACAAGGGAAATTTAATTTTATAAAATTATATTAGCTTGTTAGGTTAGAAATTGTGTATGTATCTGTTTCTAGTACGGTGGTAACATGTATCCTGTATGACAACTTCGATTTTACGTGAGCCCTTGTAAGTTGACTTATATGCACACATATGGGCCTATGTTAGGTACATACTTACATATCTTTAATGGGCCCTTAGTGTTGGCAAGCTAACGAGCTAGGCTTTATTTTACACTCCCCTTTCCAAGATTCTATAATGCTTCCCTTAGATTTCGTCTTTGTTATTTTCAGCCTAAGTCACTGGTAGACCCCTCTCTTCTCCTCTAGCCCTATAGAAAAGGAACCCCTTAGTGGTTTTTATTTCCCTCCCTTCTTTATTTAGGCATAGAGCTTCTAGGATTATCTATCAGAGTTAGACGCTATTCATATCGCCCCATATCGGAGCTTGACCTGCTTCACCCCACAACGGTAGACCCAGCAGGTAAATTCAATCTCATCTCTAATCGCTATCGTCTCTGGTATGTGATCATCTTAACCTACCTGTGAATCGGTACTTCACTGTGTTAGTTTCAGGTCCCCTACAACTGCCCAGCTTTTGTTATTCTAGCATCAAACACAACCAAACAGCTTTCACAATCAAACTCTCCCACCTTACTTGTCCTGATGACAATCGTGTTATAGAAAGGGCCTCGCCTTCTTGCTACACCAAGGCACACATACTTCCTTATATAGCACTATTAATATCACCTCACATCCTCTCTCTCGCTCATAACCTATTAAAATCAGCATCTTTCAGCATCTCATACTCTTACAGATATACCTTAACGCGTATCAAATAGACATCCGTGTTGTCTATGACCTAGTATACCTATCTATCTAGGTATCTACCTCTGCATACTTTCAGGTGAGAATCTTTCCTAACTCCATCAATGGTCGTCAGCGCCCATCTAACCCTATAATTGCCTTTATAGCCATCAATTATCGATATTTAACCACCTCTGGGAACTGCTTTAGCATTTAAACCATTCCTGAGCTTCATATCTTCTAAGTTTAGTTACATACCTTGGGTATAGCTTCTCCTAGTCACTCTTTCTCAATCCTTTCACAATAGCCAATATGGCAGACCGCGGCAGAGGCAATCGTGGTCGTGGCGATCGTGGTGGAGGACGAGGTGGCCCTCGTGGCGGACGTGGTGGTGGGAGTGCCACCTTTTCTGGATTTGACCAGGGAGGTGGTGACTACCGCGGCGGACGCGGCGGTGGACGTGGCGGCGGTGATTATCGTGGAGGTCGAGGAGGAGACTTCCGCGGAGATCGTGGTGGTGGGCGAGGCGGAGGAGACTTTCGTGGTGGGCGGGGTGGTGGTGACTTTCGCGGTGGTGGACGAGGTGGCGGTGATTTCCGTGGCGGACGAGGAGGACGAGGTGGCCGAGGCGGTCGAGGAGGATTCGTTGGTGAGGGCGAAGTATACAAGTAAGTTTCGGTCCGGTTTTCATACGCTTTGACTCTAACGTAACTATAGGTCGAATAATACACCTCAGCCAGACCCAAGCATTACTCAGCTCGAGAACAAGATCCTCGATGACTTTGGAATGGCGGCTAAAATGTCAGCCTTGAAGTTATCATCTAGCAAGAGCAAAAAGCCTTCTGCAGAAGAACGGATGCCCCTCCGACCGGCTTTTGGTACAAAGGGCACAGAAGTCACCCTTTGGGCCAACTATTTCGCATTGGACGTCCAAAAGACGCCGTCACTATACAAATATACCCTGGAAGTGACATTAGATAAGGAAACTAGCCTTAAGAAGGACGACCCCTCATCAGAAGCGAAACCAGGCGCAAAGAAACCTGGTAAGAAGGGTGACGGCCCGATAGAAGCGAAAGGGATGAAGCTCCAAGCTATCGTCAAGTTAGCTCTTGATCGGATCGCTAAAGGAATTCCTTGTGCAACCGAGTTCAAGAGTCAAGTTGTCTCCCTCAAACAGCTACCACTACCCAAGGATCAAGTAGTCAAGGTTCCTTATACCGACGAAGGCAAGAATGATGTTTACGACGTCAAGTTTTCTAGTGCACCTGACGTTGACATGGACCAGTTGAGAGCGTATGCCCGATCCATGCAGGATAATACTGGAGATACATCGTTCCCGAAATTTATAGAGGCCATCGATGCAATTAGCATAATCACTGGATACCAAGCCCGCTCCAACGATCAAATTGCGTCTAGGCCGAAGTCGACATTTCCCTCTTAATCTCCCCTCTGAAATTCACCAGCTGGGTTACCCAGACAACAACACGGTCATTCGTGGATACTTCCAAAGTGCTCGACTAACCACGGGTCGTATCCTACTAAACGCCAATGTGTCTCACGGCGTATTCCGTACGAGTGGAAACGTGGCCGACTTGATGAAGAGTTATGGTACTAATGCTCCATACCAGCTCAACAAGTTCTTAGCAGGTCTACGTTGCAACTGTAGAATTCTTCCTGAAAAGACAGTTCCGGGCTCCAAAGGGGGTCAGAAATCAGGGGGAACAATGAGGAAGCAGATCGCTGGCCTTGCTATGCCTAATGATGGCAAGGGTCAGAAAAATAAGCCGCTGGTGAAGCGTGCTGGTGGTGGCCCTACAGAGGTCTCCTTTTTCCTCTCAGGTTCTGCTCCCCAGGGTCTGAAGGAAGATGCTTACTGCACAGTCGCAGACTATTATCTCAAAAGTTCGTATTGTCTTGTTTTCAGTCGAGCTCGATGCTAATCATTGCACAGAATACGGCTACAGAGTAGACCCTAACCTGCCTGTCGTCAAATTTGGCACAGCTAGACCGATCTACATGCCTGCGGAGTTGCTCGTAGTTATACCGGGACAGCCTCTCAAGCGCAAGACAACAGGTGATGAAACAGCCAAGATGATCTTGTTTGCTTGTCGGTCGCCTTGGGCTAATGCGACGTCGATCATGAATGAGGGTCGTAAGTGCCTAGGACTGGATAACAATAAGGCACTTGTAGGTGTTTACCTTTATATCTCATGCTATATGAACCTTGCTAATCATTATACAGACGGATTTCAAAGTTACCGCTGGTAAGGAGCTGCTGGCGGTGAAGGGACGCGAGCTAACGCCACCTATTATTGCCTATCTGAACCCCCAGAACAGGCCGCAAAATGCCTTTGTCAATGAAGGCAGTTGGAACATGCAGAATGTGAAAGTCGTCAAACCCGGTCGACCAATTAACAAGTGGACGTGGATTAATGTCGACTTCTTCCAGAATAACACTCCGGAAGACCTTCGTGATGCCATGAAAGCCTTTGTTCAGTTTATGATAAAGTCGGGTATCAACATAGCCAATGCTCCAATACCGTCGGCGAACAATACAGTCCTCTGCTCGAAAAACGAGCCTCCTATTGTTCGCTTGAGGGAGAGATTTAGCCAGTTCAAGAACAATCCCCCTCAATTCGTGTTTGTCGTCCTTCCCGGCAAGAAGACCGACAAAGAGATATATAAGGTCGTAAAGCTGTTGGGCGATGTTGAATTCGGGTACCACACCGTGTGTGTTCTTCGATCCAACATTGTCAAATGCAATCCACAATTTTTTGCGAACGTCGGTCTGAAGGTCAACTTGAAGATGGGTGGTATTAACCACAAGTTGAAGGATGATGTCCCTATTATCAAAAATGGTAAGACAATGGTTCTAGGGTACGATGTCACCCATCCGACGAACCTAGCAGGTGGCTCAGATGGTCTTCCAAGTTTGGTTGGAATGGTATCGAGCATAGACCGAGATCTAGCCCAGTGGCCTGCTGCGGCTTGGTCTCAGACGGGAAAGGTCGAGATGCTGAACGAAACATTGAAGGAGAAGTTTGCTTCGCGCCTGGATTTATGGAGGTCTAACAACAACAAGGCCTTGCCGGAGAACATTATAATATTCCGAGATGGTGTCTCCGAAGGCCAGTTCACACAGGTATTGGATAAAGAGCTTCCGTACATTCGACAAGCGTGCGCGCAAAAATACCCAGCAAACCAGCAACCGAAGATATCAATTGTAGTATCAGTGAAGAGACACCATACGCGCTTCTACCCTACGGATCCTGAGCATATGACAAAATCCCGAAATATCAAGAGCGGAACAGTAGTAGACCGAGGAGTCACTCAGGCTACAGTATGGGATTTCTTCCTAACCGCCCACCAGGCCCTACAAGGTAATTATCTCTATCCTCTATGATGCCACTACACGTTTCGCTAACCTCTTGATTCTATATAGGCACAGCTAGACCAGCCCATTATACTGTCCTACTAAGACGAAGTCTTCCGCCCGACCCTCGGATCGGAAGCTGCTAATGGTCTCGAGGCCTTGACCCACGAGATGTGTTACCTCTTCGGCCGAGCAACCAAGGCCGTTAGCATCTGTCCACCAGCATACTATGCCGACATCGTGTGTACTCGACAACGATTATACCTCGATGATTACTTCGAGCGTGCCGAGACGCAGTCCACAACCAGCACCCAGACCACAGTGGTGGCCCCAGATATCCACCGAAACTTAGAAAACACTATGTACTACATCTAAGGTACAGCACGGCGTTGATTTTATCTGATTTAATTTCTGCGGTGTATTGATGGCTCAATGGCGCTTGTTTTTAAGAAAAAGATTCCGGGTTAATATACCCGTGTGCAGGAAGCATTACTTGCGAGTGACGTTGATGTCTAAAAATTGACCCTGAGTTCGGTCTCATGGTCACTGATGGCAACTAAACGTAGCGTTATAGCGCATGTTTATGGATTCTGTTTGGTCGTTAGGTGAAGCATTGAATTATATGAAGCGATGTTTTTTACTCGTCTTGATCTTCATGTCATTGACTTATGTGGAATTGTGATTATCATTATGAGCATGTAGACGACTGCGGTACTGATACTAACAACGAACAAGCAAAACATTAGATCCAGACAACGAATTCATAAACAGCTTTTCATCTTATCCTCCTACCTGTGGCGAAACCCAAGCCTACATCAAACATACAGTACGTCTAACTATCTCAAAATCCTACCTAGGTACCTTCCAGATACATACCAGCCCAGCGAACACCCACCCGCCTCCTTAAGGATATCCCCGTCGACGTTTCTGCAACTTCGACGCAGCACATAACTCGCCCGCGCCCTCATAATACGTATCAAACTCAGCAGCCGGCGTGCACGCCCTCCAGATCTCGCCTGCGGCCGTAGCCGTGTTGCCATCGCCCTTCTTCTCGATCTTCTTCCACTGGAGGCCCAGCGCGGCGAGAAACGCAACGGTCGCCGCGGCTGCGGAGATGTAATACGTGTGCCGCAGGCCGCGCATGTAAGCGCCCAGCACGGCGTCGAGCATGCGCTCTTGGCCGATCGATGCTAGGACCTGTCGGACTTGGGACGCGCCGCTGTGCGTGAAGAGTCCGGGGTCGAGGTGTGGCGCGTCGCGGGCTAGGCCGTTGATGAGGCCGTTTTGGAAGACGGTTTGGGCGACGGCGATGAAGAGGGCGCCGCCGAGAGACTGTTTTTGGTTATTCTTTAGTTTGAAGATGGATTGATGTTGTTGTTGTTGGATGCGACGAACCTGGAAGAATTGCACGCACGATGTAGCCTGCGGGACCAGCTCTCTCGAAACTACGTTCTGCACTACGATGACGCTGGCCTGAAATCCGACGCCTACGCCCAACCCGTCGAGGACCTGGTACCCAAACCAGTTGGCAAAGGGGGTATGCAGATCCAAGGTCGTGATTAGTCCCGCGCCGACGGCTACCATGGCAATCTCGACTAAGATAAATGGGTTATAGTAGCCGGTGGCGGTGATAAGAGCACCTGAGATGATCGAGCTGATGACTACGGATATAAGGAGGGGTAAGAGTTTGATGCCTGCCTTGACGGCGCTGTCTCCCTGTATAGCTTGAAAGTAGAGGGCTGCTGTAGGTCAGATATCCATGTTACACGTCGTCGGATGGCTGGAATAGTAAGAGTATACTAACAAAGATAATAGATTAGGGGGAAGAACGAGGCCCCGAAGAAGGCGGCAAACTGTTACATCCCAAATCAGCAATTGCCCTTTCGGAATGTTTCACGGGTGGTTTTGGTCTTGGGTGGCTGTTGGGCCTAACTGTGAATAGTTCCACGAAGCACAGGCAAATTCGGGGTTGTACTTACCAGCATAGCGCATAGCAAGTTTCTATCCTTGAAGAACCTCGGAGGCAATAAGCCCTTGTCCTGCTGGTAATGCTCGATGCCAATAAAGACCAGGGCCATGGCACCAGCACCGGCAATAAGCCGATAATACGTCGGTCGCTCCACTACGACATCTAGAGTTAATAGTTGGGATAACACAGGAAGCCTGTTATTGCAATTAAGTTATCAGACATACCGGAAACTGAGAACCTCCCCACTGGAGCGCGAGAAGTAACATAATGATCGCCGGCATCAATACCACAGCCCCTATTAAGTCAAGTTCTAGAACCCGCGTGAGGAAAGATTGACCATCCGGATTGTTAACTCGGGAAATTTTAAGGAAGAAAAATATCACCACCATCGCGAGTCCCCCGATCGGCAGGTTGATGTAGAAGCACCATCTCCAGGTGAGATGGTCCGTGAAAACACCCCCGAGCAGAGGTCCAGCAACGGATGCTATGCCCCACATGCAGCCGAACATACCAAACAGAGAGGTCGTCTCCGAAGAGGCAGAGTGTAGGATAATGACGATTGAGCCGGAGAACAAGCCTGCGCTGCCCATCCCCGCTACGGCTCGTCCGATGATGAAGGCTGTAGAAGAGGGCGCCATGGCCGAGACCAAGCTGCCAAGCTCGAAGAGTGCGATAGCACCTAGGAATGAGTACTTGATGTCAAAGATCCGGTATATTTTGCCGTATAGTGGCTGCAGTGCGGTAGAGGTTAAAAGGTACGAGCTACCGTACCAACCTATATCCCCGACGCTGCCATATTCACTGGTGATGGCGCCCATGCCGGGGCGATAATGGTCTGATCGAGGGCTACAAGGAAGACACCCAGGCAGAGACAGGATAATCAGGTGTATTTTGAGACCTGTTGGGTATTCATTCTCTTCATCATCTTGGATGATATTTTCTCTGGACGATGTTTTGGATGTGTCGACAAGATCGATGTCGTATAGCCCCTTGTCTTCCCAGGACCCGAAATATCGATGGAATTCGTGACGGTATCCGCCGCAGAGATGGACATGTTGAAGCCCCCTCCGGTCGTATTACGAAGTTTGAACCTCTGCTAACTCTCGGGATAAGTAATATTTTTATGTGTTCGAAATATCCAGGCTACCTTCATAGACGATACCTCCACGTAACTCTTAATGTATAACAAGACGGGAAGGTGAATATACCCTACAACCAAGTAGAAATACAATTAGGATAACGAGAATCGATATGACGGAACACGTAACATCAATCACGACGAGACTTTCGCGATACCCAGCGAATTACAAGACAGTGCGGAACATATTCTTCTCCTCAATAGCTACTGGAGAGGGGATGTAGGAAATAGGCTCTATGCATGCTGCAGCTTTCATGCTTATTTGAGTGCCGAAGGGCTTCGATGAGAGCGACATTGAGTGAGAATCATGCTCCTAAGCCAAGGTATCCTTGGAAGGGGCACATAACTCACGACACTCAGGAGGATGATTGGAAATCTGAGTAAATGAGGTTCAAGACTCGACTTGGGATCCCGTCCGAAGTAATCTTGTAAGCTGTCATCGGATGAGAGTACTAATCTATGGTATGATTAAAGTTGGTGTATCGTCATTGACTGCTAGCCATCCAGTTTATTAGAGTTCAAAGACCTGAGTCCGCCCGACCAGTTTAAGATCCGATGGTCCGTAGTAAGGTCGACATTGAAGATACAGTTTATCTAACACCTGTCTTCGTTAGTATAACTCCCGTCGATGTCTCATCATATTCAAACGCCAGATTTAACGTTTAGTTATCCCCAGAATACGGCTCTTCAGAGTCGAGACTCAAATCTAAAGTCCGTAGTCAACATAAACAACTCTCCAAGTGACCGAAAGTCGAACAAATATGGGAGTTTCCAACATCATATAGTTACATATATTCAATACAGCATAAAGTGTATCCCCTACTCAATAAGGTCTTCAGAAGGCCCTATACTCGATAAGATGGGCTGAGCATCAAAGCCTAGGGCGGGTAATATATTGTTAAGTCCCCTAAGCATTCCTTCAATACCAATACCTTTGTATAGCGCCATAAAGTAGAAAGCATTAGGTACGTTTCATGAAGAAAATGAGCAGTTCTGTAGTTATCATACTCTTAAACTATGATCCTACTTATACAAGTAGTAAAAATCAAGAACTAATAGCACTGAGGCTGTTGTATAGAAAAGACGATAAGATGCCTTAGGCACCCCAACTATTCAATGCCGTAGCCACTTAGCTTTATCGTCACCGCTGAATTATCTCCAAGTCCCAGGCTAGCCTCAGTGCTACATGAGAAAGAGACTTCGTAACTAAAGGGAGAGAGTATATGCACTTGCTTTCTCCTCTAGGCTTAGAATTTAAAAATGATTTCCTCTTCAAAAGAAAATACCCAAGTTGTGCGCTTAGCGAAGAGCGCATCGCCACATCAACACAACCGAGATAATATCTCAGTCTAGTCTCCACGTGAAGCCTAACGAGATCGTCGCGATGAACTTTCAATGTTCAGCAAATGTCTTGGCGCTCAATTTTCACGTCCTTTTAACCAGGGTTGATGCATTGCGGCTGTAGGCCAACTCAATGGACCCTTGCTCCGCCAATAAGGCTAGCTGCCCCTTGATATTTCAACGACGAAGAGTATTGGTGAAAAGATATGACTGTGTTCAGGGGTCAATTCAGCTCGGGAGTCGCTGTGACCAATAACTCGGATTCAGCCTAGGCTAAAGCTCGCAAAGCATCATATAGTGGCTTTTTTTTCTCCTCACTCCTCAAAAAACCAAGAAAATCATGGGAAGAGGCGTACATTACCTATTCGTGTTTTTATCGTGTGTCTGTCATCGTGTCGCCCGTGGCTAAAACATGGCGTCCTGATACATTTGCTGCGTACCCTATCTTCACTTGCCCTGGCAAATAATACGATTCGAACTTGAAGGTATCTCTCGCCTCGCTGCACGTGCGACTTGATGTGCAGGATATCAAGAGGTAGAGCTAGACGATGCCAAGTGTGCTTGTTGAGGCCTAGTAGCGCTAACCTATACTCTCCACCGAATTACTGCAGACTGAATATCCACGATGTCCTATCTAAGAGACTTCTGCGCATTAAGCTCACCGACTTAATTTTTTAGATAGTCACACGGGGTAAAATTCGCCCAAGTCTAAGCAACATATCAAGTCTCCTGATTGGAAAAGATGCCTAGCTATTGGGGCCCTAGGACAAGTATGGCAATAGAACGGGTAGGTATTATAATCCTGGAGATGCAACTCCCTGGCCGGGAAATGAAGCTAACCGCTTGGCTTTTCAGCCCATCGATATAGACAAGGCTTTTACGGCGAAAATTATGTGCCGCTTCAGGTTCTGAGTGTGATAAGATCGAACGAGGTAAGAAGATAAAAGGTACGCGGTAGTCCAGGCACCGTCGTGGCGGGCTTGCCTTTTTTTCAAGCGTCTCTTCAACCTTACACAGCCAAAACCCCAAGCTCAGCTGTCAAGTCTGTACAGATCCCATCCAAACATCGAAACACCGATGCACGCCCTCACTCTTGCTCTATTCATTGCACCGGCCGTCATGGCCGCGACGCCACGAGCGCGTTCTGGGTTGCCGAAGAGTTTCGCCCAATCCAAGCTCCTCAATGTCTTGGCAACTTGCGATGTAGGTCGCGTCCAGTGCGAGAATGGATTCATGCCTATCGATGGTGTCTGCTGCAACGACAACAGCGACGAGTACTGCCGCAGTGGCTACTACTGTATTCCTAATGCCTGTTGCCCTGAAGGGGAAATATGCAGCGGATCCAGCGATGACGAAGCCTCATGTGATATCGATGAGACCGAGTGTGACGACTTATGCATGCCCTTAACTGGGACATGCTGCGCCGACGGACTCCATTATTGTCCCGACTTCGGCACATGTATGGATGGGGGGTTCTGCTGTGATGTTGGCGATGATTGCGACGACGATGGCAGCAGCTTCCCGGGCTTTAGCAGCAGTTCTACGACGGATGATGACTTTACTTCCACCACTCGTCGTACAACAACAGCAACGGCAACCTCTACCATCCATCACGAAAGCTCATCCAGCACAAGTAGCGAGACTAGTAGCGAGACCACTAGTGAGACCAGTAGCAAGAAGACTTCGAGCAGCTCAACTACTACTATAGACTCGACCAGTCAAGCGCCTGTCACCCCTGCTCCTACTGCCGTAGTCACTACAACCGTATCGCAGCAGGCGGGCGGCATCTTCACAGCCGATGGGAAAATCGCCGCCGGTCTTGCCGTTGTTGCCGCGTTGTTGGTTTAAGATTCCCAGCCGTGGTGGCTTTTCCGAACGTAGCGGCGTTACCTTATAATTGGGAAGGGGACTTTGATTCTTGTCACATACTTGGATGATATGATATAAGCGATAGCGAATGTAACTTAGGTAATATTCCTATGAGGAATGAGATGAATAATGCTGGATAGTTAGCACCTATATACCCCGGGATGAGAATCGCTTACTTTGTTATATCATTTTTGAATTGTCCTTGGTCGTTTAGCTTGCTGGTTGTCATCCTTAACCTGGTCTTTTGTCTGTATTCTCTTACCTTACCAGTGAATCATAATTATCCATCGGCCACTCGAGCCTTCATGTTACCCTTCGTAAGAATTCAATACATCACTTTACTCATTGATAAGAGGGATAGTATCAACTTAAGGATTAGTTGAGATCTATATAACCATATGCTTGGTTGCGGGGATGCTCAACCAGCGGCTATCGAATCCGCGACGAGTACCAACGGAGTATAGTAAATATCGTAACGATTCTCTTAGAATCATCAATAAAAAGTCGTATTGGTCATCCACAAGGGCTCTCCTCTTTATGCCGATCCATTAAAAACAACACATATGATACGAAGTGTCGAGGTTATAAAGTTTTACGTCTCATGCTACAGATGGAAGAAAAGGTTGTAAGTTGGTGATAGATTAATAAGACGGACAGAATTGCGAATCCGATATAGTGGAGCTTTCATCCCTAAGGGAAGCACCGATCTGCTATGTCCCTGCGCTTTTGATTGATTCGGTGACGTCATTATAACGATTATCTAAACTCTACGTTATGTACGAAGTAGAACCGTCAGAATTACAAGTGCAATAGTATAAATTTACATATATCAATATAATTCCTAAACATACCTAGACAATAACCTCAATTGCAATTCTCATTCGATAAAAGTTACAATAGTTATTAATATTAACCAATAATCAACCTATTAAAAGAATGTCGAGCTTCACAACCATGCGCACAGCTCTACGAGCTCGGTCGGGAGCTCCTCTCATGTCACCCACGAACCGTTTAGTCACAAGCAAACAGATCCATCAATCATCAGCGCTACGCATGCCTTATAAAGATGACATGGACCGCGAATCCCTCAAGCCTAAGGCGCACGAGTACACGACGGGCGGTACCGACGGGGAGATCGCTTCTAAGCAGGACGCCGCATACAACCCGAACAAGACATCCCGAAACCGAAGTAAAAGCTGCGGGCGCTGAGAGCAATGGCAATGCCTTAGACAGCAGTCCTGGGAACAAAGATTTTGCCGAAGGTAGTCGCGGCAACGTGGAGGACAAGGGACATACCAATAAAAGAAGGCAAGCGGCGCTGGCAATACGCTTAAAAAGGGCAAGACTTGATGAGCATCTACGGCTTGGTAGAGAATAAAAAGTCCGGGAACGAGACTGAAATTTAGTTATACATTTCCCATAAATTTCGCATTCGAGATCAGGAGTTTGGCGGCTGGCTATAGTCGTCGGTGGACATATATGCAATCACATGAAATTCACAATACTTGCCATACCTCAGTGTTACTCGTAGAGAGCTTGTGATTGGATTTTCGGGGGTATCGTCACAAACTCCATGCCTATTTGTCTCTGTAGAACCCCCACCCGCAATTCTTAGCCGTACAACCCATCAACATCTTCTTCTTTCTTCTTCGTCATCCTTCGGAATTTCGATAACCTTCTTTTTGTTCAAGTCTGCTCTACACATAGGACACGTGCCCTTACTTTGAAGCCACGGCCCAACACACTCTAGATCGAACTTGTGACTCCCGTGGCACGGTAGCTCAACCACCAGGGGGTAAGGATCGTCGACGAAGAGCTCGGCGCAGATGGGGCAGCTGTCGTCTTTCTTGAGGCTCTTTCGCGGCACGCGGTCTAACGTGTCGAGGTACTCTTGGCTCACGCCGGGGATCTTCTCGGGCGGCGCTCTAATGTCGTCCTCTAAATGCCGACATCAGGGACCCAAGAAAGTCTCGGTTCTCTTCCGTCGGTGCGTCCGTAGACAGCGTCTGAAATTGGTCCCGCAAGAGGTGGAATAGCGCCGCCGCATCTACGGGCGTAGGACCCGTTGGCTCCCGTTGGCTTCGTGCATTATTTGTTGCCGAGTCTGGAGATATCTGATGTAAATGCGAGGTGAAGCTCGACATGTCCGGGCGCCGCCGATGGGGCCGGCGATCCGAAGCCTTAATGTTATGCTCGACTGTGGGTTTGATTGTTAGTTCAACCAACTTACATTTAGCCATTCATACTAGATAAAAGTTACCTTCGTAGGGGTTGCTAGCCATGATGGGCGAACAGTATGCGGAATAGCCTGTGATTCGTCGAGCGGATGTGGGAGGGTGTCCAGAAGGGTGTTCGCAACAGTCGAGTAGTAAGTAATGAGAAGTGAATAAGTGGTAAAATGGTAAAATGGTTTGCCTAAGATTTTCGATTTATTTATCGAGCTATTGAAGATACATATAAATGGAAGAAACACAGGTCTACGTAAGATACCTTTACCTTATCTTAGAAGTAAAACTAAAGCTTCATTTGCCCCGCGTTACGTTATAGCTGCAAATAAGGCAGGCACCGCTAAGCCACGCGTATTTGTCGGGTACCTCGTAAGGTACCTAACTTTCCATTTACGATACGACAAATAGCCCTTTATCGCCATTTATGCAATTTTCGATGCTCTTCTAGATAGGTAACTCAGGTACGCACCTCTAAGTCCGGCCCCACTACATTTCAACAATACAACATTTTATCATCTCATTCATACATCCAAACCGGTCTCCTATTATCATAACATCAACTATATTTTATATTCTACTACCTAACGTATCTTCAAAATATATACTTAAGTGAGCTTAGTTTTCACCCACGCAGCAGCTTCAGGAGTAGACTGATTGAAATACGCAATATGCGCGCTATAATCCGAACCACCGGCACCACCGCAGACAGGGTCATCTGCGAAACACCATGAGTGTATTAATTCCGAGAATTTGTTTAAAGATCCGAGATCCGAGTCTGATCGCGGCCAAATCTAGATAGCTACTCGTTAGTGTACCATATAAATTTGGGCGCTTGTAGACCACTTACTCCATTGCCGGCGGCACCTGTTCCCACGTTATAAGTCTGAGAAGCTGTGTGACGCACGTCGCCAAATAATGTCACTGCTACGACTAGATGATCTAGTTAGTATACACCGTCAAAATTTGGGGATGTGAGGTTGGCGTACTCTGATTACCGGGCGAGGTTTCAGGTGATAGAGGTGCACTCGTTTTCTGCGTGCAGTCTTGAAAAGGACCCCCGCCGCCTCCGAGTATGTCACCTACGACGTGTCCTCCTTGGGAATAGCCGGTTAAAACCAACTTCGCCTCAGGGCAGCTTTCGGCATATGCTGTGATCTGCGCAGTACCATTCGCGACTCCCCCATATGCCGAGTTGCAATAGTCCTCAAGCGTGGCGGCGGCGTATATGATATCTTCGTATCCGCAGCTCGACAAGCCCTCGCATACTCTGTTGACGACGTCCTTCTGGCTGCCTGGATATGGTTCGGTTGATCCTCGGGCTATAAAAAAATGTATGTCCTCGCAAGCGGTTTGCCGCTGATCGAGATTGATCGGCGTCGCGGCAGCGGCCTTGAGGAGGGCCGTGAAGAGGAGAGATTTGGTGAGCATAGTCCCTGATCTTTTACGAATAATTTCGGGTGTCTTTTCTTGTTCGTAGGGGGCTAAGTAATTGTTTATCTGTCGAGCCTCGTGGTTGAGGGGTTAAGCACTCTTATATTCCCGGAGCTTTAGTTTTCTAACTTGTCGAGAAATAATCGCCTTTGTAGAACAGGTGTTTCCCGGATGAAGTCCAGTTTCGGACTCGTTCCGGATCTACCGTCACATCGTACCCCCAGATCATATGCCCAGAGTTTAGAGGATGATACCTTAGATCCCTACCTAAAAAAAAGGGTTTGGGATGATAATACCAATATTCTACCAGTTCACCTTTATCAGAGGATCAGTAAAGGGTATAACAAAGCTGTTAATTCGTCCCGAGCTAACATTGAGATATCATTAGAGGAAAAATCGAAGACGGCATTGTAGTAAAGTCCAATTTTTGATATCCAGTAATTTATTTTTGATATTAGCATTTAGCCTTAGCTTTGAGCTGATACGTGTAATATCCGCGAATAGCCCATTATCCTTCCCCATAGTGGGACTTTCGGGTGTCTGGCCTAGTCGGTATCGTGTACCGGTAATTGACGGCATGAGGCTGCGGAGAAATCGATTAGGCTATCATAACGCGAATAGTCTTCCTATGTCGACCCACTACAGCTACCCAGTTTGTGCACATGGCATAGAGCCTCATACATATATACCTACTTATGTGCCAAGAGAAGCATAGACATTCAAAAAAATATTTCAAATATAGTATACCAATAACAATCATGTCACTAACTAATGGTTCTATACAACCAAATTACGTCTATGTATCTGGGTGGGGGGACTAAGATATATATATTCAAGATACAGCCAACACATTTCTGCTATCAGAATATCGATATCAGGAGTTATATAAGGGACAACAAGAAATATCGTAAACTTATAGTGTTGTAGTTAAACTATATTGATCAATGCTAAGAATATAGATAGATCAATACAATAGCACTGCTCTTAGGTCCTGTGAAATACCAAACAACAGGTAGCTAGGTATCTTACCTTTTTTTTTTAAAGCCGTAGCTTGATATATCTCCTTCTGCTACATATTTACAAACTCCCAATTGCAGCTATTTTCGACTGGATGAACTCCTAGGCCAGGCGGGTCGTTCTACCCTTAACTCAGAGGTAGAACTAATGGGAGAGATAGCCCCTAGAAACTGGTAAAATAACCAGCCCCTTCAAGATAACTCGACTACCCCTATCAACCCACACCATACCCTCTACCTCCCCCCACTTCTCCGTATCCTCTCAAACTCATCAACCAGGAACTCCGCGCTCTGCACCCCGCCAATCACATAATGGTCGTTGACCACAAACGTAGGCACAGCACGCACCGCGAGCCCCCGCGGGGACGACACCTCCGCGACCAAGGCACTCACCGCGCGGCCCCACACCTCGCTCGCATCCTCGAGAACGGCACGGATCTGGGCGGTCGCGAACCCCGTCGCCGCCGACGCCGTCTCCGCGAGAAACGAGCGGTCCGATATATCCCCGTCGGATTCGTGGTGTGCCCGGAAGAGCGCTTCCAGGAGCCGCAGCTGGAGGGCTGGGCCCCGCGTCGGACTGTTGCCGTTCATGGCGGACGGCGACGTTGGTGAGCGAGTGCCGGGGTGCGACAATGGTGGAGCTGACGCTCCTCGCCTGTTGCGTGCTCCGCGGGTCGTTGTGGGCGTGCTTTCTAGTGCGAACCGGAGGAGCTTGTGCGCGTCCCGGGTGCTTCCCGTGCGCCCGGCCCAGGTGAAGTTTATACCGGCTGCCTCTCCGGGACCAACCCAATATGCAGGGCCTCGGGTACGTGCGATTAGGTACTCGGATTTATCGTATGCTATGGTAAGTCCAAGTTAGCTAGTTGTCTAGCCAATCTGTTAGTGATCACGGGGCTCCCAATATGTGTCTTCGTATAGGGCTAAGCGAATGTCTCTCCTCCCTCTATCTGGCATCTGTCGAGTTGTTACATCATATGCAGAAGATTAGACGTACTGTATACAACCATCAATCAAGATCGGGGTATGTAAAGTTTCATGCTATCGTTTAGGCTCGAGATTTGGAAAGTTGAATGTATGACTTACCACTTCGAGCTGCTAGAGGGTGTAGCAGAAACGGAGTACAGATTATCTCGAAAATTGCCCCGGGATGGCGGGCTCTATAAGTCTCGATAGCAGTCTTTAGGTTTTTGAAACCGATGTAACAGTATGGACAGATCACATCCAAGATAAATTCCACAAGAAACCTCGTCGTCTCGGGGGGTATAATGTCGGTCTTCTCGGTGGCTTCATCCTCCTTTTTCACTGCCACCTCTTTAATATCCTTGTCGTCGACAGGCAACAACAAGTCCCGTATACTCGCCATACTCCAAAGATTTAGGCGACGTTAATCCTAGAGACTAAGGGCAGAACTCCTAGAAGAGTTATAAACGGGCCCTTAGTTCCTTCTATGGAGTGATATCCCTCTTCGAATTGCCACCAGAAAGGAGCAAGGGACTTGATTTTTAAATCGTCGAAGTTTCGGTTTAAGAAAAAAAATAAGAAAGTTATAATAGGGGCAGAAGCCCAATCAATGACTTCACCACATCCTTGGGGATTTCCATCCTCGCAGAATAACCGACACCGCAAGACATAAATAAATACTCAGTCAAGGTTAGTCCCACGGCCATCAGCCCGCAAAAAACCCTAATACCAAGAAAAATACTGTATCCAACATGCATGGGAAGAAACAAGACGCGGTATACTCCCGCACCAAGCAACACCGGTTCAGCAAAAATTTTCTTCGTAGGAGTTTAAAGATCACATAATCAATAAATACGATGCAGAATACTTAGAGCCAGAGCCGAGCCTATAACTAGTCCCAAGTACGATTGCGCTGGTAGCCGCGCGCAAGAAAAAGATAGAAGAAGAAAAAAAAAGGGGGGGAGGGATTACATATTATGCAGCTACCCCATACATACATACATATGATCACAAATCAAAAAATCGCCAAAAGCTTCCCCGAGCGCTAGAACCCCGGGTCCCGCCACGCCATCACCGCCTCAGCCGGCGGTGCCAATTTCGTCACAATCGTACGAGAACGACGGATGCTCCCTTTATTTTTATTTATTTTTATTTTTTTTGACTTTACTCTATTTTCTTACTGCGCTGCCAAGGAAATCCACGCGCGGCAGATGTTAAAACGGCCCCGAGGATCGACGTTTATAGAGTAGTATACGACAAGGAGGGAAGACATGGTGCTCGATCCTCTAAAAGCCTAGTCGTGCATCCACCCTACCCGCGTGCCGGGATTTAGCGTGCGCATCCCGTACTAGGAAACTGATAAAGACGGGACTAGTATAGTAACCTGCATACATATAGGATGTTGTCTCGTTCCTATGTATACGAAAATGTCTAGATATATTATCTATTGACATGGGGTAGTATAATACATACAACAAAACGATAGCTACCTTATAACTATGAAAATGATGAGCTTACAAAAGGTAAATATTTTCCCCAATAGGTGGCCTTAGATCTAATTTAAGTATAATTCATTTACAACTTGATATATTATCGATTGACTATTTGTGTAGTACGTACAGCCTCAACTATGATTGTCAATAGGCGATGTAGTATACTCCACAAGGTAAACTACTTCTATGCATGAATCAAAAGAAGCTTATGCTCTCTCTCTATTCAAAGCGCTGCCGAAATCTTTTCATTCTTGATGCTCAATATCGGCGACTAGTCTTTTTATCGACATACCATCGCAGTGTACGTTTGTGCTTTTCTAAAGCGAAATCAATCGCACCGAGCAGATTCCTGTCTTTACATATTTACCATCCACTACAAGAGCAAACAAATACTCCAGTCCCTTGACCAAATCTTTTCCGATCCTTATCCCTAACTTCCTTCCTTTCCACCTATGCCGATTTATGCGTAGTATCGTGAAGACCGCCAGGCCGACCAGTCTATTTCGAATCGGCAGGAAGAAGCGAAGTCTCAACAGACCATCCCCATCTCAGTTGAATCTATCAAGTGAGATGCAAGTATCGGCCCGTGATATTATTAAGTTCCACTAGTGGCCCCGACGGTCTATGCCTCGGCCGATTAATGCGAGGGCGTACGCTTCTAGACTTAGTCGAAACTGCCTCGTAGTGGGATTCCTGATCTGAAGCCTGAAAAACAAGACAAAAGAAAAGAGACAAACGCCACTTGCCATCTCAAACGCATGTCGCGAATAATCAAACCTGCCGTGCCGTTGGGTATTGGAGCCGTCCATAACACAAAGGGAAGATGCAAGAAACAAAGGAGATCTATGCAAGATCATATCCGTAGGCGTACGTGACCTCATCGTAACGCCATCCTACGCCGCTTTGGAAGCCATCCTACTGACCAGCCCACAGCTCGTTAGGACGTGGTTTAACGTCATAACCTGCCGAACCGGGTTCTGTGCTTGTTGGTCGTCGAATTTGAGCGCCCGAATTGTAATACATTTGGCCCAAGTTGTTGCTGCCCAGAAATGGCTGATCCGGATCGGGATACACGTAGCTATTGCCACTGTTGCTGTGGGTGGGTGAAGCCATGTGCGTAGGCGATTGCCATCCGACACTACCCATATGAGGACTTCCACCTGTGCTACCGGTACCTGACTGGTGCGACTCTATACTTGGCTCTAGAGTAGGGGGTGGTGGATACACCGTTGGGTGAGAAGTAGGTCGCATGCCTGTAGGGTAGCCCGGGGCCGAAGTAGGACTCTGGGACTGCATATCGGTACGGATATGTACCGGAAGTGAGCCATTGCCCACATACGAATAATCGCTGTTGCGCATCGCATTAGCAGCAGCGAGCTCGGCACTAGGTGAGATAGACATATGTCTCTGGCCTGGCGAGGGTGTGTTCAGTGGTGAACCATGGTTTGATCCAGGGTCACCGTCACTACGAGCCACGCGAGCTGCGTTTCTGCTAGCCTGTGCTGCTAGAGCATTGGCTGTAGCTGCCGCTGCCTCTTCAACTGTACCAGAATGAGAATTTTGGTGTCGAGTCAATGTAGTTCGTCGAGTGAACGTCTTTTGACAGTTAGCATACGGGCACTTATACGGCCGTTTACCCGAGTGAATACGCCTGTGTCGGGCCAATGAGCTGCTATCACTGAACGGCTAAAGATTTCAAGTTAGCATGTCTTCTGCGTGAAAGTAGGGATGATTAATACCTTGCCACATCGTTCACACATGTGGGGTTTCTCGCCGGTATGAACTCGTTGGTGCACCGTCAGAGCTGATCGTTGGATAAACTGTTTTCCGCATCCCTCAAAATCACAGACATGCGGACGAATGCCGCTATGGATGCGCTCTAAGACACATTAGGGACGTCCCTTTTCATCGGTTCAATAAAAGGAAAACTTACCATGCCTAGCCAGATCACTACGCCGCGCAAAGGCTTTTTGACATGTGCTGCATGGATACGCCTTGTGCTGAGGTTGTGGCTGCTGGGACTGCTCAGGAGGCTTATTGTAGGGCATAGAGAGTGCATGAGAGAGCTGCGGCATGCCAGGAATCATCATAGTAGGAGGCATACTGGGGTCGGACAGGGCCATCGTTGCATGCATTGCAGTGGGGGAACCATAAGGCCGACCGTTACTCATCCCATTCAGGGCATCTAATTGCTGGCCAGGGCGGGGGCCTGAGTGGTAGGAGCTCTCGGATCCGTGCGGTGAGTTTGCACGATCCATGCCGATCGGAGTCAGCTGTGGATGGGGAAGAAGTTGGTGTTCCGGCGAAGGACCTGACCCTGCCGCTGCCGCTGCTGCTGCCGCCGCCGCATTCTTCTTGTCCAACATATTTGTGATGTTCATCACTTCAGATGAAGGCGATTTGGACATGGTGTGGCCAGACCAAAAAATCCAAATTAACCGAACGACGTTTCCAAACAAACTCGAATCTCGATAGTCTTGTCACCTCTTCACCGTGCTGCGCGCGCTATAGAGGGGTAGATTCTTCCTTCTTTAGACAATTTCAAGTGAATTCCAAATCCAAATACACTAAGTTCAATAAAGGTGTTGTATAATCCAAGTACTCCGGTCTGTATAAGTTAACAAGACACAAATTATCGCTTGTTGTCAATGATGAGAGGGTTTCCGGATCGTTGGACTTGATACGCGTCAGCTTTGGCCTTGACGAGTCCAATCTAACACTCTAGCGTTACGTGAGCTGTTTGCCTTGATAGAAGTTGCGCACAGTTCTAGCCCGACTATTTGCGGCCAGATGACTCGGTGCGCCTAAATCTTTCTATTGGATCCTGAGGGGGGGGGTCTGCACAGCAGCACAAGTAACAATCTTTAAAGAAGTGTTCCTCTTTTGATCATTAGGAAATATGACGAAGGCGGGGTAGTGGTATCGCAGGCGTATGCCGTGGAGCTGAGTTCGTGAGGATGTGATGAAAAACAGTCGAGTGATGTAGTAGTAGTCCAGTCACGATTTCGCGTTTATTAGGGCAGTATGGGGCGAAAGTTCCGCAATCCTGAACAGGCCTAATCAAGTCAGCATTCTGGAGAAATATGCATGTTATGGACTAAGAACAGCTTGGGAGTGTTCGTGGCACATGCGGGATGCAGAATGATGTTTGTTGACCTTGGACCTTGTCGACAGAGCTATGTAGCACCGAAGGCTTCTATGGTGAAAGATACCTCGAGCTCATAGATAGTAGATCGGTCAAGGCAAACCACCCCTTGAATGCGACGCGTGACAAAGACATGAGGAAGTGGTCAGATTGTATAGCAACTACGGAAGCATATCGTGCAAACCGAAGGGGCTATATCTCTTCAACAAAAGAAAGCGCGTGGTAGATCCGGAGCTAGGCAACTAAGGCGGGAGGGAATGGGGCAGCTTGTGATCCTAACGTACCTCGAGGAATTATTCGGGGTTTTCCAAGTTCAACGATAGACAACGTAAGAGGAACAAGAGCGCCGCTGCTTATGGTGATCAATATCCAGACGGCCGGCTCAGAGTAAAAAAAGGTTGACGAAAGAATTTAGAAAAAGGATGTGTGACGGCGAGGGAAGGAAAAATAATAGAAGTGATGAAATGACCAAATCGATGGTTATTTTAGGTAAGCTCGTCGAGGGAGGTGTACCATAGTACTTTAGTAGGTACTTAGATACTTACTTCTTGGTACATTTGATATAAATTTGGCGGTGGGCAGGTAGAATGGTACATGCGAGTTGGTAAGTGCACACTGTAAAGATGGTAAGGAACGGGAGCAGGGGCCACAACGCGCAGGTAAAGGTAAATGTTGCCGTGGGTACCTCAGGTAGGTTAGGTAAAATGTACCTGATCTATCTCTAAAGAAACAAAAACACTGCACGAAACTACTTACGTAGGTACGTACATATGTATACATATATAATCCAGGTAGAAATGCGGCAACCCTTACAGTCTAGTCGCGTCTATGTATATTGGCTTTGGAAGTAAAAAATAAAAGTAAAAACTTCTACGTAAGTATAAATAATTATATTAAATAATTATTTTCTCCTTTTCCTACCTGTTTTTTTTCTCGACCCTTGTTCATTTCCATAAAGGTCCAATGAAACCACATTTTAATAGGGCTACAGCTACACGGGTACCAAAGTAGCATATGTACATGCGCGTACAATGCCGCTAAGGTATCGATAAAGTAAAGTAGTCTAAGCATTATTCAACACACGCTAAACCATCTTCGGTATTGAATTTGTTTTCTGGAAGCTTGACCCCTGTAAGTTAGAGAAGAGAAAGAAAGAAGAGAAGAAAAAAAAACTTTCGGGGCTTTTCGGATCGTCCCGATTCGGCAGTACTCATTCAACTTTTCTAAATATACTTATGTATCGAGATATATCAAAGTTAATTCTCTATTCTATATAGGTATTCTTCTTCTTTTTTTGTTAGATCGATCTGTGACCTACTTAGATACCAATACTATGGGCTATTATGGACTACTTAACTAACTATAGTAGATATCAAACGCATAATTCGATCATGTACCCAGGCAGCCCCAGGACCCAGGAAGAGGAACCGGTCTGAACATTGCTTACCTTGGCATCAGGCACAATTATGATCCCAGTAAAGACCCATAGAACGGGACCCGCTCATACCATCCGCGATATTGGCATGATCTCCCCCAGACGTGCCATAGTACATAGGTAATCACTTGATTGCAACAAGTGAAACACCATTAAGGGTGAAATTTTATGTACGAACGTTGAAATCTACGGGGAATGAGACAGACGGGGCTTTATTTTTTATTTTTTATTTTTTCATGTGGGCAATATCCATATAACGGTAACTAACACGACGCATAAGGTACATACATGCATATGATATACATCATACAGGTCTACATCATACCTGACCTAGGTCAAGAGGTCTAGTGTAGGTCTAGGTCTAGGTCTAGGTATATGTATACAAACCATGGGGTAATACACACATACGTTGTGCAATAACAGCGCATTCGGCATCGGAATTAAAGTATCTCGGAAAGCTGGTGATAAATCTTGGTAGGGTGACGAATACTGAGCAATGAAAATACCAGTTACCAGTTACCAGTTACCAGTCATTTTCCGTCGGAACTGCCTAGACTCACAGACTCACAGACTCAGCAAGCAACTCAAGTCAACCCAAGAGTCATCCAAGGGAGGACGTGGGATTGGCGCGTTCCGAAGACATGGTAAGAAGGCAAGAATTAATAAGAAGAGAGAAATATCCTTGTAAATAAGATGTACTTATCTGCTTGTTCGGCTTCCATGGGGGTTCACATCGTTTCCATAAATAGGGACTAGCCATGACTACATAGCCATGACTAGCCACTAGCCACGGGGGTGCATTCCGCTCAGTGACCGTAAAGAATACCAGGTAGAATCAAAATTGCATATCCAGGCTTAACTCCATGATGGTAATGATGGTAATCTGGTAATAATAAATCCGGACTAGTATGGGCTATTATGCAACGGCAACACCAAATGCCTGGATTTTGAATGTTTGATTATTTTCTTTATCATCACTTACTTTACTTACCCAGGTTATTTTACTTAGTTCAGGTACTTTTCTTCTTGTTCTTGTGCCAAAATGAAACATTAAAATATACGAAGTACCAAACAACGATACATGTAACCCGGTGGGGGATCCGTGTACGAAGCGAGTACGTACCGTAAAGGAGGTATATCATATTACACCCTACACCCACACTACTCTCTACTTCCCCGAGTGCTAGAGGGACGTATTATTCCTTTTTCTTAAGCGTTTCTACAGCCATGTCCAATCAGAACAGAGAGTAGACTAAGTACAGAGAAAAAAAAAAAGACCACCCCCATCTCTATTACATAGTAGATAGCTCATAAGTTATAATTCAGATATCAAATTTTTACTTTTAATTCTAGCAGTCGTATACATATCGATATCGTCAAATGAGATGAATCTCCAACTTAACACGTCACTTTTTTCACGACGGGAAGACGCAGATAATGCCGGGGAGATCCAGGACATCTAGGCAGTAACACTCTTCTCGCACTCTATCTCATACAGTACTCCAGTTCCAAATCAAACCTGAGATCATGGAGAAAGACCGAGTCGTATTAGCGTAGCATTCCTATCAGCATTACCAGCTGAGAACAACGCAGCTGTCCGCAGCTTATAGCCTCGTGTGATCACGCTTATCTTCAGCTACTCAGTAAGAGTAGGACACGAAATGATACATAACCACGTTTTCGACAGTGTACCCTCTCGAGTGGCCTCTGCCATCGCACGTACGGTATGGTACGGTATGGATGGCTGGATAGCTGTGGGGAAAGGCATGGGTTCCATCAGCCAATGCACCCCGGCGCATGAGGTTTCCAGACAGGCTTGAAATTGGCCCTAACCCCAACATAGCAAGATTCTGGAAGATTTCGAGAAGCGGAAGAAAAGCGTTGGACCCGGACATGCCAACATTAAAAGGATCTTTTTCTCTTTGGAAACTATCCCCGTCCGACCATTGCGTGGACAGGAAACATGCACATAACGACGCCCGCGAACGTCTAGCTACCCTATACTAGCCACGGCATAATTACTACGGCGAGTTACATTTTCTCCCCTCCTTATTTCAGCAATTATGACAATCTTTCGATCTGATTATGCTTTATCCCTTCGGCCGAGCGCCCTATCCGGACATGGTCCCCCTTACTATGTAAACTAGTTTAAGGCAATGGATCGTTGCTTGATCCGTGGCATGGGAATCTCCCGCGCCTTGCTAGCGGCACCTTCATTTCGCAGGCATTACCAACAATGACATCAATTTATTCGACCATATAAAATGAAAACATTCTCGAAGCTCTGCCGTCCAAGCTGCCAAAAGCGGAGCAACCCCTGCGCTTCCATGACTTCCACTATTTTTCTAGAACCACAAACACAATTCCAACCTGGGTCTTGGGTATTAACTAAGTTGACAGGCATGTAGCAGTTTATGTATTTACTATCGAATGCTGGTTATCATCCCGTGGAAAGGGTTGTTAAATCTTTCTAACCCGTCCGTCTTTCTTATCGGGTGGTGTTTAAAACAGTTAATTCATCTGGCCACTTGACTGTATCTTATTAGATCAAAACGATAGTATAAAATCAAATACAAGTCAATAAAGTAGGTATGATAGGTAGTAATTCAGGTAGGTACCTACTTGACAATATTTTTCTAGTCTCTTCTTTATGCACGCTACTAGATCATAGATGTCTATAAACCGGTTGATCTAGTTACTCTTAGCTAATCTGAAATATGAACTATCGTGATAACCTCCCATTGGTAAATTTGCAGCATGTTATATCGAGTAATAACTTTAAAAATAAAATGTGGTTTTCT